AAAATAATTTTAAATTTCCCTCAACATAATTTATTCGCGCTCATTTAATTATTACTCCAGATTTGATTGTCTGTCCTGCTATTCGCGCTCATTTAATTATTTCTTCAGATTTAATTGTCTGTGCTCCTTGAAAATGAATTATTTTTTTAATTATTTTATTTCTGATTCATATGTGTGCCTTGAAAATGAATTATATTTTATTATTATTATTTATTTCTGATTTAAAATTAGATAAATTATTTTATTTTTTATTTATAAATGTAAACAATTTTAACTCTGAAATCTCTACAAACAAATAAATTTCTTATTCGCTCATTTAATTATTTCTTCAGATTTAATTGTCTGTGCGACATTGAAATTTATTTATTTTTTTATTATTATTTATTTCTGATTTAAAATTAGATAAATTATTTTATTTTTTATTTATAAATTGATACAATTTTAACTCTGAAATTTTTACAAACAAATAAATTCTGAGCATCAAATTAAATAAGATCAAATTAATTCTTCCTATTTATTCGCGCTCATTTAATTATTCCGTTTCACTACAAAATTTATTCGCGCTCATTTAATTATTTCTTCAGACATAATTAAGTGCGGAAATTGAGAATATTTAATTATTTTTTTTATTCTTTTTTCTGATTTAAAATTGGAATAAATAATTAGGTGATAAAAAAATAGATGTTGAGTGAAAATAGTTGGAATTGAAATGAATAATTAGGTGATAAAAAAATAGATATTGAGTGAAAATAAATTATTCCGTTGCACTACATAATTTATTTGAACAAATAGTTAGAATTGGAATGAATAATTAGGTGATAAAAAAGTAGATATTGAGTGAAAATAAATTATGTAGTGCAACGGAATAATTTATTTGAACGAATAGTTGGAATTGAAATGAATAATTAGGTGATAAAAAAATAGATATTGAGTGAAAATAAATTATTCCGTTGCACTACATAATTTATTTGAACAAATAGTTAGAATTGGAATGAATAATTAGGTGATAAAAAAATAGATATTGAGTGAAAATAAATTATGTAGTGCAACGGAATAATTTATTTGAACGAATCAAATTATATAGAGCAACAGAATAATTTATTTGAACGAATAGTTGGAATTGAGATGGAAAAAAATTGAAAAATATAATTCAGAAAAAAGATAAAAATAATATATTCAAAAATCAATTAAAATAAAGAATAAAGCATAATGTAAAACAACATACATAGTAAAAGGATTCTTATAATTTTTAGGAAACTAAAAACAAGAAATATATGATCTAAATCACAAACATATAAACAAATAAACTCTATAATTAAACAAGTAATTCATAGATTACTATCCTTTTGAAGACGAAGAAGAAGAGAGAAAATCATGGAATAAAACAAAGAAAATGTTCAATTATGGTCATTATAGTTTAAATTTCCACAAATAACAGATTTACATAAAGTAATAGAAAAAAATATATGAAACAATAAATTATAATAAAATTGAATATCTCAGATCAGGTGAAAATTTCTCTTTAAAAATGATGTAAATAAATAATTTAGTTAAATAATCTTGTGAAGATATACAGATATTTATATCATAAGCCATTAATTTCTACAATATGTGCATAAAATTAGGAAACATTGAAAAATAAAAAAGAAAACTAACTTTCCATTTTAATAATTATCTTCTATCTTTTAACATAATAATCAATATAATAGAAGACGAAGATCCTGAAAATGAGTCAGGTTTAAAAATGGTCTTGATAATAAGAAAAGGAAAAAGTATGTTTTCAGACCAATTAAATAATAATTATCATTTTAATAACATCACATTCTTGATACTCTATAAGATTTATCAATATCTTGATTTAGAATATGAATTATAAGTCTTTAACAAGAGTTACATATTTTCTCAAGATGAAAATGAAAGAGAATCTTGTTATATTCCAATTTAAACAAAGATTTATTTGGATAATAAAAATAAAATCGGAGTTGAACCTGATGAACTTTTCATGTTATAGAAGATTCAATCCATTTATGAGAAGAAATTTAATAATAATATTGTTTTAATTTATAGATTTTATAAGAAATTATGTAAAGATATATTTTTGCTTAATATGATAAATGATAATAATTGGAAAGGATTGAGTTAACGTTTATCTATTTTTAATTAAATAATGGAATTCTTACCTTAAAAAGTTAGTATATATAAAGGTATTTACGATTATGAGAATATTCATCTTTATAATTCTGAATGTAATTAGAATGGATAGAAATGCAAGTTCTGTTCAATGTATGAAATTTTGATTTGATTTGATTTGATTTTCTTTTTATTTAACGATATAATTAATTTTTAATTTATCTAAAATTAAATAAAAATTGAAAAATATTAATTGTGAAAAGATATAACAATTATAAATTAGAAAAATAGATAAAGAGCACAGGCATGTATACTAATAATAACAACAAAAAAACTTCTAAATAAATATTAGAAGAAGAAGAATAATTTTAAAAGGATTAAAAAGCGAAAGACTAAAACAAGGAACTTTATTAGACAATAAATCCAAAAAAAGTTCTTGTGTAAGACACTTTTAATAATATAGGATTTTAATAATAATAAATAGAACCTGATATGTTAATGGCAAGGATAAGACCTTAACATACTCTACCCCAGAGCACAACGTTACCCCAAAGCATAACGTTACCCCAAAGCATAACGTTACCCCAAAACACAACGTTACCCCAAAGCACAGCTTACATAGAATACGAGGTTAAAGTTTCAGACAGAGCCAAGTTATATATAACTGTTCCTGACAAAGGAAATGATTTTCCAGAAATTTAATTTTCCGGGGAAACATTTGAGCAATAAATAGAAAGAATGATTTATCACTTCAAAGAAATAGTAGATAAATAAACTTTCTAAGATTTTGGCCTTGACATTGTTAATACAAGCTTACTTGGTTATTCTTCGTTGATAGATAACCATATAACTAAAAAACGTTTGCCTGGGCGATATTAAATTTAAAAAGCCATGAAAATAACAGATTTTTATCAAAACAGAATCACATATCAAGAACATAACGAATTATTCCATTTATGGTTCATGTAAATCGCATCGCATTTGTTGCATAAGGAAACTGGGAAATATTTTCATATCGAATACTATCAAAAAGTTTTGAATTGTATCGTAACATAAATTCCTTTCTAAACTTTAACGCTTGATTCTGAGCGCGCTGACGATTTGATGAATAATGATCTCATCAAATAACAAACCAGGAGGTTCTATTAGTTAGTAAATAAAAATCTAGTTCATATTGCTAGCTGTAATTATGGAGTTTAAGATTCGATTGGGTTTGTTATAAACTTTAACACCGAACAAATCCCTAAAGAAAGCGAATTAAGAAAGGAACATAAATTCCGTATTTAGCTAAAGAGAATTAAATTGTAACTAAAAAATCAAGTCCAATAACTGGCAATATACGTCTAATAATAAAATCTTACGAAATTGCGAAATTTTAAGAATTTTGAATTCTATTTAGCGATAGCTATTATAGAAAAATTTTTTGTTGTGCCCGATTTCTTCGGAGTTCCGTTGTTTGACGATGAATTTTAAAATTATCGTTAAGCGATGATTCAATTATAAAAGAGCTACTTGAGAAAGTTCGATCATGTCAAGCAATAGGAGTATGAGCCCTATAAATCTAACATGAAAATTTAGGTCGAAAATTATAGGAACGCTCAAAAACAATAAATAGGCTACATAAATATTAAATTAGATGGTTTGTGATTCAGTTTAAACACGAACGTGAATCAATAATGAATTGAATAAAATTTTTTTTTTATTTTATATATTTTAAAAATTTAAGAAAAAGAAAAAAAAACAAAATAAAAAAAAAAGAACAAAAAAAAAATAAAAATCGAAAACAAAAAAAATAAAAAACTTTTAGTTTTGAATATAAATAAAATGGATAGGAATAATTAATCATTTGACTATTAAAAATTTAAATAATAAAACTAAGATTTATTTTAGAATAAAATATAAAGAGAATATAAAAATAGAAATAATAATAACAATAAAGAAGAGAATAAAGAAGAGAATCAAGAATAGAATCAAGAAGATAACTAGATGAAAAAAGCTAGAATAAGAGATTCTAATAATGTTTAAGAATCTTAATATGAAAATTATCTATAAAAATAAATGAATAATATCATATCATAGGATAATGAAGAAAAAAAAGCAAAATATTAAACCTATGCAACAGAATTCGAAGAAAATAAATAAATGTTTACTGAACTCCGTAATATGTTTAAAAAATAATTCTAAGAAAAAAAAACTTTTTTCTAGATGCTTAGATAATTTTTTGAATAAACATATTGTTAAGGCATAAAAGAGAAAGCATAAACAAAATTAAAGAGAAATAGTATAATATAATATAAATGTATCTCAGATGTTGTTAAAATTGATAATTAAATTTAAAGAGTAGAATTTGAAAATTATTTTTTAATTTTTGCTGGAATGTATTTGAATTAATAAGTGAATATTGATTTTAATGAGAAATTATTTGGTGAAATTTTTGATTAAATAATTACTTGGATGCCACTTAAAAATTATAAAACAACACATAAATCATATCTAAGTTATTCTTTATCATATGAATATTTTTGTATTGCAACAAGAAAATTTGTTTTTAATTCTTTTGCTTTTGTTTAAAATATTACTTAAATTGCAAGTTTTAATGTTATTTTAAATAATGAAAATAAAATTATAGGTTATGGAATGTTTGTAAATAAGGATATTTAAGGTGAATTTGGTGAAAAAACAAATAGATATTATAATTTAACAAATTTTGCATTTTAAGAAGATGGTAATGATGAATTAATTATATCATAAATATATATTTATGCAAATATGTATAATATTTATAAAATTTTTTAAAAATATGCAGAAAAATAAAATTATAAATTTTATCTAGCATTTGCTATAATAAAAAAACTATTTCTAGATTGTGATTTTTATGGAGTTCCTTTTTGTTAAGATGAATATGATACATATGGAACAGTTAGATTGATGATAAATTATTATGATAGTTATTGTGGAATTACTAATAATGAATAAGATTTTATTTTACCTATTTTATAAATGGGTTAGGATAAATATATAGATATGTAGAGATATTAAATGGACAAAATATAAGAAAAAATTTAATTAAAAAATTGAAAAAAAATATTTGTAAAACACCAATATTATTTTAAATTATAAAACTAAGAATAAAAGCTATAATAAGAATATGAGTAAAAGGAAATAAAGTTTTTCTTAAGATAAAGAATCAAAGAAAAACTCTGAAGAAATAAAAGTTTTAGAAGAGTTTATTGAAATAAATGTAAAGTAAGAAGAAGAATAATTTGAGGAGAAAATCAGCAAAAAATTAAAAATAGAAAATTAGGATGAATAAGAAATTAAGGAGCATAAATAATCCTAACAAATTTAAATAAGATAGTAATAATAATTACAAATATTATAACCTAGAGTTCAATCTCAGATGGGATTCCAAATTGATGATAAAACAATTTAATTTCTGATAATTAAATTAATAACTTGTTTCAACAAATCCGCGAATGAAAAATAAAAAATCGAAGGTTATACAAGTTTATATAATTACTTTTATGCTAAGTATGAAAGTTTATTTTCAATATATTTTGGAAATAACGAAGAAAAGTTTTACAATATTGCCAATTCGATTAAAAAATTATAAGACAACAATATCATGGAAGTCTATGAATAATTTGATGAAATTTTTAATTCAAAAATAAAGAATATCTATGATAATAATGAAAGCTTAAATAACAGTTAAATCCAATTTGATATGGAATTATTTGAAAGGATATATGAATAAATAATTTCTTAATGTCCTTTTCATTGCCTCTAATAAAATAGTTGGCAATATGAAAATATTTCAAACTCTGAATAAGCAAAAAAAGCTTCTGATAAATTTATAGGAATTGTCAATAGCAAATTAGAGCATTTTGCTAATTTTATAATTTTCGAAAAAAATAATATCGAATAGTAAGTTTGCAGTAAAGATAAAATAGATGTTATCTATTTTAATAAAGATATCATGCCTAAGCCATAATATATAACAGAGAATTATAACGTATTTATAACAAGAACAAATTTCTCTTTAATTGAATAGCTTAAAAATAATTTAAAGTTAAGACAAATTTCTCTATATTTCCATAGAGAAAATATACAAAAAATAATAAGTGACAAATAAAAACTTATAGGAAAAAGTTTATATGCATAGTTTGTATTTTATTTTTAAATGGCAATATTAAAGAAATTATTTGTTAAGTGCGATTTCTATGGCGTTCCTCTAACAGATAATGAATTGCTTTAAAAAAATTATATTTAGAGTATAAAAAATATACACTAATTATATACTAAAATCTGGAGCTGTTATTTAAAGGATATGCCTTATCCTTAAAATAAAGAAATAACTCCCGAAGAATACAAATTTGCATAAAATTTCTTTTTAGCAAACATTTAAGCTCAATTGAACTTAGAGCTTTTCAAATGAACAAGATTAATTCTTCTAATATAATTTTAACACAATTTTACTTGTAATAATGAAAAATGAATACATATAATTAAATTAAAAAAACAAAAAAAAAAAACAAATAAAAAAAACAAAAACAAAAAAACAAAAATAAAACAAGAAAAAACAAAAAAATAAAAAACTTTTAGTTTTAAATAATTAAATAATTTAAATAAAAATAAAAAAAATGAAAAATAATAATTGTGAAAGCTTAATTTATTTATATAGGTAACAATAATAAAGAACATTAATAAAAATATCAATTAAATGGATAGAAATTCCGATTTAGATAAATTTAAAGATTAAAACAGAGAATTGTTTTAAAATTACATAGGAAATAATCTCGAAGAGGATTTAAAAAAGAAGAAAGAAGAAATTGAGCAACAAATGAATAGAGCTAGGATAAGATAACCCGAACAGAAAGACGAAGGAATTAAAGATTCTTGTATTTACTAACTTGGTAATTAAAATAAAGAATCTTCTGAATTTTCTATCTCCAAATAAAGCTTTAAAAGAATATTTTCCATCATCAGCAGTATGTTTGGCGATTAAGATAAAAAATATGAAGATAAGAATTTCTTCCTTTATGTGAATGATTAATTTGGAAAGTTGTTTGGATAACTATTAGCCAAAAAGAAAGATAAAGATTATGTACAACCTAGAACTATTTTAGATTTCGAATACATTAGGAAAGAATATGGAAATTTAAATGAGCAATTCCAAGAAGTATTTTTAGTCTTCGCTTAGAATTATTACTATAATTAGAAAATTATCAATGGACTTCCATTTGACAAGAAATTATTTGGTGAAATATGTGAATAGATAGATAATCACACAATTTCCTTTCTAAAAAATTACATTAAGTAAGGAACAATGTAGAAAATATCTATTTAGTTATAGTAACTATTCATAAATATCTAAAAAATTCATAAAGTTGATAGATGAAGATTTAATTCATTTCGCAAACTTTGTTCACGGTTCAAAAGAAGATAAAACTATGGCTGGTTTTGGCATGTGTGTAAATGGAAAGTTATTACACTAAGAAGACTGGAGAAACTTGTTTTACAATTTAATAAATATCAAATCTGCTTCAGTAACTGATGTTTGCTAAATATAATATTACTTCTATATGCAGAACATTTTAAGAATACTAAAACGTTACTAAGATAAGTATAAATAGGACATAACTCAACAATTTGAAATCTATTTTGCTTTAGCATTTGTAAAAAAAATCTTCTCTATACACGAATTTTACGGAGTTCCCCTAGAGGATGCAGAATTCAAAAATTTCAAAGATGCTATATTAAATACATAACAAATGTATGCAGGCGATTACCAACCACAATAGTAACCTGATTATGAGCCTTACAAAACTATCGTATAAATAAATCCAAACTAATACTAAGAAGCATAAATTATCTAAAAAGCATTGATAAATTCAAAAAAATAATAATGAATTATCAAATAATTAAATCATAATTAAACTAAAACTATGAATATTCAAATTAACAATTAAATTTGATTTGATAATTAATATCTCTTTTTTACTTATTAATTAAAAAAAACAGATAAAAAAAAACAGATAAAAAAAAACCAAACAAAAAAACAAAAATAAAACAAGAAAACAAAAAAATAAAAAACTTTTAGTTTTAAATAATAATAAAAAATGAAAAATAATTTTTGTGAAAAGGTAATATATTTATTAATAGAAAAGTAAGTAAATAGCATAACAAAAAATGAGTAGCAGAAAGTCAAAGAAAACAAGTAATTCTCAGGATTTAAATGACATTGAGATTTCCTAACGAGTTTAGAAAAAAAGAATGAAAAAAGAAGAAAAAGAAGAAAAAGAATAGTAAGTAGAATAAAAAATACAGTAAGTTTCTAATTAAGAACTTATTTTTAAAAAACCATAAGGTAGGCCTTAATATTCTAATAATACGGTAATGAAATAATAATAATAAGATGAAAAAATACTTTAAAGTGAAACTTCACCCTAATGTACGGATTAACGTATTCTTGAACTTGGCATGCATGAAAGTGTATAGTACGAATACACATATCATAAAAACAACTAGAATAAATGCACTTAATATGGATACATATACCATTAATCCTGAATCCTAAATTATGTTTAGCATGTTTAGAAACAAACAATATCCTGTAATCGAAAGTAAAGATTTTTCAGGGGTAGCTATAAAGCCTAGATTACCGATATCAAGTTAAGGTCAAATTCCAGAATTTAAATTATAAGAAATAAATATGGAAGAAATAATTGATAATCTTAATGAATGCTTTTTAATTAAATAACAGTTATCTGAAGGAAGTAAATAAACATTGTATGAATATCTCTATTAAAAAAAATAAGTTGTGTATAATAGATTAGACATATTCTAAAAATTAAGTGAAAAGAAATATTACTTCACTGTTGTTCATAATTTTAACACCAAAAACGATTATGATACTCTTTATCAATTCTTCAACCAGATTTTCATGGAAGTTTTTTAAATTCATTTTAAAGACAAACTCGGAAATTAAACTCCATTCAGTGAAGTCTTATTCAATAATTTGGTAGATAAATTGGTTGTTTAGCAACCATATGGGCGCATTGATTTAACAAGAGATTAATTATAAAATCACATGTTAAATCCCACAAACGTTTAAAATGCAAAAAGATTTATAGATACTGTGGATAATAATTTAAAACATTTTGCAACTTTTATTACCGATTGTAGTAAAAATTAAACAGATTTCGTTGATTATGTCGTTTTTAATTACGAAACAGTATCTTATTTTATTAAAAAATCTGTTCCAAATTTGAAAACATTTGATGATGAAATGAACTCGAAGGATAAATAAATTATTTCTACAAAAATGATTTATTTCCATTAAAAGGAAATTGAAAATTTAATGGATAAAATGTAAAAAATGTTTAATTAAGATTTGAGCATATAATTTAACTTATATTTTGCTTTTGCTGTGATGAAAAAATTGTTATTCTCATGTGATTTTTATGGAGAGCCTTTAGTAATATTTGAATTGGATAAATTTATTATAGCTAATGAAGAACTTCAAAAAAGCTACACCGGATAGGAATTTAATAAGAAAAATGATATAAATAATCTTCCATACTTCTTTAATGTTCAATCTAATCCATGCATTTACAGAATAGAATAAAATAAATAATTAAAAATAGTATATGAAAAACTCAACAAGAGATTATTTTGATTCTGATTTTAATTTAATTACACCAATATATTGAAAATTAAAATTTCATTATATCAATTTAAAAAAAACAAAAAAAAACAAATAAAAAAAAACCAAACAAAAAAACAAAAATAAAACAAGAAAAAACAAAAAAATAAAAAACTTTTAGTTTTAAATATTTAAAATAAATAAATAAATAATTAAAAAAAAAATAAATAAATAAAATCACATCAAATCAACATAATCATATATTCTATTTTGGTTTGAAATAAATAGACATACCCAAAGAATTCAATAAATCCTTAAAGTGTTTCGACGAATATTATATTTATGTTTTAACAACTTCGCTTTTACCGTTACAATTTTTACAATAATATTTTTATTAATTCTAATCTCTATGCGCATATAAACCACAATGAGAACATATATCAACAACAAAACCATCTGAGTGCTACCACGCAAATTATTTTATTACATTTGTTGTACCTGCAGATAAAAATGCAGCCATTTCCATTTCACCCAATCTCGAACCTCCATTATTCTTTGCACCATCTCTAGGTTAAAATACTTAGTTTCTATAAGCTTCATTAAATCCTACAGCATAAAGTTTACTAAACGCTTTCTATTCTTGAGCAGCATAAAATACAAATCCAACTTGAGCATATCCAATAAATTCTCCAGTTAAAGGATAATAAATCTTTTTCTATCCCAATATATTTCTTTATATTTCTTCTTATCTATCTATCTTCTTCACTTTGATTTGTATCATTAAGATTTTACATTTTATTATAATAATCTAATAAATGTTTATAAGTTTTATTAAGTTAATCTTTTACATCGCAAAACATTGAAGAATCCAAAAACAATCCAGTTAATAACACAAGATAAGAAGTATATTATTCAATATTCATACCTATTGTCATTCTGGTTGAAAATGAACAAGGATTAATTATAATATCAATTGGTGTACCATCATTTGTATATGGCATTTAATTTTCATCTCTAATTGTTCCAATTGTTCCCTTCTATCCGCATCTTGCAGCATATTTATCACCAATTTAAGGATATAATGGAATAATAAATCTTATTATAATTTTTTATTATCCATCAACATTAATTTATTTCACTTTTAAAATTATTCCTTCTTCATATTCAAACTTTATAGATCTATCAATTATTTAATCTTCTTGATTTAAAATTAATATTTTACCTATAACAATATCACCTTTTCTTACAACTGAACCTTCTCTAATTAATCCATTTTCATCTAATTTTTCATAATTTAAATCATGTTAGAAATTTTTAACATCTCCATTCTTACCTTTAATTATATCTGTCTGGTCTTCCTATAATTTCAGTCGATCCAGTTTATTATTTCTAAATAACAACTTCTATTATATCTTATTTACATTATAAATACATAGATTTTGCTAATCTGGATGAAATTGTAATAGAATCTTCTTGTTAATATCCATGTTCTTACAATACTGCAATACATACATTTGTACCGTTAAACTTTTCATTTGTATTTATCATATTTGTTGTCATTGTTTAAACTAAAGGAGCAGAACCCAAAATAAGATATTAATTTATATCGGATCTTAAATCATTATCACTATATGGTTTTTAAACACTTCTCTTCATCTGAACAAAAGCAAAAATATTTCTAGGTGCATAATTACAATGAGGATAAGGAATAGTTGAAGGATTTATACCTAAAACATTTATAGGATGAATTTCCATCAAATCAAAATTTAAATATACTCCTACATATCTATTTTTTTCTTATAATGATATATTTTTTTATTATCCATTAATTCTACTATTTCTTAAAAAGTTATTATATTCTAATATTTGAGCACTTGGTGAAACTAATTTATTACTTATTTCTTAAATATCACACCATTCTATACTTTGAGGAAATTCAGATAAAAATTATTCCCAAGTTTATTTATATTTTATTTTTAACAATTAATTAATCATATATTTTATTTTAATCTTTTATTTCTTAGAATATTTAATTATTTTAATCCTTAGTTTCAATTACAAATAAAGGTCTTATCATTCTTCCACTATCTCCATAAATTAAAATTTCATTCCATTATCCTTAAACTTCAAAAGTAACATATCTAGGAATTTTACCTTGAAATCTTCCTTATCTCAAATATTATATTGTTGAATATGGATCATTAGTTAAAAATAATAACTTACCGAATAGATATATCTTTGTTTTATTTTAGATATTTATAATTTATTCAATTAATTTCATTTATAATTTTCCTGATTTTAAATTTTAAAGGAATTTTATTGCATCTGATTATGTTTTTAATTATCCTTAGAATGAATTTTCTCTGTATTTTAACAATATTAAACTTAATTCATAATATACTTTAGTTACATTTTTCCAATTATTTACATAACTCTTACTTAATGTTTTCATATAAAAATTGATTCTTATTTCTACATTAAAATCTTTCAAAAATATTACAATCTATTTATCTCATACATTTTAATAAGATTCTCTATAAATATTATTCTTCTAAAATATTAATTGCTCTTTTTTCAAAATTAAACTTATTTTCCATATATCTTATTTATCTTGTACTAATTAATAATTACCATCTATTTTTCAAAAGTTAATTTAATTTCTTATTTTAAACTCTTATAAAATTTTACTCACTAAAAATAATAAATGTTATATTAAATATTTCAGGATTAGCTAGCAAAAATTATTTAAATATGGTGAATTAAATATTTAAATAATTTTTTTAAGATATAAAAATTAAAATAGATTTTGTATACAAAATCGTTAAGTTAGAATATATAATATAAAAATTTATGATAATTTTTTTAATAATCATTACTAATAAGATAGCATGTCATTAACTAACTAGTTCAAAGAGTAAAATTGACTATCACATTTTTAAATAATTATATTTGTTGTTTGGTTATATATAGCTTAACATTGTCAATTAAATTCCTTGTTATAGTCAGAAAATCATAATTTAATTAAAAAAATAGACAAAGGCATCAAGTTATTAATTTTGCATTTTTCTTAATTTATTAAAGTAATTTTAATAATAAATTATGCTTTTGATAATCAGAATAAAAAATAGATAAAAAGTAAACAAATTTTTATTATGACGGAGGAGAACAAATTTTAAAGCTAATAAATAGATAATCAAAATTATTCAAAGAGAAGCACTTTTTCCGTCGGAGTAAATCATTATTAGCTGCCTACATTCAAAAGGGCTAGCAATATGCTGCATTAGGTAAAAAGAGTAAATTCATCTTTTTAATCAAACTCTGGATCGTATTAGAAAAAGTTTATTTCAGATTCGTAGAACTCAAAGGTTTTATTAAATTCTACTGATGGCTAAGCAAAATGGAAACAGCTTGAATAAATTATGAAAAAGCTAAAATTTAAAACCTATGTTAAAAAATTTCTAATGTTGAGTAGGAAGCGACTTTATAAACTCTTGAATATAACGCAGGTAAATCTAATAAATGACTAAGCTTCATACTTTGATTTTGAAAAGTAAGCAGAGCGATAAAAAAAAAAGAATCTATTAACATAAAAAAAATAAAATGAAGTAGCTTAATGGATGATTTTTAATCCAAATAATATCTTCCTTGAAATATGGAGTTTTATAAAAATTATTTGCATAATAATTTGCTTCTTTTTTTATTTAGTTAGCTTTGCTTTTAGTGTGTCTATTTAAGAATTATTAAGTCCATATATTTCTTTTGGATGCTAATTTTTTCTTGTTTTAGACATTTTTGTGCACTTAAACACAGCCATATACCTAAAAGGATAGCTAAATAATAGTAGGAGTGCAATTTTATAATAATACATGTCTTCAAAATGTTTTTATAGAGATTTAATCCAGGTGATAGCCTATTTTTTATACTAATTTTTAGTTTTAACTGATTTTACTCCTACTTTTCTCTAGCAGCTTTTATTATTACCTATTGTCCTAAAGTATTAAGATTTAAATAATATGCTATAAAAAATGAAAATCAAATACATCTAAAAAAAAGAAACCTAAAATATTTTCGAATTAATAAATCTTATCAAAAATATTTTATTCATTTCTCATGTTTTTTCGTGTATTTGGATCTTAACTGCCAAACTTAATTTGAAAATAAATTAAGGGTATTTAGCTAGCACTCAGAGTGTTTCTAATTAGTAGAACTTTACAACATGGATTGATTTTATGAACATTTAAAATGAGAATTGGGCTATTTAGTACTTATATTCATATTATTTTATAGTAGTTACTATGATAACAGTTGGATACGGAGATGTTAAACCAACAAATCCTTTAGAAGTTGGGGTATGTATTGTTCTAATGATGACTTGCTGCTTAGTTTTTGGTTTTGCAATAAATCAAATTGGATATATATTTTAAGATGTTTATCTAAGAGAAAAAAACATTTTTTAAAAAAGAAATATAATATCCAAATATATGCAAAAAAAAGAAATAAATTCTAAAGTTTAACAACAAGTTTTTGAGTATTTAGAGTAAACATTTTAAAAATTACAAATTCTATTTCTAATTATTAAAAGATTATTATTTTCTTTAACCAAAAAAAAAAACAAATACCTCCTTAACTTTATTTATTTACCCAAAATTTAATTAATTATTTATTTAAGATGAAATAATGAGGGTAAAATTTACTTATATTAACATAATTATATCAAAATAAGATAGAAGTTTGTTTATACTTTAATTAATATGTAAAGGTATACTTGGAGAGAAGAAATAGATGAGCACATATAAGAAGCAAATATAATTTTAAACTAGCTCTCAGGAAATTTAAAATAATTAATATCATTAGAATCAAACAAGTTAATTTTAAAACAAAATAGAATACTTAAAGATAACTTTGATAAATAAATACTTTAAGAAATTATTCCATATATATAAGAATAAAACTGCACTCCTGGAGAGATTGTTATTGATTGTCAAATAGGAAATGTAGAATGTTATCTTTATTTTGTGCAGCAAGGTCAATTAGAATTCTTTAGTAATGGATAAAAATCAGAAAAAATAAATAATTATTAAGATGTCCATTCGATTAAAAAGATTTTTTAAGTAATTTAAATAACTTTTATTATTATTTTCTAAAGAGCAAAATTACATTTTAATCACTTTATTTTACATATAATAGGGAGAAAATTTTGGATAATAATCATTTTTTACTGGAGCAAAGGAAAATTTAGGTGTAAGGAGTTTAAGTTTTAGTACACTTTTGAAAATTAAAAGAAGTGATTTTGTAAACATTTTAAAATAATATCAAAGTGATTATGAAAAGTTTTGCATGATCAAGGATAAAATAATATTTTCTGGATTTTACGCTTAGCTAAATGAATAGTGTTCTTCTTGTAAAGAAAGGACTCACTCTGAAATTTTATGTCCAATATTGCATTATATTCCAAAAAAGTTTAAAATTCTCTAGGAAAATGATCGTAATTTTCCTCATATTACTCGAAACAGTAGCTTCTAAAGAAATATTTCTCATAAAACGAATACTTTAAAAGAGTTAGAAAATAATGTCTATAGAATAGTTTAATTTATAGAGGATAAATGTGAAGATCTTGATTAATTTGAAAACTAAAATTTAGAATATCCATGTTTTCAGAATGAATATAATAATAGCTTTAATGAGATTGATGAGCATTAAGATAAAGTCTTCTAAAATGCTAGCAATGAACAAATGCAACCTCAATTTTAGAAAAGTAGTTTGGTAAAAGATGAGATTGCTTTTCCAAGGAGAAGATCTAAGATACTTGCCTTAATTCATACTAATAGCCTTATGAATAGCCAGAAAGCATTAGATGAAGAAATTTAGCAGCACATTTAGAATTAAAGTGAGGAGGGCAGTGATTTAGTAAACAAAAGAAAAAGATTAAATCAAATAAAGAAGAATGTTATTTCAGAGAGCATGGAATAATAAAACAATAAACTTACTTAAGAATTAGATGAATTAACAGAGAGTCATCTTTATTAAAAATATGGCTAAAATAACAGAGTTAGCTTCATAAATTAATCATTAAAGGACTTATAAATTTCTGAAAAATGTACTAAACACTAAATAAGTAGCGAAAATGCTAACAATTTTTAAGTTTAAATTGAAAATCAAGCCAAGGTTAGTATAGATTTTCCTAGCAAGTTTATTTTACACTCATTTTAAAATTACGATTTTGAAGTATTCTAAGGAAAATTTGAATCGCTTTAAAACTTTAAATACTATTATCCATTCTAAAATTGTAAAGAAATAATAAATAAATTAAATGAAATCAACTTAAGTAAAAGAAATAAGATGGGTATTAAAAAAACTTCAAAAAATGATAATAGTACTTGCTATGGTAGAAGAAACAACTTATTTAAATTTATCTAACAATTAAAGAGCTCTCACAGAGATTAGAAAACAGATAGTAATCAAATTTCAATCAATTAAAGTTTTGAATTTAATATTAAGTAGTAAAACGCAGATTTTTCATCTAATAAATAAGCTTAAAATAGTTCTTCTAAATTGGAATAATCAAATATTTCTAGTTTTGAAGAAATTTAATTGAATTAGAGCAAGCAATCTAATGAAATATCAAATTAGAATTAAAATAACACAATAAAAGTTGATTTAGAAATCCCTTTATTTGAAGAAGACTAAGAACATTTCTAGATACAACCCTCTTCTTCTCAATGTAAAAGGTCATACCTATTTGGATAATAATCACAACTTTAAAAATCTCTTTATTGATGAAACTTAAACAATTAACAAGTAAAAGCAAAAACCTTTTATTTAGTTCTAAAAATAAAATTGAAAATATCTAATTGCATTTTTTTATTTAAAAATTAATTAATGTGTATTTCAAGGTTTAAGAAGGCCATGAAAAAAATTATTTATATTTTTAATTAGGCATTTTTGCAAATAACATTTAATATTAAGATTTCAATATAACATCAAAAAATTATTATTTATATTAATTCACTTTATATGTATTTTAAAAACACTTTTAAGCAATTTATTAAATATTTTATTCTTAAAATTAATAATCCTTATATTTAAGATAAATAGTTTTTTTAATCACACATCATTAAAATACTCAAAACATTACTTTTTATTTTTCCTATATAAAATGAAAAAAAATATTGGCAACTGTGAGATTCGAACTCACGCGGATTACATCCAGGCGATCTTAAGTCGTCCCCCTTAACCAACTCGGGCAAATTGCCTTATTGAAATATTAAGTTAATTATTAATTATTTTTTAACAAATTTGCTAGCAAAGTATTCTAAATAACTAAAAATAATTTTTTTTGTTGAGTAAAAATTAGAATAATAATTTTGCTATTTTTTTAGAAAAACTTCTTAAGACTAAAAAAATCATTTATATTTATTAGATTAAAAGAACATTCTAAAAATATAATTTTAAAAATTTTAATAGATTTTAATCAAGTAAGTAAGTAAGTAAACTCTATTATAATTTATTATTAATAGTTTTAGTTTTTTAAAATTTTATCAGCTAAAAAGCGATTAATTCTTAAATCCTTCATAAATTATAATTAATTTAAATATAATCTAAATTAAATATATGAAAAAAAAAAAAAAAATATATATATATACAATGAGACTCAAATTAAATTGGAAATATAAAATATATTTAGAGTTTGAACAAATTTCTATAAGAAACTTAATAACTTTCAATATATATCAATCAATATTCAAATTTGATTTGAGACACACTATATGCTTAAAGTAATTTATCACTTGAGTAATTTTTAGGTTTAAAGTGTGGTGTGTTTTTTAATTATGAAAATGAAGATAATAAATAATACATTTCAAATTTGATTTTAATGATAAAAACAAAGATGAATGGTATTAAAAAAAATACAATTTACATATTTAATATAATGGAATTTTAAAATTGTGTATTTACAAAAAAATTTATCAGAAATTATGTCATTTTAAATGCAATTTACTAGTAAAATAAATATTGAAAATATTTACTTTGATAAAAAAATAGCTTTTGTTTTAGATATTAAAATTTGATAATATTAACTAATCTGCGAAATCTATTGTTTTTTTGGATAAAGTTATCTACAATCAAACAAAATAAGCAAGATAGAAATATGAGCGAAAGAAAATTAGATTCTTCATAAAGGGAAAATTAGAGTTTTTAATGTCATCGCGAGAATTATAGGAAATCGAAGACTATTTAAGATACAAATCGTAAAATTAACACAGAAAATAATAGTCAAAAGGTCAGAACTCTTTTTAGAACATCTAATTTTTTACAGATTAATCAAGATACTGATAATTTATTTTCTAAGAGCATCTTGGACACTAAAAGGCAAAGCCAGTAAAATCGAATGAATGATAAAGATTTTAATCTCTCAGGCCATAGCTTAGAATCACACTTAAAGCAGGATAAAGATGCTTTTCAAAAAGTTGAAATGTTTATCCAGATTATTAAGAAGATAAGATTAAAGAAGTATATAAATACTTTTTTATAGTTGAGTAAGATCTGGCTGTACAAAAATCTTAATTAAAAATAATTGATGCAGATATATGATTTGAGTACATTTTAACAAAGTGATAATAGCAATTTAAATAATTAAAGTTAGAATAATGATAATAAATTTTTTATTTTCCAAATGATTTAAAGGATATCCATTCCTATTTTCTTGCCTCATAGTTACTTCATAAGTATTTGGTAAATGCTTAAGATAATCAGTATCTCCATTTGCTATTTCTTTTATTTAATTGCGTTTACAGTTGATATAAATATTAATAACCTTTTTGATATTAGAATACTCTTATTGTGTTAATTATGCCTTGTTATTGATATTTTCTTAACAATAAACACAGGCATCTACATTAAAGGTATCCTTTGCACTAACAGACAAGACATATTTAGCTATTACAGATCTTCTATAACATTTTACTGTGATATTTGCTCTGTTTTCTTTACTTCCGTTTACTACTTAATACACTTTTGTAACATCTAACAAAATAGAGCAGTCTTAATTTTATTACTACCTATTGTATTTAAACTTAATGACTTCTATGTGATAATCAAAAAGATTAAATTCAGATTCTAATTTGATAGAAAAATGTAAAATTGCATTGAATTAATCAACCTCATCAAGAATATCATATTTATATCTCACATTTTTGCATGCATTTGGCTGCGAATAGGTCTAGTTTCACAAGAATATTTTGATTCTTCATAGGGAAATTCAAGTTCTAGTTTGAATGTAGAAAAAGGAAACTAATCGTTCTATTCTTGGATTGATTTAATGAATTTAAGTGATTCTTCATGGTATGATTAATATTTATACTCATATTATTACATAATTGTAACTATGAGTACTGTGGGATATGGTGACATCAGACCTACTAATCCATTAGAAGTAGCTATTTGTGTGTTTCTAATAATAACTTGCTGCATAATGTTTGGTTTTACACTTAATTCTATTGGTGAGATATTTTAGGAGTTTTTTACTAAAGAAAAATTAATTTAAGAAAAAAGATATATAATAGCTAATTATATGGATAAAAATCACATCGATGCTAGCACCAGAAAAAGTATTTTTGAATATTTAGAGTAAAAAATTAAAAATTTATTTTTCTCAATTTAATTAATTTTAAATTGTTTTCGAAATTTTAAAAGAAATTGATTTTAATATTTTAAGCTAATTTTGAAAAATGAAAGAATTAAAATATTTGTATTTTTGTTAAAGATATAAATACATAAATCAATTCAGTATAACTAAGAAAATAAAGCAATAATTTTAAAAATCTAATAGCACCCTACAAAAAATTTATTTGTTTACTTAACTAAACAATTAAACAAATAGACGAGTGGTTAAAAAAAAGTAAAATTTATTCAAAAATATCAATGATGTTTTCTTTAATAAGAATTTTAAGAATGTGAATAAAACTTCAAGTAACAATCAAAAGAAAATAATTTTTAAATTCTATAATTAGTAATCTGATATTACAAAATAAACGCTTAACTTAAGAATATTTTAAATATCTCAAAATAAAAATAGAATTAGGAACAAATAAATAAATAATGGCTAATATTTAATTTTAAAGATATTTGTAAAAGTAATATATTTATTTCTAACTAAAATCGGATCCATAAAAACCAATTTTTATATAGAGAAATAAATAATGAATTGTAATCTGTAAAATAGACAAATAAATAAAGAACAATTTATTACTGAAAAAAAGTGTTTTTGATAATTAAAAATATTATGTTTATTTAATTAGGTATTACTGGAAAGAGTCAATTGATGAAAATTTATAAGAAGAAAATAAGATTATATAGCAACTTTCTGATAATCTTAAAGAAGAACTTTTGATTTAGTCGAATAAATTAATTTTAAAAGAAAGTAAGGTTCTTAAGGAAAACTTTAGTCCAGAAATTCTTGCAAAGTGTATTTCAATAATTAAAGAACAAAAGCTGACTCCAGGGGAAACTCTTATTTAATAAGAAGAAGGAAATTTCGATTGTTCAATTTACTTTGTACTTTTTGGGGAACTTGAAATTTACAATAAGTAGAAACTAAAATAAAAAAGTAAAAGCTCTAATTAGTTAGGATTTATTGCTCATCTTAAAAGGGTAAAAATTTTTATTTTTATTGTTATTATTATCATGGTTATTATTTATAATTTAACTTTAACAATCTAAAGGGAGAATGCTTTGGGGAAAGATCGTTTTTTTCAGGAAATACCGAATGTCTAAATGTTAGAAGCAAATCGTTTAGTAAAATATTGAAGATAAGGAGAGAGGACTTTATCCAGCTACTAAAAGAAGAAAAAGAATAATATGAAAAATTTATTTATTTGTAAGATAAATTAATATTTAGCAATGATATTAGCTAGCTGAATTAGAAATGCAAGTCATGTTAAAGCAATAATCACGAAATAGATAGATGTCCTTTCATACATTTTATTCCTAGGAAATTTAAAATTATTGGAGTGAATTAAATGAGCTGCTCTTAGGAGAGAAAAAACTAATACAAAAGAGGTGGCAAGAAATAGGGAACATTAGAAAATTCTCCTTACAATACTTAAGCTTTGCTAGACTACTTAGAGAATTAAATAGATGACATTGAAGCCTATGAATAATAATACTTTTAATTTAGTTTCTTTAAATAGAAATCAAGACAGTTTTAATAAGTTGAAGATGATGATTTTGATTTTAATAAAAATTTCTAAGAAGGAATGAGATCGAGGTAATTTACGAATGATATTTCTGAATCTCCTTTTGTTGGATAACTTGAAAAGAAAAAATCTCAACAATGTTTTAAAAAAAAAGTTGGCTTGGTTTTCTAAAGCCCATCAAATAATTTACCGAGTATTCATTCTGTTATTGAAGACCAGCAACCAAAAGAGATACAAAATCTGACTAAAAATAAGACTTCTTAAGTATTTTATTTGGAAGTAGATGCTTAATCAAATTTATAGGAATAGCCCTAGAGTTAGATATTTATTTGCGATTAGGAAGGTGGAAATTCAATGTATTTAAATGAAAATTCTTAAAATATTACAGACAAAATAACACAATAACATCATAGATTTAATGCTCTAAAAAAATAACCTTCAAAAGATATGAATAACAATTAGTCAGCCGAAAAAAACAAAATAAAACAGGAGAGCGTATCGAAAATTGCTTAAAAGAACTATGATTAAGTTGTAAATTTTGATGTAAAATCTTCCATCCATGTTTTAATTGAAGACAATGAATTCGATTTGCTCCATGGAAAGCTAGATAAATATGAGAATTTCTAGTATTATTTTCCTAAGTAAAATGTAAAAAATATAATCAGCTAACTAAATCCAAGTATTCGCTAAAATAAAGCAAAGAAAAAAAAGACAGTTCTTTAATAATTTAGAGATAGCTAAGTATATTCAAAGTTAAGCAAAAGTCTTTATTAGTTGCTCAAAGAGAGAGATTTAGGTTCTTGTAGAACTATAACTAGAAGCAAAGCAAGGGAAGGAAGTGGAATAGAAAGAAAGATAATAATTCAATCTTAATAAAGCTAATCAGCAAATAAAACTAAAATTCAAAGAGGAAGAAAAAAAATGAGCTTACCTGAAGATTTATCTCACCGAAATGAATAGTTAGAAGATTCATTTTTAAGTTAATCGAAAAATTATGATCTATTTAGAAACTAAACAAAAAGATAACTTCAAAATGAAGATCCTCAGACACCTCCTTAAAATGAGAATGAAATTCACCTAGTAGAAGTTACTTCGATGGTTTTTAAAAAGCAAAATAAATATTTTAGCAATCTTGACACGTCAAATGTCTAATTCCATTATAATTATAATTGAAAATGCTCCCAGTATTAATTAATAATAATAAATAACAAATTATTTGATTTATCTCTACTTAATATTTTGTCATAATTATCTTAATTAAGACTAAATTTTATTATTTTTATTAAGAACCAGCCTTTACCATATAGTCAATAATAACTACAATTCTAAATCATTTGAAGAATTATATACATTATTTAAAAGTAAATCTGTCAATTAAAATTTTCTGTTTTACATGTTTATCAAATAATCATTGACTTTGTTGTTTTTTTTATTACTTTGCGAACAATCAATAATGAATGTTTTTTGAATTAAATTTGCCCAATAAATAATAAAAAATATTTTTTTAAAAATTTATTGGATCAATTAGGAATACAAAAGTATAAAAATATCTATTTTACCAAGATTATATTGCAGTCATATTTATTTACCGAACTTTTAAATATAGTTAAAAAATTTTAAATTTGGTAAGTACTTTCTATAAATTTCGCTTTTATAGGTATTTATTATATAGACTCTACTTATAATTTTTTGATACTATTTTTGTATTTTTTATTATTTAAAAAAATTTGCATTAAAGAACCAGTGATAATTCCTTTTTATTTTAGTAGAATTTCTTGCCTGATTTAGCTTTTTAGTTTTATATGATTTTCTTTCATTTATTAATAATATAGTAAACAAATATTAATTAAATCAAAGATAAATCATAAATAGGTAGAAATAAATAAAATTCTTCACTATGCTTAATATGATAGAAGATAGTAATTAGGATAGCTAAACATAAAAATCAAACTAATGTAGCCAAGGGCTTGAAAATAGCTCATTTTTGAAATTCTCAAATCTGAGATAACGAAAATAAACACACTAATCAGATTATAGAGTAAGCGCTTAAATGAGTCCAAATACTGCTTTAAATAGAAATATGGCTAAATTAAAATTAGAAAAATTAGATGGAGAAATCAAGCATTAAATTGAATAAGACAAGTGGAAGAAGTTAGAAAAAATTATGAAGAAACTAAAATTTAAAACATTCATCAAAAAATTCATAATGCTTAGTAGGAAAAAGCTATTTAAGTTGTTAAATATTACTTAGTTAGGTTTAATAAATGATAAAGCTTCTTTCTTCGACTTTGAAAAGCAGAGCAGAAAACAATAAAAGAGTATTGATGCAAACCAAAGCTAATTTTTTTAGAACTAAACAAATAAAAAAGAATTTGCTTTGTGGATGATTTTTAATCCGAATAACTTTTATCTTGAAATATGGAATCTCCTTAAACTTTTTTGCACAATTATATGCTTTTTTTTTTATTTAGTAAGTTTCTCATTCAGTGTGCATGTAGTAGATATTGTAAATCCTATTATCTATTTTGGGTGTTAATTTTGCCTTGCGTTAGATATATTGATCCATTTAAATACTGCTATATACGTAAAAGGTTAACTTACTTTAAGCAGAAAATTAATTATTTAGCAATACAAGTCTTCGAATTTATTATATTATGATGTTTTTCAGGTTTTTTCCTTTTTAATTTATTCATTTTTAGCTATTTTGAATTTTGCTCCTATCTTTTTTTAATAAATTTTTTTGTTACCAATTGTCTTTAAATATCAAGATTTGAGCAATATGCTTCAGAAAATGAAGAATAAATTTATTTCTAATAAGCAGGCTTAAAAAGGCTTCGAATTAATTAATCTAATTAAAAATATCTTATTCATATCTCATATATTTTCATGCATTTGGATATTAGCTGCTAAAGTATATTTACCTCTAGTCTAATAATAGACTAACTAAACAGATAATCAAATCAATTAACAGAATTTTACAACTTGGATTGATTTTATGAATATTCAAAATGAGAGCTGGGCTATTTAGTATTTATATTCTTACTACTTCATTATAGTAACAATGATCACAGTTGGTTATGGTGATGTCAGACCTACAAATCCTTTAGAAGTAGGAGTTTGTATTATATTGATGATGACTTGTTGTTTAGTTTTTGGTTTTACAATCAATCAAATAGGATATATTTTCTAGGATATGTACATGAAAGAGAAGAACATCCTCTTAAAAAGAAACGTAATATCTAAATACATGTAAAAAAAAGAAATCAATTCTTAAACTTAAAATTAGGTTTTAGAATACTTAGAGTAAATGTTTTACAAAATTAATTTCATTTAATATTTGTATTTTATTAATATATTATTTTAAATAACTACCTGCTTTTAATATTTCTAATCAATTTAATTTTTTAAAGAAATTTTGCTTTCTTGAATAAGAGGGGGTAGTATTCTAAATTTGTTTATTATAAAAAATTGTGTAGATACGTTTGGCGAGAAGATTTAGATGAACATTAATAAGAAGCGAACACAATTTTAAATTAACTTTCTAGTAATTTGAAATAGCAAATTTAATTGGAATCAAATAAATTAGTTTTAAAGGAGAACAGAATATTAAAAGATAATTTTAGCCCATAAATACTAGCTGAAATAATACCTTTTATTTAAGAACAGAACTGTACTCCAGGAGAAGTAATTATAGATGAATAAATAGGAAATACAGAAGGATATCTTTATTTCGTTTAATAAGGAGAAGTAGAACAGTATAAAAATTGCTAATAAACTCAAATATATTTAAAGAATAAAAAATAATCAATAGTTTCTATTAAAAAGATATTATAAGTAAATAATTATTAAATAAATCTTCATTCAAATTAAATAATATTTATTACAAATACTTAATTATATTTTTAAAAAAGGGAGAAAATTTTGGGCAAAAGGCATTCTTTACTGGAGAGAAATAAAGCTTGAGTGTAAGGAGCTTAAATTTTAGTACGCTTTTAAAAATTAAAAGAAATGACTTCTTAATGATTATTAAGTAGTTTTAAAGTGATTTTGAAAAATTTTGTATGATTAAAGATAAAATTATTTATTCTGGATTTTATGTATAATTAAATGAATAGTGTTCCTCTTGTCATGAAAGAAATCATACAGAAATATAATGCCCCATATTACATTATATCCCTAAAAAATTTAAAGTGTTATAAGAGAATACTATTAATACTCCTCATTTAGTGCGCCAAACTCAGTTCAATAGAAAAATAGCTTAGAAAAGGAATACATTTCAAGATCTAGAAAATAACGTTTACAGAGGACTGCAATTTATTGAAGAAAAAGGTGAAGACCTTGATGAATTCGAAAATGAGTACTTAGAGTTTTCCTTCTTTTAAAAAAATCAACTATATAACAGTGATCTAGAATAAAATTAAGAAAAGGTGCTAGTTTATTCATAAAAAGTTAAGTCCATGTACTAAAGAAATCAGACATCAAAGGAAGAAAATGATAAATATTCAAAAAGGAAATCAAGGATATATTCATTTGTAAGTAATCATTTAATAAAATAAAAAACATTAGATGAGGAAAATATTTAAAGCGCAAAGTCAATTTAGAACAAGAGTGAAAATGAAAATGAAAATGAAATTAATTTAGAATAGGAAAATTTTAGGAAAAAAATGCATAAAAAATTCATGAATACTATGTCAGTAATATATCAAAGTAGCAAACTTATTTAAGAGCATGAGGAATAGTCTGAAAGTAATAATTACTCAAAATAAACTATAGGATAGATACAAAGACCTTCTTTTATCATGAATCAATCAATTAAAGATATTTAAATTCAAGAAAAATGTACCAAAAATTAGAAAGTTAGTGATGTAAGTAATAACTTAAAAACTTAAATAGAATCTCATATCCAGCTTAGTTTACAGCCTTATTCAAATAAGAATGAGATTGATACTGAATTCAATACTCATTTTGACATATTTTTTGGATAATTTGAGTCTCTTTAGAACTATAAATATTATTTCCCATAGTAAAATTATAAAGAAGTACTGAATAAATTAAATGATATCATCATAAACCAAGTAAATGCTAGAGGAATCAACATGAAAAATTTCTTAAAAAATGAAAATGGTATTAGTAGTTTTAAAAGAAGAAATAATGTATTTAATTTCATTAAAAAAAAAATATATGACTCTTAATTGCTGCAAGCAGTTGATTCATAAAATTAAAATATTAATGGTAATAATCCAGATTTAGAAGCTTAATAAAATTTCACTCTTTAAGATACCTAATTTAAACCATAATCTCTCTCAGTAGAATCAGAAAATAAAACTACTATTTCTAAAATTTAATAATCTTACAATCTAAATGGCTTGACAGCGCAGGCTATGAATGACATTTCTACAAATGCTTTAAATAACTCAATTAAAGTTGATTTAGATACTCCTGAACTTGAAGACGAGTAATAAGATTTTAGGGTTCTTCCTTTGGTTTCTTACCCAAGGCGATCCTATTTTTATGATTCTAATAACTGATAAGAAGATGAGTTAAACCCTAATTTGAATAAAATGCATTAATGAGAAAAAATATAAAAACAGACTTAGCATATATTGATTAAAATGATAATAAAATTGTATCATAATTATTTCTTTTGGAGTAAATATATATTTAGTAGAGTAATAAATATTATTTTATAAATTAAAAAATGATAAAAAGATATCTAAATAGGTTTCTAACCTGAATAAAAAAAATAAAAAATTTTTAATCATAGATTTTTTTATTAAATGTATATGCCTCAAAATAATTTGTCTTTGCACCGCACCTACCTGAAGAAATTATTAAAAAATAATTAAAATTATTATTTATTTTTTTAATTAATTTAATACTTTTTGGTTATATAAATTTATAATTTTTAAATATTTTAGGAATGTAAAAATACATAAATCTATCATAAAATTATTAATTGAAAAATTAATTAAAAATTCATGAATATACAAGAAGACATACAAATTTATTTCTTCGATGATTGAAAAAAAAATTTCAATCATAGAAAGGAAGTTATTAATAATTAATTTAATGATTTTTTATGTTATTTATTTATTTTTGAATATGTTGTAGGTGCTTGCTTGTAAAAAAATGAATTTACTTATGAATGTAAAAATGAATTATATTTGTTTACCTTTCAAATTGTTTTTCAAAAAAGGAAGAATGATAAAGTCAATTTTTAGTTTGTAAATTTCTTTAGAAACTCAAAGGATTTACATATATTTACATTTATTTATGACTAGATTAATGTTTATCTGTTTAAGTGTAAAATGGCCTATTTAAACCTCCAACTTTATAATGTTTTCTACCTTATTTATCTATGATAATTATTACATAACAATTTAAATAGTTATCATGATTTAATCAATAAGCATTTCTTTATAAAATTATAAATTAAAATAAAAGCTTGAGAAATAAGTTTATAAATATTATAAACAATGGAAAGAAGGGCAAATTTAATTCAAAGATTATACTAAGAAGAAAAGCAAAAATGCAATAGTCTTATTAATATAAATTAAGATCTATAACATGAAAAGCAAGGAAATAAAAATTAAAATAAATCTACTAATAAATAAACTAGCTCATAAGAAACAAGTATTTTAAAAATCAAATAACCATCAATTGATGCTATACAAGCTACAAATAAAAAAATGGAGATTAAGAGATTGAACTTATAAAAGACTTATCAAAGCAAAGATTTCGATAGCGAGAATGAGATGAAATGGAATAGGTTAAATGATATTATTAAAAGAATTAAATTTAAAAAATATATAAAGACATTTCTTTCTTTAAGTAGGATCAGACTAGAAAAGCACCTTACTCCTTCTTAAATACAAAAGATAAATGACTTAAGTTATTCGTGTAATTCTTATAGTACTAATAAAGAGATAGAATATAAAGTAGGAAGTAATAATATTCAAGATAATAGCAGCAATGCACTTTTGAATCTTTTTCATTCTATAAAAATTCCTATTTTTTTACCTCATAGTCTATTATATGAGATTTGGACATTTGTAAAGATAACTAGTGCTATGATTTGCTTTTATTGTTATTTAGTTTGCTTCGCTTTGAATAAAGATTTGGAGCAGCTGTTTCCAATTTAATTGTTAGTAATTTGTCAACTATGTATTTTTTTAGATATCTTTATTACTTTAAACACAGGCATCTATATAAAGGGTATCCTTTGCAAAGATAGGAAAGATCTATTTAATTATTATAAATCTTCAAAGACTATTTATTATGATTTTTGTTCTACTTTTTTTACTACACTCTATTATTTATTTCATTTTAACGGATTCTAACATTCTTAAGCTTTAATGGTGCTACTACTTCCGATCATTTTTAAACACAATGATTTTTATGTGATTATAAAGAAATTGAAGTAAAAATTCTTATTAGATAGGAGAGCATAAAATATAATTGAACTTATAAATTTACTTAAAAACATCTTGTTGATTTCTCATATATTTGCTTGTATTTGGCTTTTTGTAGGCTTAATGTCAGACGAAAATAACATCCAAAGTAACAACAGTGCAAATTCGTAACCCTAGAGTTGGCTTGAGTTAGTTGATATATAAAACTCACCATGGTATGTATAGTATTTAAATTCTTATTATTATATTGCTGTAACTATGAGTACAGTTGGGTATGGAGACATAAGAGCAACGAACCCAATAGAAGTTTTAGTGGCTGTATTTTTTGTTATGACTTGTAGCGTAATTTTTGGGTTTACTTTGAATAACATAGGTGAAATATTTTAAGATTTCTTTTAATTTGAGAAGCAGATCCAAGAGAAAAGGTATGTGATCGCTAACTATATGAATAAGAATGGCATTAATTAAGAGACAAGATAAAGCATATTTGAATATTTAGAGTAATTAATTACAAAATTTTTAATTACATGAAATTTTTAAGTTTCTACCTCAAATTCTTTAGAAAAAACTAAGTATACGAATTCAATAAAAGAGTTTACTCGATTTTGAATTACTATTTAAAATTTTACACTCGGGAAAAACTCAAAAAAAAACAAATCTTGGAATTAAAAGATGAATTTATTAATTTACTGGAAGCTAATTTGTTACTTCTAATGTTTTAATTAATAATAACTTAATTAATCTCCACAAATTAATTAAAGAACATTTCATTCATTTTGATAGACTTTAAGTTGGGATTTTTTATTATTTTCAAACATTTACTTATTTATTTTTTTAGTTTCAAATATTTGCTTCAATAAATGTAACTCACCATTATAAATATAATTATTACAATTCGTATGACTAGTTGATGATTACTTAATTATTTTTTAATTTCATTCATATTAATTTAAAAGATACTATTGGAAAGATAAAATTAATGAGAATACGCAAGAAGAAAATAACATAATATCATAATTGTCTGATAATCTAAAGGAAGAGCTCCTCATTTAATCAAACAGACTCATTTTTAAATAAAATAGGGTTCTTAGAGATAACTTTAGCTAAGAAATTCTAACTAAATGTCTACCTATCATATAAGAAATGAGGTTTACCTAAAACGAAATCATAATAGATGAATCAACTGGTAACTCTGACTTTAGTATTTACTTTGTTTTATAAGGAGAAATAGAAGTTATTCATAGGTAGAATCATTCAATCCCTCTTAATAATAGCTCAAATAAGTAGATGAAATAAACCAACAATAAATACAAAGAAATCGCTATCTTAAGCCAAGTAAATTTAAAGAAATATTAACTTTTTTTTCCCTTTTATATCTTTATTTTTTATTATTTTTCCATTTGGTCTGTAAAAAAGAAAACCAACCATTTTTTTTTAATTACATTTAAAAAATGAAAGAAATGTTTTTAAAAACAATTTGATGATATTATACAAAGAAATAATATTTGAATTAAAACTTATTTTTAATTAAATCAAATATAATAATTCTAACTATTATTAATTGTCAATAGGGTGATTCATTTGGCGAGAAATCTTTTTTTTCTGGATTTAAATAAAGTTTAACTTTTCGAAGCAAGAAATTTAGTAAAGTTTTAAAAATAAAGAGAGACGACTTCATTAGTATTTTATAAGGAGATTAAGAATAATACGAAATATTTTGCTCTATCAATGACAGACTTATGTTTTGTTCAGACTAAAGCTTTTTACAATTATAATGCAAATCTTGTAAAGATAGCTCTCATGATATAGTATAGTGCCCTTATTTACATTTAATTCCAAGAAAGTTAAAGCTTTTGAGCAACATAAAGAACTCATAACCTCATTTAGATAGAAATGCATTTAAAAGGAGACTTTATAAATAAGGAGCTCTTGAAAATAATGATTTAATTTAATCTAGTTTGTATGAGTTCATTGAAAACAAAGAAGATGAAATAATATAATATGAAAACTAATACTATACATATAGATAGTTTTTAGGCTCAAAAACCTATTTTGTTAGTGATGAAGAAGCTGACTAGATTCCTAAGTCTCTAAAAGAAAGTATAAAAGAAAGGAGAGCACCCACATCTGAGATTTCAGACTCTCCCTAAATGAATGCAAGCAAAAAGTTTAATTTTAGTAGAAGAATAGGATTTATGTTAAATACTAATTCAACTAACTAGTAAGGAAATGCAAGTACAAAAGATTAAATTAATTATATTTCATGCAATTCTTTAGATGATTTTTAGTTAAATGCTCCTAATTTGGTTCAAGGATAAAATAGAATAACGTTATCTAGAGATTTAGATGCAGTAGTTAGATAAAACTCTGAGTCTGATATCAAATTTGAATTTCCGCCTTCTTAAAGTAGTACTTCAATAATAGAAAAACAAATATAATAATCGCGTTAGTAGTTTTTTAAAATGCAAATGCTTAAAGAAGGAAATCGAGTATAATTTGAAAAGGTAGTGAAATAAAAAACTCAAGAATAAAAAGAGAAGCCATAATAACATTTCTAATAATTAAAACAGGATTATACAGATTACGATTTATTTGGAGGTGATTTTGAAAAAATGGCTATATTCACCAAGTATTTCCCTAAGTATAACTACAAAAACGTGGTTTCTAGTCTTCAATAATAAAAGTAACCTAAATATTAAATGAAAGATAGCATAAATATTCCTGTAAATAGGAAAATTAATAGAAATATACAGTCTATTATTAACAGAGAAAAGGAAGTAGTATCATGTAGATCTCTGCCAAGAATGAAAATAAAAGGCGAAACTCCAACCTCTAGAGAGAATACTATCAATAAATCCTAACACAACGTATCTAATGGAGGTGCTAATAATTTTAGCTAAATGATGAAATTTAGGGTCAGTCATTAAGATAGTATAATAATGAACGAATCTAATTTAGATGTTGTTATGGAAAAATAACTAAGTTACGAAGAGCCAAATACCCCTCCTAGAAATGAATACAATATCTCAAAACAAGCCATTAATTCTCTTGCAAACTTCAAAACATCCTAGTATAACTTTGGAAATATCGAAGATTCCCAATTAGTTACAATTAGAAAAGAATATATCGATTCAATGAATCATTGATAAATTCATTTTTACACTCATCAAAATCTTTTATTGATTGAATTAAATCATAAATGTCATCATAAAATCAATTTAAAATATAGTTTTCAAATTTATAAGCAAAAAAAATTCTAAACCTAAAAATTAATTAGTAACCTAAATAAATTAAAATTAAGATAAACATAATATTAAAATTTATTTGTAAAATACATACATAACTTACTTTCACTTAATCTATGAAAAAAAAAATATTTTATATTTCTATTTTTTTTCTAATTTACTAAATTTATACTGCAATAGTTATTTTGAAATTAATATGAGGATTTATTTATATTTGACAAATCAAAAAAACATATTAGTTAAAATTATATAAAAATTAATTATTACTTTATTAATGTAAATTAATGCCCCGAGGGCTATAATAATATAGCTAATCCTGTAATTAAAATATCACGAACTATGTAGAAATAACTAATGACAATTTATTTTAGGGTCAAAAATTATCCACCCCTCTTAAAAATGTTTAAATAGCAATGATTCGTTTGCATTAATAACACTACAAACAAATTAAAGTGAGAGCATGAAATTAGAAGAAAATAAATAATCAGTTTTAATTTAAATTAATAATATTTAAAGTATTTTTATATCATTTACTTAGAAGTGGTAACTAATAAATGTAAAATTGTATTATTAGTAACATTAATTTTCGTTATTTTATTCCTTCTAATGCTAGATCAAAGTTATTAGAAAAATAGCATGAATTATTAATGAATAACATATAATATTGCTATTAACATGTGTATGGTTAAAATTTGCTTATATATTTTAAAATATAAAAACAGATGATTGATTACGAAAACAAATCATTAACTAGCTTATTATTCATCTATTCTTAATTACCAAATTAGCTAGTATTAATTAAATTTGGTTATCTTCTGGTCTCATTCATTAATAATGTAAATAATAAATAAAACATACATTAATAAATTAATCAATTGATTGAATGATAAATAATAATTAGGAAAAATCAAGTAAAATGGAAAGAAGAGCAAATTTAATTCAAAGATCATTTATAGAAGAAAGATAAAACTGTATTAGTTTTAGTAATATCCATGAATAGTTTTAGACAGATAAATAAGTTTAAAAAAGCTAAAATTAATCTTAGTATAAATAAAGTAGCATTCATGAAACTAGCACTGCTTAAATTAAATAGCCATCAATTAATGTTATGGATTAGTAAAAAAAAAGGACTAGCAGTCATAAGAAGATAAATAATTTAAAAAGGTTCAGTCTTAGCAAAAATATAAATAGTGAGAATGAATTTATCAAGTGGAATAGATTAAATGATATTATAAAAAGAATTAAATTTAAGAAATACATATAAGCCTTTCTTTCATTGAGTAAATTGAGGTTATAAAGACATCTTACATCATTTTAAATTTAAAAGATTAATGATTTAAGTTATTGGAGTGGCTCTTAAAACAATTAAAAAGATGCAGAATATCAAGCAATAACAAATGAATCTTAACTCGAAAACAGCTAAGATATTATAAATAAAATTAAATCAATGAAGATACCCATTTTTTTACCTCATAGCTTGTTGTATGAAATCTGGTTGTTTATAAAAATTTCTAGCGCAATGATTTGCTTTTTTTGTTATTTAGTGTGTTTCGCTTTAAGCCAGGATTTGGAGGAGTTATTTCCAATATAACTACTATCATTATGTTAATTATGTATATTTTTAGATATTTTTATTACCTTAAACACAGGTATCTACATCAAGGGTATTCTTTGCACAGATAGAAGAGAATTATTTAGCTACTATAAATCTTCAAAGGCTATTTATTATGATATTTGTTCTACCTTTTTTACTACACTTTATTATTTGATACACTTTAACGGAGTTAAATAATCTTAAGCAAAAATGACATTATTAATACCTATTATTTTTAAGCACAATGATTTTTATGTCATTATTAAGAAATTAAAGTAAAAATTTCTATTGGATAGGAGAGCATAGAATATAATTGAGCTGATCAATTTATTAAAAAACATTTTAGTAATTTCTCATATATTTGCATGTATTTGGCTTTTTATAGGATTAAGATCTGAAGAGATTTACAATTAAAGTGATAATGATAGTAATATACAACAGCCTATCAGTTGGCTTGACCTTGTAAATGTTACAAAATCTGAATGGTACGTTTAATATTTGAACTCATACTATTTTATTGCAGTAACTATGAGCACAGTAGGATATGGAGATATAAGAGCAACGAATCCTATTGAAGTTTTAGTGGCAGTGTTTTTCGTTATGACTTGCAGTGTAATTTATGGCTTTACGCTGAATAGCATAGGAGAGATTTTTTAAGATTTCTTTTAATTTGAGAAATAGATCCAAGAAAAGAGGTATGTAATCGCTAATTACATGAATAAATACAATATAACATAAGAAACAAGATAAAGTATATTTGAGTACTTAGAGTAATTAATTTATGATAATTATTTGAAATTAATTATTATTTTTTAACTTAATTAAATTTACCTTAAAATTTTATAATTTTTTTTTTCAATATTACTATCTATCTATCTAATTATATCAATCAATAATAAATAATCTTTTTAATTTCAATCAAAGTTTTTGTTAAACACAAAAATAATTTATAAAAGACAAACTATTCATTTTTTTATCTTATTATAAATTACTGGAAATGAATTTAAATTAACTCGCTATAGATTGATTAGGCATTTATATAATCGATACACATTAGTTCTCAAAGTTAATTACAAAATGTTTCTTATTAAAATGTACGAAAAAAGTCACTAATTTAATGAAATCATTTTTACCATCAATTTCTTAAAATCTTTACTGAAAATCATTTTTAGAAGTTTCAAAAAAAATACTGTTTATTAGATAATCAATTCCTATCTTAATTATTTGATAATTAGCATAATAGTTAATTTATTTGATATAATTCATTATTAAATTAAGCTATTTATTTATTTTAACTTTACACTGATCAGAAACTATTTTTCAACTTAATAAGACTTTAAAATAAATTATTTTCTATTTAACTTACATTTAAAACCTAACAAATAACCCTTTTTTTTTGATTATTAACTTAATTAAATATTAATTCATTTATTTATTTATTTCAAAAAGGTATTACTGGAAAGATAAAATCAATGAAAATACACAAGAAGAAAATAATATAATCTCTTAATTGTCTGATAATCTAAAAGAAGATCTTCTTATTTAATCTAACAGGCTAATCTTTAAAGAAAATAGAGTCCTTAAAGATAACTTTAGCCATGAAATTTTAACTAAATGTCTCCCTATCATTTAGGAAATAAGGTTTACCTAAAATGAAGTCATAATAGATGAATAAAATGGAAACTCAGATTGTAGTATTTACTTTATTTTATATGGAGAAGTAGAAGTTATCCATAGGCAAAGTAATTTAAGTACATTTACCTCCTTTCCAACAAAGCAGTTAAAATCCTCAAGTATTAAATACAAGCAGATATCAGTCTTGAGCAAGGTAGATAAATATTCATTAAAAACTATATAAAATGTTTGAATTCTTAGAATAAAAAAAATGAATTAATATTTATTTACTTTGTTTTAGTAATATTTTTTTGAAGCCCAATTTGATAATAAAAATAAAATTTTTAATCAACTAATTAATTAATTAATTCATTAAAGGGCGAATCATTCGGAGAGAAATCATTTTTTACAGGCTAGAAAAAAAGCTTAACATTTAGAAGCAAGAGTTTTAGCAAATTATTAAAAATAAAGAGAGAAGATTTTATCAATATTTTACAAGGAGATTAAGAACAATTTGAAATATTTTGCTCTATAAATGATAGGTTAACTTTTTCCACAAATCAGGGCTGCTTATAGTTATAATGCTAGTCTTGTAAAGATAATACTCACGATATGATATAATGCCCATTCTTGCACTTTGTTCCTAGAAAATTGAAGCTCCTTGGCAATATAAAGAGATCAGAACCGCATCTCAATAGAATGATTTATCAGAACAGAAGAAACTATAAATTGGCTGCTCTTGAAAATAATAATTTAATTTAATCATGCTGTGCTGAATTTTTTGAAAATAATTAAGAAGATATAACTTAATATGAAAATTAATACCACACATTTAGATAATTTTTAGGTTCTAGAACGTTATTTATTAGTGATGAAGAAATAGATTAAAATCCTAGATCTCTAAAGGAAAGTACAAAGGAAAAGAGACGAACCACATCTGACTTTTCAGATTCTTCACAATTAAGTTAAAGCAAAAAATTTAACTTTCCTAGGAAAATAGGCTTTTAATTAAATGGTAGTGGAAACAATTAAACAGGGAATGCTAGTACAAAGGATTAGTTTTATTAAGAATTTTGTCACACACTAGATGAGCTTTTCTTTAATACTGCAACTTTGTTGAATCCTCACATCAATAGAGCTGCTGTAACTAAAGATCTAGATGCAATAGCCAAACAAAATTAAGAAACTGATACTAAGTAAGATACTGCTTCTACTTAAAATTCTACTGCATTAATTGAAAAGTAAATATAGTACTCTCGATAGCAGTTTTTGAGATTATAGTTGCTAAAAGAAGGATAGAAAGTTTAATTTAGTGAAAAAGGAGGAATGCAATCATAAAAAGAAAAGACATAATAGTCTTTTTAATTATTAAAGCAAGATTATACGGAGTATGATTTGTTTGGAGGTGAATTTGAAAAAATGGCCACTTTTAGTAAATATTTCCCAAAATATAACTTTAGGAATGTGATTGGTAGCATAAACAAGATAAAGAAACATAGAAGTTATATAAAAGATAGTGTTCATGTTAATACATCAAGAAGGATAAATAGAAATATATAGACAGTAATCAATAGGGACATTAATACAAGTAGATCACTTTCTAGACTGAAAATTAAAATAGATACTCCAACTTCACGAGAGAACACTCTGATAAAGCATATTAATTCGCAATAAAACGGAACTAGTTTTATTAATAGCAGTAATATTAAGTTAAAAACAAGTTATCTACATAGCTTATCTGCTTCTAGTTAAAATGAATCTAATGTAGATGTAGTAGTCATAAAAAATTAACAAATTTGCGATGAACCAAGTACTCCTGTGCAAAATGAACATTAAAACTCAAAGCAAGAGATATAGTCTCTAAGACATTTCAAAACATAACAATATTTTAATTTAGATGACACATAACTAAACTCAGTCAGAAAAGATAATATTGAAATCAGTACACACCCTAATTATTTATCAAAACTAGAAGAATAAGCATATGAATGAATGATTATCTAAAAAATAATTGAAAATAAAACTAGAAAAATAGTTTAAGTTTATCAGAAAATTAATCATTTATATCAAAAATAATTCTTTTGAAAAAAAAAATACATAATTTGGAATGATTGATTTAACTTTTTAATTCTGATTATTTTTTTTACAAAATAAATGTAATTTTAATTTAAAAACGAAATAAATGAATAAGACGTATCTAATAATTCATCATATATTATATAAACAAACAAAAACATAATTCAATAAATATGATACTTGTGTGTTATCATTTATTTACCAAATTTTTATGTAAAAAATTGTAAGTTCTTTTAAGATTTGCTTTGAATGGTTATTCGATTTTACTAAGAGAGCCTTTTAATATTATTGATTGTATTTTTTTTATCTTACAAATAATTTCTCTCTTTCTTTATAAAATAATTAGCCTTATTTTTTTTAAAAAGTAGAAGTAAAAAGTAGTTAGTTAGTTAGCTTTTTTCATATATAAATTTGGCAATAACAAAAAAATTATTAATGTCCAGTTTAAATAATAGCATTATATTAGAAGATTATAAAGATGCTACAAGTGAATATGCTCCTTCTCACTACAGTAAAAAATACCATCCTGCTATAAAATCTCCTCTGAAAAAGAGTTAATATAAATAAGGTTAAGATTTCTTTAAAAGTAAATTAGCGAATGGTAATGCAGATGATTTAAGTCAAAAAGATCAAATAAGCGAAACTTCCAAAAGAAATTCAATAACAACCACTATTAAATAAGAATAGATAAATATTGAAGTAGGTAACTGGGATAGGTTAGATGTGATCATTAAGAGAATCAAATTTATGTCTTATATCAAAAAATTTTTAGTTTAAAGTAGAATGAGATTATTCAGATTACTTACCTTATAGCAAGCTTAAATGATTAACGATAATGGTAGCTACTTTTAGTCTCTTGATAAGAGAGGGAAACAGCTTTTTGCAGGCAATTTCAAATAAACTAATAGTTATTTGGCTACTATTTTAATTAAATGCTTATCTCAATTTCCAATTTTTAGCCCTACTAATCGTCTTCTTGATATTTGGCAACTAATTAAAATTATCTCTTTCTTGGTTTGCTTCTATTTTTACTTAATATGCTTTGCTTTTAATTAAAAAATAGAAAGTCTTCTGTATATAGAGATAATTTATTTATGTTAATCTTGCATGGCTCTTGATGTTTTTATCAGTTTAAATACAGCCATTTATATAAAAGGCTAGTTGACTACTCAAAGAAAGCAAATTTTATAATATTATAGAAACCAGAAAACCCTCTATTTTGAAATTTTCTAGCAAGTAAGCTTTATAATATACATGATATTTACTTATAGCGCTTAAATTACTTCAAGATATGTTTAATTTTTACTGCTGCCAATAATCTTAAGGCACGATGATCTCAATTTGATTATAAAAAAAATGAAAAATAAATTCCTACTCCAAAAAAAAACATAAAATATTATTGAACTAGTTAATTTAATTAAAAATATATTTCTGTTATCTCATTTATTTGCTTGTATTTGGATTTTAGCTGCTAAAATATCAGAAGACATTCCCTCTTACTAGCAAAAGCAAGTTAAAAGCGGAAGTTCTCCAGCTTATTCTACATGGATAAATTTAATGAATATATAAGATGAGTCTTGGGATGTTTAATATATTTATTCATATTATTTTATCACAGTTACTATGACTACTGTTGGTTATGGAGATGTTAGACCTACAAATCCACTTGAAGTAGGAGTATGCAGTTTTTTAATGATGATTTGTTGCTTTATGTTTGGTTTTACAATCAATTCTATTGGTGAAATCTTTTAGAATTTCTTTATTAAAGAAAAAAATATTTTACAAAAAAGAAGTGTTATTGCTGGTTACATGAATAGAAAAGAAATTAGTGCATCTACATAAAAATCTATCTTTGAATATTTAGAGTAAACAAATAAATATCTTTCTTCTTCTTTTGTTCACAATTAATTTTATTACCATAGATACTCAAATATTCAATTGACCAAAATTTTTTTCTAAAAAGCATTTTTTTAGTTATTATATTTATTTAAAATTACGAAATAAGTTTATTAAAAAATAATAAATATCATATCTTACATTATATAAAATAAAGATATTATTGGAGAGAAGAAATGGACGAGAATATTGAAGAAACTAACAAAATCCTTAATTAACTATCAAATAATTTAAATCAAGAGCTGCTTTTAGAGTCAAATAAACTAATTTTATAGAATAACAAAATTTTAAAGGAAAATTTTAGTTAAGAGCTACTAATAAAATGTTTACCTTATATTTAAGAGCAAAATTGCACTCCAGGAGAGATTATTATCGATGACAGAATTGGAAATGTCGAATGCTATATATACTTTGTATAACAAGGAGAGTTAGAAGTATTTTATTATAACTAAAGCAAAAACAACCAGAGATTTAAATAAAGTGAATCAAACGTCCTCAAAAAACTTATAAAAGTATTTGATAATCAATAATTTTTCTCTAATAAAAATAATTAATTTTTTCAAGTTTCTAATTATTTATTTATTTATTTATTTTACTATTTAGGGTAATAATTTTGGGCAAATTTCATTTTTTAGCGGATAAAAAAATAGCTTGAGTATAAAAAGTGTAAATTTTAGCACTTTATTGAAGCTCAAAAGGAGTGATTTTATTCAAGTTTTGTAACACTACCAGCAGGAGTATGAAACATTTTGCATGATTAAAGATAGAATCATTTTTTCTGGATTTAAAACTCAACTTTAAGATAAATGTGCTGCATGTGGAGATATTACACATACCGAAGTTAACTGTCCCATTCTGCACTTTATTCCGAAGAAGTTTAAAATTATTCAATAAGATTTAGTGAGTACTCCACACGATGGAAGGGATAGTTAATTTATTAGAAAAAGCTAGAAAATGAATTCAATTTCATATCTTGAATTTATCCTTCATCGATATTTAGAATTTATAGAAGAAAAATCCGATTTAATAGAAAACTATGAAGAAGAATACTTTTAATTCACGTATTTCAAGAAGAATAATACCTCTTTCAATGAAATAAATGACCTTTTTGAAGATGATAAAGATAACACAGGAATGAATATAAGTATTGCTCAGCAAACAAAACCTAGTGTTAGTGCTGAAAGAGTTTCTATAGTCTCTAATAAAGATAATATGAGTGATTAATCACATTCCGATAGAAATAAAGCTCGAAATGCATTTGTTAAAAGGTTTTCTTAGTACAAATTGCAAAAGACGCAAGACATAGAAGAATGCGAAGAAACTAGCTCTAAATATGTCAATTCTTAAAAATCTGAATTGGATTTAGACAAAGATGTCTATTAGTAGATTGGGTAAAGTTTAAAAAATGAAAAAAAAGATCAAAAATCAAAGAAAAAAATTACTACTATCGTTATAAATACTCATTCACAAAAACATATTACTGGAGATCTTGAAAATATTTAAGAAATTAATTCCCCAATACACTAAGAGAGATCAAGTAAAAAATTAACGTAGTTTATGCTAAACTAAACTTCTTCAAAGGATATAATTTCTTTAAACTAATAGATAAACAAGGATAAGAAGATACCTTCTTTAAATGCTCTCCCTGCTTAAGTCATTTAAGCGATACAAAAGCAGTAAACAGAAGCAAATCTTTAAATTTAATTTGATGTGTTTGATGGACATTTTGAAAAACTCTTTTAGTTTAAGAATTATTTTCCTAATTTTAACTTTAAAGAAATTATTTAATAGTTGAATGGATAAATATATAAAATAAAAATGGGAATAAGTGCGAATTTGATTAAAAAAGATAATAGATTGCATAAAAAAAGAAGAAATGGATAAAATATATCAGTACTCATGATGAATAAGCATGCTCAAAAGATAACAAACAAATAACTTAATTATATAAATACAGAGACTTTAATGAAATTGTCTTAAACAAAAATAAAATTGTAATTAAACCCAAACGATTTATAATAGAGTGAGTAAAATAAAGATGAAATAAGCCTATCAAATAGCATATATAACTATGATAAAATTATTGAAGATTATTCAAAGAAAGGTTCTGCAAATGTTTAATATTAGTTTGATATTGAACCACCAGAAGAAGATGAAGAAAAAAATAACTTCAAAAAAATCCCTGCAGACTTAAAAGTAAAACGATCTTATTAGAATGATGAAAGCTAAGAATTAAATTTGCTTGATAAAGGCTCCACTTACAAATTTTAATAAATTAAAGGTTAGGGTAGCAGTCATTCAACTGCAGTATTAAATGATCAGTTTAATTGAATTTAATTTATATATATTAAATAAATATATTTTCACAAATAAATAACAAATAAATAGAATTTTCTTAGAGATTGAATAAAACTAATTTAAATATGTTTATTTATTATATTAATTAATCTTATGCAATATTAGAAAATTAATAAAATATCTTTAAATTTTACACTATTATAATTAATTATATTATGGCTTCTAATTTTTATGTTAAATAATAATTCCAATTTATTATTTTATAAACATTCCTTAGAGAATTTATTACTAAAAAATTTAAATAAATCATATAATATGAATCCTCATAAACACTGCTATTAAATCTTTTTAAAAATGTCTTTCATAAATAATTTTCATTAAAAAAATTTTTTTTGGCCCTTAATTTATGCGACTCTTAATTAATGAGGATTTAGAGTATTTCATATTGCTCTATTTCTTTCTATCTTATAATATATTTTATAATGAGTAGCTCTATTAATAAGAAATAAATCATAAATTTCAATTTAAATTTGTAATTTTTTTGTATTCATGTAAGTAAAACAGTAAATAAATAATTTAAAAATAAATTTGATGACTAAATTTTAATGGCATTAATTAAATATAAAATAAATTTTTAATTCCTTTACTCAATATCTATCAATTTTCATACAAAATTTCGACAAGATGATTTTAAAATGAAAATACACTTTTATTTATCTTCTACATGCTAAAATTATTTTGATTTCCAATGTAATTTAGATATTAAAATATACTTTTAACATTTCTTTCATGCTTTAATTCTTTTGATTTCTTAATAATATATTCTTTTAAAAACAAGATTTTAAGAGAAAGAAATATTATTAATATTTTATTGCCTAAATAATTCATGAATATCTTATTTTTATAACCATTTGAATTTAAATCAAATAATCAATTTATTTCTTATTTTTATGCATTTTTACAATTTCTGAACTTTTATTTTTAATATTTCATCAATATAAAATAAAAAATAATACATTGTAAATTTCTTTACTATACGATAGCCAAAGTAAATTTTGATTTTAAGAACAGTGTGATTCAAATATAAAAATACATTTTTTAATATATTGCTCTTGCAATTCTTACAATTTCTTAGTCATAAATTCTTTCATTTTTCATTTTAAAGTATGGTTAAGCTTGATAGAAAGAAATATTATTTATATTTTATTGCTTAGATGACTTAAAGTAAGAATATTTTTATAATTATATCAATTTATTCTTATTTGTTCGATCTAGACGCGCTAAACTATATTTTATTCTTCTTAATAAATATCAAGTTGAAATAAATACTTAGTTTTCCCATAAATATTTTTATAATTTTTAAGTAATAATATAAATTAAAATTCAAACAATAAAAAAATTAAAAAATGAAATAGAATAAGCAATTTTCACTACATACTTTAGAATATTGTAAATCTGTTTAGAATAAATATTAATCAGCTTAAACACCTGCTACACTTAAGAGCGTTCAATATAAATGTTAGATTATCAATAACATACTAAAAACTACCTTAACTTAAACTTTTGTTAGCTATTCTTCAAGCGAGAATTCTGAAACTATTTACTATTTCCCAATAATTAATGGTACTTGCTTAGAATTGTTTGAAGCTAAATACAATGATAAAACAATAAAAGGAATTATTAAGGAGAAATCTGTGGCTAAAAAAGAATATCAAGAAAATAAAAACCAAGGGAACTTTGTTTCCTATGCTAAAACTTCTACTGAAGACGATTAACTATTTTGTGAAATTCTTTTAGGAAATTTACCTCCTAATTAATAAGTTGAAATTCATCTGATATTTTCTTAGTAGCTCTCGAGCATATTAAATAAATACTTTGTTGCTACAATTCCACTTTAATATTGCGAAGATAATATTTCAGCTAAATTAGGAATAAATTTACTAACATTAGACTTATTCTGCACTGGAAAAATTACTTATGCTGAATCTAGAGGATAGAAAACTGAGAAAGTTATAGTTGATGATAATACAGTCAAGTTTAATCTATCTCAAGCCCTTAACCAAAAAGGAAACGAACTTTAATTTGTTTTCTCTTTTGAAGGTATGTTTGAACCTTAAATTATTTTTGGATCAAGTAGAATTTTCCATGAAGACTATGTAAAAAGAGCAATTCTTCCTGTGAGCAATTCTGTAATGGTTTCATTTATTCCTAATTTTAATGAAGAAATAACCAAAGAAGTAGATGATGCAGTTAAAGCAGCTCTAAATAAAGGAGAAGATGTCATTTGCGAAGAATTCTAGTAAAAAATATCCTCAGAGTTAGTAGATCATTTGAATTCCTCAAAAAGTGAATTTATTTTCTTATTAGATAGGAGCGGATCTATGAGTGGATAGTCTATTAAGCAAGCATGTGAGGCTCTTGTTTTATTCTTATAGAGTCTTCCAATTGACAGTTACTTTAATGTTGTCAGTTTTGGTAGTTCATTCGAAAAGCTTTTTCCATCCTCATAAAAATATAATAGCTAAAATCTTGAATAAGCTGTTCAAATTATTAATCAATATTCAGCTAATTTAGGTGGTACAGAAATTTATTAACCTTTACATAATGTTTTTAATGAAAAAAAAATTGAAGGATACAACAAATAAATATTTTTATTGACAGATGGCCAGGTTGATAATCCAAAATAAGTTGTAAATTTGATAAAAAAAAATAATAAATTTAGCAGAATCCACTCTATTGGTTTTGGAAATGATGCAGATAAATAATTAATTTAAGAAACTGCTGTCTATGGTAAAGGTATTTCTAAGATTGTAAATTAGAATTGTGATTTGCAAGAAGTTGTTATAGAAATGCTTTCTCTTAGCATAACTCCTACACTTGATCAATTTAAAATGATTTATGATTAAAATATTTTTGAATCTACTTATCCCTCAAGCACTAATTTCCCTTGTATTTTTAAAGATGAAATTATAAATATTCATCTCTTTTTCAAGCCTCTAGTATAGATTTCAGAGCTAACTTAGGAATAAAAATAAATAGAAATAGAGTATTACGATTCCTGCCAAAAGCAAAAAGTATAAAAGAAACTAATAATGTAAATGTAGGACAGTTTTTCTTGCAATTCTGAACTTCAGTAATCTGTTTTTAAAATAGGAAAATAATTATAATTAAATGAAATGATAGAGGAATAGGAATAAGAATATAATGATAAAATACTATAGCAATCAATCGATTATTAGCTTCTTACATAAAATACAGCTTTAATTTGTGTTATTGAGACCTTAAATGATGAATAGAAAGTTATATTTGAAAATCTAAAACATAGCCCATTTCATTAATAGCTTAATTAGATTTAATCAATTGAAAAAGAATCAATGCAAATTCAATAAAATATTGCTTATAATTATTAATCTTCAAGCTATGCAGCCGCAGCTACCCCAGCCTAGAAATCTTAATATAAATTAGAAGTAGAGGAAGATGATTTTGAAGGAGATGATTTATTTGGATGCGATTTTGGTATTGTAGGCTCTTATAGTTCTTCAAACTATTCAATTAATCAATCGAGTTAGCAACAGTAAGTTTTAGAAAATGAAAGTAATTTTAGTTAAATAAAAAACCAAAGTAATTAAAATATCTAAGATTTAATAAAAAATTCTAAACCTAACTTGCAAAATTTACTTAATTTAGTTGATTCAGAGGGAGTATGGAAGTATGATGATATTTTAATCAAATAGTGTTGTAGTAAAATTGACTCAGCTTAAATCAAAAAATACTGCTCCAATTTTATTACTCAAAATGCATTTATGACTCTACTAGTTATAATTTTCTTAGAGATAGAATACAGCTAATAAAAGAATAAATGGAAACTAATATCAAAAAAATCCAATAACTTCATTTAATCATAAATCAAAGCAGGAATTGATTTGAATTCTTTAAAAGAAACAATTAAAAAATTAATTATCAGTTGAAATGAATCTTATTAAATTTGTTTAAAGCAAAAATAAAAAATGAAATTTTTTTATATATTAATTTTAACTAAAAAATTAAAAAATGCTAATTTCCAAATTTTTCATTAGCAAGTTTTATCTAATTTTATTTTTTATTACTTAAATTTTTAAATAAAAAAATTTTTTATATCTTAATCAAGAATCAAATATTAATAAATTAATTGAAGAAAATTGATTTTTTTTTATTATTAAATAGATCAAATGAAACTTTTAAAATCATTAAATTTAAAAAAGAAATGTAAATAAATTGATAAAATTATTTATAAGTTTTTAAAGTTAACTTTAAATAAATTTCAAATTTACTTCTTATAACTAATATTAAGCCAATTAAAGACTAAAATATAATTTATTTAATTTGATAAAACAAATTTTATTTTAAAAAATTGTCAAATTAATTTTTAAAAATAAATGATGTATGTAATAAATAAATAAGCAATACAGTATGTAATTAATAAGGAATAGTAATAATAATATAGATAACAATTATCTGATTTTTTGAATATTTTATCTTTTATTTCTTTCAAATTTAATTCACATGAATTAAAAATATATTTTACAGTGCTACTTTTAGGTGATGCTTAAGGGTATAAAGAGAGTTTTATAGAGTTTTTATCTTTTCCGTTAAGCTGTTTGAACATTTCTTTTAGTTTAGGATCCAGTTAGTTGATTAATTTTTGATCTAAAGAGGATTAATCAATTTTATTAGTTATATTTTGGTAGGCTTAAAAGCTTTCACTTGCCTTTTATAATTCTGATCTATTATCTTGATAAAGCAAGTTAATTTCTATATCTTCTTTTTTGTAATTTTAAGTAAAAAAAATATCAGTTTAGATTGTAGGTTTTGGCAAGTAATCAAACAATTTGAGCTGATCTTGATCAAAAATCAATCTTTTTAACTTTTCTAACTCATTTAATTTATGAATGATGTTGAATATATCAATGTTATAATAAAGCTTTTCTCTGCTATAATTAATTATATTTTTTTAATGCTTGTAAAGTTTACTAAAACAACAAAAGATAGACGATTTGAAATACTACCAAACACTAAGCTACATAGAACTCATTTCATTATCAAAGTGCTTTTTGAACTAATCCTCAACTTATTTCTTGCTTTTCTCTTACTCTTTCTCAGAAAACCTTTTGCTTTATAAGTTGTTAATTTGTTATTCTTTATTATCTGTTATTCCACCTGATTTTTTTAATATTGTGCTTTAATCTTGAAAATAGCTCATCATCAGCTAAGAAATTTTTAATTTATTGCTTTTTTTATTTTCGTTTTATTCCAAAATAGCATCTTCTTGATTTAAATTGCAATAAAATTTATCTGATTTTTATTCTTATTAAATAGGACTATTTTTTTTGGGACTTTAAGGGATAATCTGTTTTTATTTGTTTTCACTGCTAATATAATTAACTTTGGAATTCTATTTATTTTCTTAACTTTACTTTGACTTTTTTAGCTTTTTTTTATTTCCCTACTTTTATTATTCATTCTTACTTTTATTTGCTTCTTTTTCCTCATTTTATTATTTGATATTTAAACTCCCTTCAAATTTAAATGCTTTGTTAATCAATTCAATATCTAACTTTGTCTGTGATAGTTTTTTGCAAACGATATAACCGATAGCAAGAAAACTCTAGGTAAATCCTCCAATTTCAGACAGAATAGAATTGAATCTTTAGTATGATCTTTTATAGACACCCTCTTTTTACTTTTCAAATCTGAAAAAAATGGTAAGAAAATAATCCTAAAACGATGGTGGATATTCCTTTTATTTTTAAAAAAAAATATTTATTTTTAAATAATTTTTAAAGATTTTTAAACAAAACAAACTAAAAACATAAATAAAAAATTTCATGTGTATTTATTTACAAAACTTTCAGAAAAACTATAAGCAGGAAATCTTTAAGTTGTCACATCAGGAAAAAACCATCCGAAATCACTATAAACATAATTATTACGGATGTAAACGTTAGCATCTTTTGGGAGTTCAGTACTAGTAGCCCAAAACATATCTCTAGAGTAAATTTTGAATGGATTGTCACTAATAGTTGGATCTACATAGGAGTCAGATATCTAAAGACCAAAGCTAGACTTTTGAAGAAACTTTTCTAAAATTTCTTAGGATTAACAATTTTTAGCGCACTTCTTAACTGTAATCTGAATTTCTGAATAAATTTAAGAAGGAAAGTCCCCTTAAATTGGCAACACAAAATCAGGAGATAGACAGTACATATTAGTATAGTTAAGATTAAGATAGTATTTTTGGTTGTCATGATTTTAGAAATTTTCAATAGTGCAAGGTTAGACATTTATGCTCACCTAATTGAAAGTAGAAACGTACTATTAAGAAGTCTCATTGAAAGTTAAAATCTTTTAGTTCCAAAAAGCAGAGACTGTATAGATACTTTCATCAATATAGTAATTAAAATTATCTTGATTTTCCATTGCAAATGCCATGGGAAAACTTTTACTAGATGCTTCAAATACAGCGGGATCATCAACTTATCTTTCGTTGTAGATAACCTCTGGATTATTTCTTTGAACTACATCTACAATTAGTCCGAATAGCCTGTAAAAGATAAGTATGTATATTATGAGGGTAACATATGTACCTAGTCTTGTGTTATATGTTTGTTATTTGTTAAATCTTAGGAAAATTTAACTACCAAAGATGTCTAACTAATCTAGCATTTTATAATTAATTATTTTTCTAACTTATTTATCTTAATGCATTTATTTTACTAATTATTTATTTCAATTTAATTAAATAATTGCTTCTTATTTATCAAAAAAATTCTAAAAAATTAATATTAAGAGTATGCTTAGTTAATATTTACTACATTTCGAATAACTAAATAAACCCATTTTTGATTTTATAATATCACTAGTAAGACTATTTTTAGCAATCTATTTTTTCTATGTAAATTCATCTTATATCATTTTTTATTTTATTTATTTATTTGAAAAGAAATCCATTTAATTTGTTTAATTTATACTTCATCTTTATTTGATCATAAAAGTCAATAAAAAAATAATATTAGATTATAAGAAATTCAAATAAAATGAATGAAAAATTAAAATAACATAAATTTAATTTCAAAATATTAACCTTTATAATTAATCAGCATATAAAATTAAATATATTAATATACATTCAATTATAATGATATTTTTCTAATTCAGATTTTCTTAATAATTTTTGAAATTTAAAAAAAAGTCAAATTAATTTTAAAAATAAATGATGTTAATAATAAGTAAGCAACACAATAAGTAATAATAACCAATCTAAATAATAAATAATCTCATAGTTAAGATAGTTAATTCATATTACTCACAAAAGTATTTAACTTCTTCTTTTTGTTGTTTTGCTATGCTTCTTCAAATTCATCATCTTATAACTAACTCTCCTAAGTTTGGTTGTTAAATTATAGGTTATAATGGTCTGATTTTTTGAATAGTTTATCTTTTATGTCTTTCAATTATTAATCAAATAAATTAAGCCTTTACTTTGTTGGATTACTTTTAGGTGATACTTATTAGCTTAAAGCTAGTCTAAAAGAATTTTTATCTTTTTCGTTTAGCTATTTGAACATTTCTTTTAGAGCTGGGTCAAGTTAGTTGATTAGCTTTTGATCTAAAGTGGATTAATCGTTTTTATGAGCTATATTTTGATAGGCTTAAAAGCTTTCACATGCCTTTTATAATTCTGATCTATTATCTTGATAAAGCAAGTCTATTTCTATATCTTCTTTTTTGTCATTTTAAGTAAAACAAATATCAGTTTAGATGGTAGGTTTCGGCAAGTAATCAAACAACTTGAGCTGATCTTGATCAAAAATCAGTCTTTTTAATTTTTCTAATTCATTTAATTTATGAATGATGTTGAATATATCAATGTTATAATAAAGCTTTTCTCTACTATAATTTATTATATTTTTTTACTCCTTGTGCAGTTTACTAAAACAAGAAAAGATAGTAGATTTGAAATACTACCAAACACTAAGCTACATAGAACTCATTTAATTATCAAAGTGCTTTTTGAACTAATCCTCAACTTATTTCTTGCTTTTCTCTTTTTCTTTGTCAGAAGACCTTTTGAATTATAAGTTATAAGTTTGTTATTCTTTATTATCAGTTATTTCAACTGATTTTTTTAATTAAGCACTCTAGTCTTGAAAATAACTTGTTATCAGCTAAGAAATTTTTAATTTATTGCTTTTTTTATTTTCTTTTTATTCCAAAACAGCGTCTTACTGATTTAAATCGCAATAAAATTTATCAGATTTTTAACCTTTATAAATAAGGCTATTTTTTTGGGGGCTCGAAGGGAGAGTTTGTTTTTATTCGTTTTCATCTATTTAACTTTTTTCACTAAAGTTTTATATATCATTTTTAAATGTTTAATTATTTTTTTTCAAATTTTCGTCACTGCTAGTAAAATTAACTTGGGCACTGTTTATATTTTCTTAATTTTATTTTTACTTTTTCAGCTTTTTTTTATTTCTCTGCTTTTTTTCCTCATTTTCTTATTTGCTTTTTAAACTCCCTTCAAATTTAAATGCTTTATTAATCAATTCAATATCTAACTTTGTTTGTGATATTTTTTTGCAAACCAAATAACCAATAGCAAGAAAACTCTAAGTAAATCCTCCAATTTCAGACAAAATTGAATTGAATCTTAAGTATGATCTTTTATAGACACCCTCTTTTTGCTTTTCAAATCTGAAAAAAATGGTAAGAAAATAATCCTAAAACGATGGCGGATATTCCTTTTTTTTATAAAAATAAATATTTTAAAAGATTTTTAAAAAATATTTTTGAATAAAAAATTTCTTGCGTATTTACAAAACTTTCAGAAAAACTATAAGCAGGAAATCTCTAAGTTGTCACATCAGGAAAAAACCATCCGAAATCACTATACACATAATTATTACGGATGTAAACGTTAGCATCTTTTGGGAGTTCAGTACTAGTAGCCCAAAACATATCTCTAGAGTAAATTTTGAATGGATTGTCACTAACAGTTGGATCTACATAGGAGTCAGATATCTAAAGACCAAAGCTAGACTTTTAAAGAAATTTTTCCAGAACTTCTTAGGACTAACAATTTTTAGTGCACTTCTTAACTGTAATCTGAATTTCTGAGTAAACTATAGATGGGAAGTCCCCTTAAATTGGCAACTCAAAATCAGGAGGAAGACAATACATATTAGTATAGTTAAGATTAAGATAGTATTTTTGGTTATCAAGATTTTAGAAATTTTCAATTGTGCAAGGTTGGACATTTATGCTCACCTGATTGAAAGTAGAGATATACTACTAACTAGTCTCATTGAAAGTTAAAACCTTTTAGATCCAAAAAGCAGAGACTGTATAGATGCTTTCATCAATATAGTAATTAAAATTATCTTGATTTTCCATTGCAAAAGCCATGGGAAAACTTTTACTTGAAGCCTAAAATGCAGCAGGATCATCTACTTATCTTTCGTTGTAGATTACCTATGGATTATTTCTTTGAACTACATCTACAATTAATCCGAATAGCCTGTAACATATAAGTACATATATTATGAGGGTAACGTATGAACCTAATCTTGTGTTATATGTTTGTTATTTGTTAAATCTTAGGAAAATTTAACTACCAAAGATGTCTAACTATTCTAGCATTTTATAATATTTCTTTTTCTAACTTATTTATCTTAATGCGCTTATATTAATAATTATTTATTATAATTTAATTAAAGAATTGTGTATTGCTTATCAAAAAATAAAAATAAAAAATAAAAATTAGTAGTTCGATTAGTTAATAATAAACATTGAATAATTCATTAAACTAATTTTTTTAAATTTAAAAGATCACCAATAGGATTATTTTTAGTGATCTATTTATTCTATGGTCAGTTTATCTAAGAATTTTTAATTTTATAAAAAGAAATAAATCCATATAATTTGTTTAATTAATACTTAATCTTTATTTGATCATATAAATCAATAAAAAAATAATTTTATTTATTTAATATTTTAAATTAATTTTATTATAAATTTAACTTAAATAATAAATAATTTAATTTTCTAAGTAATATTTTTGTTTATTAAGCTTTAGCTGAAGCATTATTTTAAATCCTCAAAATAATATTTTAGGTGTTTATAACAAAAGAAAATCTTTAACAAAATGAATAACAAAGTTTAAAAAATATATAAATAAAAAAATAATTATTAAAAATATATATAATCATAATAAAGTGAAAATATTTTTAACAAAGCAAAATTTTATTTATTATTGTGATTTCAAACGCACCAGCCATTCAAAAAAATAGTGATCTCAAATTCACTAAATTTTTGAATGGTATTTCGCTATATAATAAAATTTTTAATACTTATTTAAATAAACTTTAATATTTGGTCTTTATAGTGACAATATAATCAAACATAAAATAATTTACTTTATAAATCGAAATAATAATAATTTAATAAAATTAATATTTTAAATTTAAATAATCACTTATCATTTATATCTACTATATTAATTAGATTTCATTTTAAATAAAGGATGGAAAACATTTAACAATTATGTCAAATTAGTAAACACTATTTAACTATTATTGTTATCAAATAAACTTCCTATTATTCCTTATTAAATTTGTTGGTTCTGCTTTTTGATTTATTATCATGATTGTTTTTATTATTAAATAGATATTAATATCAGATTTTATTACATTGATTATTAAATGATTAATTAATTAGAAATTAGTAAAGCCTTTTTAAACTAAAACTAAAAACTTTTGATTTTAACTAGCTACTGATGATTCTTAAAAATCATCTAATGTACCAGCGATACTTAAAACTTTTTAAAATAATCCTAAATAATCAACAATATAATGAAAACAGCTTTAACTTAAATATTTCTTAGCAACTCTTACAATGAATTGAATACTCTGAAGCCAATTATTATTTTCCAATTTAGGAAGGCATATATATGTCCAGAATCATTTGAAACCAAATTCATTGAAAAGACCAAAAAGGAAAAATCTTAGGCAAAAAACGAACATTTTTTCATATGCTGAGATTTCTACTGAAAAGATCTAGACTATTGCATAATAATTTTAGGGAAATTACCACCTAATCAGAGAGTAGAAATTGATCTTGTTTATTCTTAATAAATTTCTAGTATATTGAATAAGGATTTTATTGCTTAAATACCACTTCAATCAACTCTCTTGAGGATGAAATTTCTGCAAAGCTAGGAAAAAATGTTCTAAGTTTAGATTTATTCTGAAATGGAAAAATTACTTACGCTAAATCCAGACAGACGATAGATATCTTAATGCAAATTTATAAAGTTATTTTTGAATTTTTTTTAAAATTAATATTCTACCTCTTAGATTATATAATTTATATTAACTATCAAATAAAATATTTTTTATTGTTTTTTATAATATGAGAGACATCTACAATTATACTGAAGAATATAAAAATACAATTTAATATGAAAATTATGATATTTTTTTTTCATAAAAAATAGATATTTTATAGACTAAGTTAATTATTATCAGCTAATTTTCTAGATAATCCAGAATATCTAAAATTATTAAAACATAAAAATAATGATAAATTGGATAATAGACTTAGTAGTCTTTTGTTTTTAATAACATTACTTAAAAATTTTAAGAAATTATTTTTTATTAAGGAAAATATGACTAAATAGATGAATATGAAAATATTTAATGAGCAATAGATTTAGGTAATTAAAGATTAAAAGAAATTCAAATATAATTAATAAAAAAAATATAATAAAAACACATAAAAATTAATGTCAAATTATTAACCTTAATAATTAATCAGCATATAAAATTAAATAATAAATTTAATATAAATTCAGTTAAAATAATCTTCAACTAATTCAGATTTTCTTAATAATTTTTTATGATGGGTCCCAGATATCGACTCCCTCCATACCAGAGGATCCCGTATATCAACCCCCCACCATAGTTTATCTCTTATGTCTTTCTATTTTTAATCAAATAAATTTAACCTAAATTTTGTTCTATTACTTGTAGGTGTTATTGAACGGCTTAAAGAGAGTATAAAAGAGTTTTTATCTTTTTCGCTCATCTATTTGAACATTTATTTTAGAGCTGGGTCCAGTTAGTTGATTAGCTTTTGATCTAAAGTGGATTAATCGTTTTTATGAGCTATATTTTAATAGGCTTAAAAGCTTTCACATGCCTTTTATAATTCTGATCTATTATCTTGATAAAGCAAGTCAATTTCTATATCTTCTTTTTTGTCATTTTATTTAAAACAAATATCAGTTTATATGGTTGGTTTAGGTAAGTAATCAAACAATTTGAGCTGATCTTGATCAAAAATTAGTCTTTTTAACTTTTCTAATTCATTTAGTTTATTAATAATGTTGAATATATCAATGTTATAATAAAGCTTTTCTCTACTATAATTTATTATATTTTTTTATTCTTTGTAAAGTTTACTAAAACAACAAAAGATGGATGATTTTAAATACTACCAAACACTAAGTTACATAGAACTCATTTAATCATCAAAGTTCTTTTTGAACTAATCCTCAACTTATTTCTTGCTTTTCTCTTATTCTTTCTCAGAAAACCTTTTGGTTTGTTAGTTATCAATTTCTTATTCTTGGTTTTCAGTTATTTCATCAACTGGTTTTTTTAATTAAGTGTTCTAGTCTTGAAAATAGCTCATCATCAGTTAGGAAATTTTTAATTAGTTGCTTTTTTTATTTTCGTTTTATTCCAAAACATTGTCTTATTCATTTAAATTGGAATACAATTAATCAGATTTTTAATCTTACTAAATAAGACTATTTTTTTGGGGGCTTGAAGGCTGAATTTGTTTTTACTCGTTTTCATCTATTTAACTTTTTTAACTAAAATTTAAACTTTTATTTTTTAATGTTTAATTAATTTTTTTCAAATTCTCATCACTGCTAGTAAAATTAACTTTGGAATTCTTTATATTTTTTTACCTTTACTTCTTTTTTTTATTTCCTTACTTTTGTTATTGGCATATACTTTAATTTTCTTCTTTTTCCTCATTTTCTTATTTGCTTTTTAAACTACCTTCAAATTTAAATGCTTTGTTAATTAATTCAATATCTAACTTTGTCTGTGATATTTTTTTACAAACCAAATAACCAATAGCAAGAAAACTCTAAGTAAATCCTCCAATTTCAGATAGAATAGAATTGAATCTTTAGTATGATCTTTTATAGACACCCTCTTTTTACTTTTCAAATCTGAAAAAAATGGTAAGAAAATAATCCTAAAACGATGGTGGATATTCCTTTTATATATAAAAAAATAAATATTTTAAAAGATTTTTAAACAATATTTTTAAACAAAAATAAAAATTAATTGCGCTATTTACAAAACTTTCTGAAAAACTATAAGCAGGAAATCTCTAAGTTGTCACATCAGGAAAAAACCATCCAAAATCACTATACACATAATTATTACGGATGTAAACGTTAGCATCTTTTGGGAGTTCAGTACTAGTAGCCCAAAACATATCTCTAGAGTAAATTTTGAATGGATTGTCACTAACAGTTGGATCTACATAGGAGTCAGATATCTAAAGACCAAAGCTAGACTTTTAAAGAAATTTTTCCAAAACTTCTTAGGACTAACAATTTTTAGTGCATTTCTTAACTGTAATCTGAATTTCTGAGTAAACTATAGATGGGAAGTCCCCTTAAATTGGCAACTCAAAATCAGGAGGAAGACAATACATATTAGTGTAGTTAAGATTAAGATAGTATTTTTGGTTATCAAGATTTTAGAAATTTTCAATTGTGCAAGGTTGGACATTTATGCTCAACTGATTGAAAGTAGAGATATACTACTAACTAGTCTCATTGAAAGTTAAAACCTTTTAGTTCCAAAAAGCAGAGACTGTATAGATGCTTTCATCAATATAATAATTAAAATTATCTTGATTTTCCATTGCAAAAGCCATGGGAAAACTTTTACTTGAAGCCTAAAATGCAGCAGGATCATCTACTTATCTTTCGTTGTAGATGACCTATGGATTATTTCTTTGAACTACATCTACAATTAATCCGAATAGCCTGTAAGAGATAAGTACATATATTATGAGGGTAACGTATGAACCTAATCTTGTGTTATATGTTTGTTATTTGTTAAATCTTAGGAAAATTTAACTACCAAAGATGTCTAACTAATCAAGCATTTTATTATTATTTATTTTTCTAACTTATCTTAGAGGGTTTATTTTAATAATTATTTATTTTAATTTAGTTAAAGAATTGTGTATTGCTTATCAAAAAAAAGCATGAAAACACTTTGTTTATTATATTTCACATTGAATAATTAAATTTGCCAATTTTTTTATTTTACAAGATCACCAATAGGACTATTTTTAGCGATTTATTAATAGTAAATTAACATTGTAATGATTTTTAATTTTATTTATTTATTTGAAAAGAAATTCATTTATTTTTTTAAATTAAAACTTAATCTTTATTTGATCATAAAAGTCAATAACTATAATAAAAAATAATCTTATTTTAATAAGTATAATTTTTGTTTATTATGATGAAGGATTATGTTAAATCCTCAAAATAATATTTTGGGTGTTTATCACAGTAAAACATTAAAGGAATTACTTCAAAAAATAAATATTAAAAAAATGCAATCATAATAGAGTGAAAATAGTTTTAACAAAATTTTATAACAAATTAAAAGCAGTGATTTGAAATTTATTAAAATTTTGAATACATATTTAAATAGACTTTGATATTTAGTTTTTGTAGTGACAATATAATAATTTAAAAAGTGAAATAAAAATAATTTAATAAAATAAATATTTTAAATTTAAATTATTCACCAATCAATCAATTACAGCTACTTTATATTAGAAAAGAAAAAAGCATAAAAATGTAAATTTTTTATTCTTAATAACTAAAGCTTTTTATTAAAAAAAATATATAAAATTAAAAAAATGTAAAAATTTTAATATTGTAACCAATTAAAATATTTTATTATATCATTTAATCTTTTTTTAGTATTTTCATTTTTGAAACATCATCTAAATTTTATTTTATCCCTTTTTAAATTTATTTGTATTGAAAGCTGATCTATTATTATGATTATTTAAAATATCAGATTTTATGATATGAATTATTATTAATCCTTATTTTATAATCATACAACTATTTATATATGATATTTATGTTTGTTAAATACACATATTAATACAAGAATAATAAATTAAAACTATGATCTTTAGACTTTTAACTTACAACTGATGGCTCTTAAATATCATCTAAAATACCAGCAAAACTTAAAAGTGTTTAATTATATATGCTAGTTTATCGATAACATATTGAAAACAGCTTTAATAAAAAAATTATAAATAATTCAGACAGTGAATACTATGAAACGAATTATTATTTTCATTTTCCAATTTAGGAAGGCATTTATTTAGTTAGAATCATTTGTAAGCCAAATTCAACGAAAAAACGATGAAAGGAATTATCAAGAAAAATCGGAGGCAATAAATGAATATCAATAAAATAAGCTAACTTTATTTCATACGCTGAAACTTCTACTGATAAAGATCAAGATTAGTTCAAAATATTTTTATGAAACTTTCCTCCTAATTCTTTAACCATTTAGCTAAAGTTGCTATTTCTATGTTTTTTTAAAGATTCTTATGGCGATATTATACTCATTCTATTCAGTTTATTTAGTGCAATTAAATACAAAAAAATAAATTAAAGTCTCAAATTAGAATAAAAAGTTATTTTTCAAATATAGCAAAATGGTATATACTTAATTTATTTATTAGGTAAGCTAAGTAGAAATAAGATGGTTCAAAAGTAATTAAATCTGATTGAATTAAAATATATAATAAAAACTTATACAATAGGGCCAATTAGGGGTCTGGGTTATTTTAAATAAAATCATGAAGTCGAATCCAAAAGAAATTAAAGAAACTAAAAAAAATTCTAATGAATCATTCATTACCCAAAATGAAATAATTGGTAATTGAAAACCAAGGTAATAATATTAAATTTTGATAGTATTTAATTTATTTTATACATATGTCTTATTTTAATATTTAAAATTGATATTAAAATATATAGTTTTCTTTGGATTTGGAGAAAAACCCAACTAGTCATCCTATCTTTATTTTATTTAAGAAAAAAATAGGCATAAAAATATATTATTAAAATTTTAATTTTTTGTCTATTTAAATACTATTTTATCATTTAATCTTTTTTTACCTTTTTATAAGATATGTTTATTTATGACAGGATAGATTTCATTTTTAAATATGAACTAATCCGATTTCATTTCAAATAAAGGATAGAAAAAATTTAATAATTAATGGATTAAAAAGACACACTTTAACTATTATTTTCTTAAAGATTAATTTTTGAAATTTTCTGATAATTTGTTTGATCTATTATTTTGAATATTTTTAATATCAAATAAAAACTTATCAGAATTTATTATATCAATTTCTATTAATTATTTAGGAAGGCATTTGTTTAGAATCATTTGAAGCCAAATTCAACGAAAAAACCATAAAAGGAATCATCAAGGAAAAATCTGAGGCAAAAAACGAATATCAAGAAAATAAATAACAAGGTAATTTTGTTTCATATGCTGAGACTTCTACAGAGAAAGATCAAGAATATTGCAAAATACTTTTAGGAAACTTGCCTCCAAGCCAGAAAGTAGAAATTAATCTTGTTTTTTCTTAATAAATTTCTAGTGTACTGAATAAGTATTTTATCGCCTAAATACCACTTCAATACTGTGAGGATGAAGTCTCTGCTAAACTAGGAAAAAATGTTCTAACTTTAGATTTATTCTGCACTGGTAAAATTACTTATGCTGAATCAAGAGGATATCCTGCTTAAAAAAAGGTGATTGATGATAACACAATTAAATTTGATTTGAGTCAAGCTCTTTAATAAAAAGATTTAGGTTTCTAACTTGTATTTGCTTTCGAAGGCATGTTTGAACCTCAAGTTATTTTTGGATAAAGCAAGATTTACCACGAAGACTCAGTAAAAAGAGCTGTTCTTCCCGTGAGCAACTCTGTGATGGTTTCTTTTATTCCTAATTTTAATGAAGAAGTAACTAAAGAGTTAGATGACGTTATTAGAGCAGCTATACATAAAGGAGATGATGTTTTTAGTGATGAATTCTAGTAAAAAATTAACTCAGAGGTAATTGATCACCTGAATTCTTCAAGAAGTGAGTTTATTTTCTTATTAGATAGGAGTCGATCTATGAGTGGATAGCCTATACAAAAGGCTTGTGAGGCTCTTATTTTATTCTTAAAGAGTCTCCCTATAGATAGCTACTTCAATGTAGTCAGCTTTGGCTCTTCTTATGAAAAGTTATTTTAATCTTCAATCAAATATGATACCAATAGCCTAGAAAAAGCAATCAAAATAATAAAAAATTACACTGCTGATTTAGGAGGAACCGAAATATATAAACCTCTATAAAGCGTTTTTAAGGAAACTAAAATTGATGGATACAACAAATAAATATTTTTGTTGACAGATGGTGAAGTCAAATCCCCCAAAGAAGTTGTAAAGTTGATTAGAAAAAATAATAAACTTAACAGAATCAACTCTATTGGTTTTGGGTCAGGTGCAGATAAGTATTTAATTGAGGAGAGTGCTATTACTGGCAAAGGTATTTCTAAGATTGTAGATCTTAAATGTGATTTGTCTGAAATTATCATCGAAATGCTCTCTGTTTGCTTAACTCCTACCCTCGATAAGTTCCAAATAAATTATGATAACAATATTTTTGAATCTACTTATCCTTCTATGACTAACTTTCCTTGCGTCTTTAAAGATGAAGTACTAAATATTCATTTCTTTTTCAAACCTACTTTAGACTGTTCAAGCTTGAATGAAACATAAAAGTAAATTTCAATAGAATATTTCGATTCTAGTAAAAAATAAAAAATTTAGAAGTAAATAAAGTTAGAAATGTAAGATAGTTTTGTATGTAACCCAGGGCTATAATAATCTGTATTTAAAATTGGAAAACAACTCTTTTTAAATGAAAATATAATGTAAGAAGACTATAACATATCGTTAGTTTAGTAATCAATTGACTATTAGCTTCTCACAGAAAAAACTGCTTCAATCTGTGTAATTAAAACTTTGAATGATGAATAAAAAATTATGTATGGAAATATACCTCATATTAAATAGTATACAAACTATTAGTAAGAAGACATATTAGAAGAAATGAATAACATTATTAATAGTGCAAACTAGATTGATTTGCAAATTAATAACATTATTAATAGTGCAAACTAGATTAGTTTGCAAATTAATTAAGATTTAAATAGTTAAATAACGAAATTATCAATGATAAATATGGGATCATCAATTTCTTTAAAATATAATACATCTTTATAAAATTCTTAAAAATCCACAACATCTTCATCAATATTTACTAAAATTAAGAATTTTTTCACATCTTCAAAAAAATATGAAAGCAATCAGAATTATGAATTTTTATAAATGTCTTAAAGTAGTAATTATTAATTTGATGATCATTTTAAAAATACATTACCTGAAAGAGAGTACTAGAAAGAAGAAAGCTATCCTTCTATCCCTCAGATAGAAAATTTGCTTAATTTGGTAAATTCTGAAGGTGCATGGAAGTTTGATGAAAATTTAATAAAACAATATTGCCAATAAAATTTGGACACAATAAAGAAATATTCCTCTAAATTTAAATCTCAAGATGGATTTATGACTTTGCTTATTTTAATTCTACTTGAAATCTATTATGCTTAGCATAAATAAAAGTGGATACTCATTTCTAAAAAATCAAATAACTTTCTAAAATCTTAGATAAATTAATCTGAAGATTTAATTTAAACTAAAGAAAGTATCAGATAATTAATATCTTAATGATTTGATTGATACCCTTTATTTTAAAAAGATAAATTATTATATTATTAATAAATTTTAATAAAAATATTTTTTTTATTAACCTTGAAAATTTTTTATTTATTTACCAACATAATTAATTAATTTTAATGTTTATCTAACTTTAAAAAAAATTAAAAATGTAATTAATATTATAAATCAAAAAACTATTATAAAAAATAAATCAGGTAATTTAAAATTATTAATTTTATTTTAAAAAAAATAAAAAAAAACTTAAATTACTAAATTTAATGATTTTTTATTTATTAAATTAATCTAATTTATAGCTTATCCATGAATTAAATTCTTGCATCTCAGCGTTCGCAAGAATTTAATTCATGGAAGTGCTATATTATTAAATTATAATTCTATGATAAAATATAAAAATCAGATTTTTTAATAAATAAAAATCTATTTCATAGTAAATGGCATGCAAACCATGAAATGTTTGTATGGTATCTTGTTATAATTAGAGATTATAAATATTCCTAAATTTACAGAGCTAAAACAGAAAAATCTACTGATAAACATTATTTTTATAATTAATTTTTAAGAACATTAATTAACTAGTAGAATTTTTTCAAATATGACTAAATTAGTAATAGGCTATCTCTAATTCCTAATATATTTATTTATTTATTTATTTATTTATTTATTTATTTATTTATTTTTAAGAATATGTTTTAAATTCAAATATTAAGTTTAAATAATGAAAGCTAAATTAATTTATCTGTGATATCTATCTCTTCATAAAACCAAATATATAAAAATTAATATTTGATAATTAATTAATTAATTATTATATTTATTTGTTCTTTTTATCTATCTATCTATTTATTATTAATTAATTAAATTTCATAAATTGCTATTCAATATTTTTGAAAAAATAAATAAATGATATAATAGAAAAAAAGTTACTACAAATTAGAAGAAGTAATTATTAATTTTTAAATTAATATCCTTTAAATTTATATAAATTAATAAAAAAAGTTTTTAAGCTCTTCGCTTTTATCTCATTAGAATCTTTATATTGATCTCCAGTATATTTTATTTATAAATATTATTTTTATTATTATTAATACTTTTTATTTATTTAACTTTCGATTTATTTAAATAAATAATTTTTATAAAAGAAATTATCATCATTCTTAATTTATTTATTGATTTTTATTAAAACAAACTAAAATTTTTTAGCTATCTATTTTAACTTAATTTTTATTTTAATTTTTAAATAATTTATTAATCATTTTTTATCATTTTATATTTTTTCTTCATTTTTTGCTATTGATAATTAAACTTAATAAAAACATTATATTTATTTTGGATTGTAGTATTTTTAATTATAAAAGTTAATTTAAAACATTAAAGCTCTTTTAGTTTATTTGATTTGATTTGATTTGTTTTCCTTTTTCTTTTTATTATGATTACTTATTTTTTATTCTTTGTTAATTTTATTAATTATTCATTATCTTATTTTTTTCATATTTTTTCTTCATTTTTTCCTCCTAATTAACTAGAGTGAAATAAATGCCTATTTAATTTATAAACATTTTTTCCTTCTAATTAACTATTTAATGATATATTTTTTCTTCAAATTTTAAAAAGTGACAATTAAATTGGTGATGAAGGTGCATCAGGCCTAGGTTCTGCTTTAAAAAATTGCATTAATCTTTCAAAAATGAAACTTTACCTTGCGTAAAAACAGTTTATTTGTTTTAGATTGTGATATTTTTAATTATAAAAACTAATTTAAAGCAATAAAGCTCTTTTTTCTTTTTCTTTTTTTTGTACTTGCTTTTTTTTGTTCTTTTTTTGTTAACTTATCTCATCATTTTATTTTCAACTTGTGCTTTTATTTTTAATTAATTAATTTTATTATTTGATATTTTTTCTCATTTTTTCCTTCTAATTTACTATTTAATGATATATTTTTTCTTCAATATTTAAAAAGTGACCATTAAATTGGTGATGAAGGTGCATCAGGCTTAGGTTCTGGTTTAGCAAATTGCATTAATCTCTAAAATTTGACACTTTACCTTCGGTAAAAATAGTTTATTTGTTTTGGATTGTGATATTTTTAATTATAAAAACTAATTAAAAAAAAGAAAGCTCTTTTTTCTTTTTTTTTTTATTGTGCTTGATTTGCTTTTTTTTTTATTTCTTTGTTAATATAGATCATAATTTTATTTTCAACTTTTGCTTTTATTATTAATTAATTAATCTTATTATTTCATATTTTTTCTTCATTTTATCCTTCTAATTAACTATTTAATGACATATTTTTTCTTCAATATTTAAAAAGTCGCAATTAAATTGGTGCAATGGGTGCATCAGGCTTAGGTTCTGCATTAGCAAATTGTATTAATCTCTCAAATTTGACACTTGACCTTTTGTAAAAACAGTTTATTTGTTTTGGATTGTGATATTTTGAATTATAAAAACTAATTAAAAACAATAAAGCTCATTTTTCTTTTTCTTTTTCTTTTTATTGTGCTTGCTTTTTTTTAGTTCTTTCTTTGTTAATTTAGCTCATAATTTTATTTTCAACTTTTGCTTTTATTATTAATTAATTAATCTTTGTATTTCATTTTTTATTTCATTTTTTCCATCTAATTAACTATTTAATGATATATATTTTTTCTTCAATATTTAAAAAGTGAAAATTAAATTGGTAATGAAGGTGCATCAGACTTAGGTTCTGGTTTAGCAAATTGCATTAATCTCTCAAATTTGACACTTGTCTTTTAGTAAAAACAGTTTATTTGTTTTAGATTGTGATATTTTGAATTATAAAAACTAATTAAAAAAAATAAAGCCCTTTTTTCTTTTTCTTTTTATTGTGCTTGCTTTGCTTTTTTTTTGTTCTTTCTTTATTAATTTAGCTCATCATTTTATTTTCAACTTTTTCTTTTATTATTAATTAATTTTATTATTTCATATTTGATCTTCATTTTTTCCTTCTAATTTACTATTTAATGATATTTTTTCTTCAATATTTAAAAAGTAAGAATTAAATTGGCGACGAAGGTGCATCAGGCTTAGGTTCTGGTTTAGCAAATTGCATTAATCTCTCAAATTTGACACTTGATCTTCGGTAAAAACAGTTTATTTGTTTTGGATTGTGATATTTTTAATTATAATTGCTTTTTTTTCTTCTTTCTTTCTTTGTTAATTTAGCTCGTAAATTTATTTTCAACTTTTGCTCTTATTATTAATTAATTAATCTTATTATTCCATATTTTTTCTTCATTTTTTCCTTCTAATTAACTATTTAATGATTTATTTTTTCTTCAATATTTAAAAAGTTCTAATTAAATTGATGTCGAAGGTGCATCAGGCTTAGGTTCTGGTTTAGCAAATTGCATTAATCTCTCAAATTTGACACTTGACCTTTCGTAAAAACAGTTTATTTGTTTTGGATTGTGATATTTTGAATTATAATTGCTTTTTTTTCTTCTTTCTTTGTAAATTTAGCTCATAATTTTATTTTCAACTTTTGCTTTATTATTAATTAATTAATCTTATTATTCAATATTTTTTCTTCATTTTTTCCTTCTAATAACTATTTAATGACATATTTTACTTCAATATTTAAAAAGTTTCAATTTAATTCATAACGAAGGTGCATCAGGCTTAGGTTCTGCATTAGCAAATTGCATTAATCTCTCAAATTTGACACTTGACCTTTAGTAAAAACAGTTTATTTGTTTTGGATTGTGATATTTTTAATTATAAAAACTAATTAAAAACAATAAAGCTCTTTTTTCTTTTTCTTTTTATTGTGCTTGCTTTTTTTTTTGTTCTTTCTTTCTTTGTTAACTTAGCTCATCATTTTATTTTCAACTTTATCTTTTATTATAATTAATTAATCTTATTATTCCATATTTTTTCTTCATTTTTTCCTTCTAATAAACTTTATTTTTTCTTCAATATTTAAAAAGGTGGAATGGAATTCATGACGAAGGTGCATCAGGCTTAGGTTCTGCATTAGCAAATTGCATTAATCTCTCAAATCTGACACTTTAACTTTAGTAAAAAAAGTTTATTTGTTTTGGATTGTGATATTTTAAATTATAAAAACTAATTAAAAACAATAAAGCTCTTTTTTTCTTTTTCTTTTTATTGTGCTTGCTTTTTTTTTGTTCTTTCTTTCTTTTTTAACTTAGCTCATAATTTTATTTTCAACTTTATCTTTTATTATTAATTAATTAATCTTATTTATTATTCCATATTTTTTCTTCATTTTTTCCTTCTTATAAACTTTATTTTTTCTTCAATATTTAAAAAGGGATAATTATATTGGTGATGAAGGTGCATTAGACTTAGGTTCTGGTTTAGCAAATTGCATTAATCTTTCAAATTTGACAATTAACCTTGAGTAAAAACAGTTTATTTGTTTTGGATTGTGATATTTTTAATTATAAAAACTAATTAAAAACAATAAAGCTCTTTTTTCTTTTTCTTTTTATTGTGCTTGCTTTTTTTTTGTTCTTTCTTTCTTTTTTAACTTAGCTCATCCTTTTATTTTCAACTTTATCTTTTATTATTAATTAATTAAACTTATTATTCCATATTTTTTCTTCATTTTTTCCTTCTAATAAACTTTATTTTTTCTTCAATATTTAAAAAGTGGCAGTCAAATTGGTACTATGGGTGCATCAGGCTTAGGTTCTTGTTTAGCAAATTGCATTAATCTCTCAAATTTGACTCTTCACCTTTACTAATATCAATTTAATTATTATGGAAGGTGATATTTTGTATTATAAAAACTAATTTATAGCAATAAAGCTCTTTTTTCTTTTACTTTTTATTGTGCTTGCTTTTTTTTTATTCTTTTTTTGTTAATTTAGATAATAAATTTATTTTCAAAGTTTGCTTTTATTATTAATTAATGTTATTTATTATTTCATATTTTTTCTTCATTTTTTGCTTCTAATAAACTTAATTTTTTCTTCAATATTTAAAAAGTAAGCCTGAAATTGGTGATGAAGGCGCATAAGGCTTAGTTTCTGGTTTATCAAATTGCATGAATCTCTCAAATTTGACACTTTATCTAGAGTAAAAATAGTTTATTTATTTTGGATTGTGATTTTTTAAAATATAAAAATGAATATAAAACAAAAAAGTCCTTTGAATTTATTTGATAGCTTTTATTTGATTTATTTTTTTATCTTTTTTATTCCACTAATAATATTTTTTGATAAATTTAAAGAATAATTTTTAATTTAAAAGTTTATTCTATTTTGATATTTATTTAAAATTTACACAAATTTATAATAAAATTTTTAGCTCTATGAGTAAATCATAAGGATTCAAACTAATAAGCAAGTGTCTAAAATCAAAAAGATTAGTTGTCTTTAAAATATAATTCGATTGATAAACAACTAGTGAAAAAAGGATGAATAAATATTAAATGTTTGAATAATATTATATATTTTATTATAAAATATTTTGAAAAAGTGTTTTTAACCTAAAATAAAAATAGTTTGATAGATAGATAGATAGATTTATAGATATTATTATTGATTTTATATTTATAAATATCGTTAATATTTTTGTAAGTAAATAAATTATTTATAAAAAATAAAAAAATTAAATTGACTTAAATAAATTAAATCCTCTTAAGCAAACAAACCCTCTGTTTCTGCAAAAACGATCAAATAATTTGAAACTTTTAGTGTTATATTATATCTTATTAAATTATATAAATACCAAGCTTTTATATATGCCAGTTATATATATTTTAATCTGAAATATTATCCATCAATCAGTGATATTTCTATCATTTTTTTATTTATCATGATTAATTAATTAGATATCATGATTTAAATAAAACCTCAGGGAGAAATCAAATTTTACTTTTTATTTTATAGCAAAATGCCATATAAGTTTGGTTTTTTGCTGATTAAGAAATGATAATTTTTATAAATTGATTTAAATTACTATTAAAAATAAAAAGATTTTCAAAAATCAATAAATTTAAAATAAAGAGAAAAAATAAATTTTCAATATTTTTGATTTATTTTAAGAGTTAATGTTTAAATTTATTTCAAATTTACTACTTCTAACTTTATAAAACCCATTACAAACTAAAATACAATTAATTTTATTTAATTTGGTGGAACAAATTTGATTTTTTAAAAATTATCTAATTAAATTAATTTAAAAATATAAATAATGTATGTAATAAATAAATAGTTCAATCACAAATAAAGAATCATCAAATCATAATTAAGATAGTTAATTCATATTACTTACAAAAGCATTCAATTTCTTTTTTTTATTATTTTGACATATTTCTTCAAATTCATCATCTTAAATCTAACTCTCAGAACTTTAATTGATAAATTATTGATTTTAATTGTCTGGTTATTTGGATTGCTGATATTTTATGTCATTAAATTATTATTATTCAAATTAATTAAGCTTAAATGCTGTTGGATTACTTTTAGATGATATTTAAGGGTTTAAAAAGAGTCTAAAAGAGTTTTTATCTTTTCCAAGTTTACTTTAGTTATTCTAGAAATTTTAATTTGATAAGTTTATTATAGATTATCTCATTGAAGGAGTTAAATTTTAAAAAGATGTTATCCTATTATCTTCATTTTATGATATTGAATTTTTTAATACAACAGACTTTTCGTTTAACTATTTGAACATTTTTTTAAGAACAGGATCAAGTTAATTGATTAGTTTTTGATCTAAAGTGGATTAATCACTTTTATAAGCTATATTCTGGTAGGCTTAAAAACTTTCACATGCTTTTTATAATTCTGATCTATTATCTTGATATAGCAAGTCAATTTCTATTTCTTCTTTTTTATCATTTTATTTCATAGAAATGTCAGTTTAGATGGTAGGTTTAGGTAAGTAATCAAACAATTTTAGCTGATCTTGATCAAAAATTAGTCTTTTTAACTTTTCTAATTCATTTAATTTATGAATAATGTTGAATATATCAATGTTATAATAAAGCTTTTCTCTACTATAATTTATTATATTTTTTTACTCCTTGTGCAGTTTACTAAAATAACAAAAGATAGCCGATTTGAAATACTGCCAAATACTAAGTTACATAGAGCTCATTTAATTATCAAAGTTCTTTTTGAACTAATCCTCTACTTATTTCTTGCTTTTCTCTTATTCCTTCTCAGAAAACCCCTTGTTTTATAAGTTATTAATTTATTGTTCTTGATTATCAGGTATTCCAACTGATTTTTTAAATTATGTACTCTAATCTTAAATATAGCTCATTAATAGCTAAGAAATTTTTAATTAATTGCCTTTTTTATTTTCGTTTTATTCCAAAACAGCATCTTATTCATTTAAATTACAATAAAATTTATCAGATTTTTAATCTTAACAAATAAGGCTATTTTTTGGGGGGTTTTAAGGTAGAATTTGTTTTTAACCCTTTTCATTTATTTAGCTTTTTTAAATAATGCTTTATATATTATTTTTAGAAGGTTATTAAGTCTTTCTCAAATTTTCATCACTACTGCTAAAAATAACTTTGGAACTATTTTTTTTTTCTTAACTTTAGTTTGATTTTTTAAGCTTTTTTTCATTTCCTTGTTTTTGTTATTAATGTATTATACTTTTATTTGCTTCATTTTCCTCATTTTATTATTTACTTTTTAAACTCCCTTCAAATTTAAATGCTTTGTTAATGAGGTCAATATCTAACTTTGTCTGCGATATTTTTTTGCAAATTATATATCCAATAGCAAGAAAACTCTAAGTAAATCCTCCAATTTCAGACAAAATAGAACTAAATTTTCTATAGGATCTTTTATAGACACCCTCTTTTTGCTTTTCAAATCTGAAATAAATGGAAAGAAAATAATCCTAAAACGATGATGGATAATCCTTTTAAAGAAAAAATATTTTTAAATTATTATTATTGTTTTTTAAATAAAAATTATGTGCAAAAAGAAAAAATTTGATATGCTATTTACTTAACTTTCATAAAAACTATAAGCAGGTAATCTTTAAGTTGTTACATCAGTAAAAAGCAATCCGAAATCGCTATAAACATAATTATTACGGATGTAAACAGTCACATCTTTTGGAAGTTAAGTACTAGTAGACCAAAACATATCTCTGGAGTAAATTTTGAATGGATTATCACTAATAGTTGGATCTACGTAGGAGTCAGATAGCTAAAGACCAAAGTTAGACCTTTAAAGAAATTTGTCCAAAATTTCTTAAGATTAACAATTTTTAGTGCACTTCTTAACCATAATCTGAATTTCTGAATAAACTAAAGAAGTAAAGTCCCCTTAAATTGGTAACTCAAAATCAGGAGGAAGACAATACATATTAGTATAGTTAAGATTAAGGTAGTATTTTTAATTTTCAAGATTTTAGAAATTTTCTATTGTGCAGGGTTAAACATTTATGCTTGTTTGATTCCAAGTATAAATATACTATTAATTAGCGTCATCGAAAGCTAAATGTTTTTAATTCCAAAAAGCAGTGACTGTATAAATGCTTTCATCAATAAAGTGATTAAAATCAATAGGATCTTCCATTGCAAATGCCATGGGAAAACTTTTACTTGACGCCTGAAATATAGCAGGATCATCAACTTATCTTTCGTTGTAGATAACTTCTGGATTATTTCTTTGAATTACATCTTCAATTAATCCAAATAGCCTGTAAAAGATAAGTAAATATATTATGAGAGTAAAGTATGATCCTAATCTTGTGTTATATGTTTGTTTTTTGTTAAATCTTAGGAAAATTTAACTACCAAAGATATCTAATTAGTCTAGCATTTTATAATTATTTCTTAAAAGCTTTCTAACTTATTTAATGCGTTAATTTTATTAATTTTTTATTACAATTTAATTAAAGAATTGTTTATATTCTACTTTTCAAAATAGCCTAAAAAATAAAAATTAATAATTTGCTTAGTTAATATTTGAATAGTTAATTATATTCATTTTGTTATTTTCAACATCATCAAAAGGAAGGATTTTTTTACCAATCTCTTTATTTCGTAGTAGATTTATCTTATTACAATTTTTAGTTTTATTTATTTGAAAAGAAATCCATTTAATTTATTCTTTATTTGATCAAATAAGTAAATAAAAAATAACTTTAGTTATTTATTTATAATCCTTTTTAAATTAATTTTTATTCTAAATTTAATTTAAATAAAAATAATCTAATTTTTTTAAGTATTAATTTTGTTTATTTAGCCAAGCTGAAATGTTATGTTAAATCCTCAAAATAATATTTTGGATTTTTACTTAAGAAAATCTTTAATAAAATTTAAAACAAGGTTTAAAAAAATACATTAAAGCGATTACTTCAAAAAATAAATATTAAAAAATTAAACACTATAGAGTCAAAATAATTTTAACATATCAAAACTAATTTTACTAATTGATTAATAACTGTCTAATTATTGATGACATGATGAATGGAATTTTTAAATATGAAATAATTAGATTTCATTACAGATAAAAGATAGAAAAAATTTTATAATTAGTGGATTTAAAAGATACAATTTAACTATTATTTTCTTAATGATAAATTTTTGAAATTTTTTGATAATTTTTTTGATCTATTATTATGATGATTTTTATTATCAAATAAACACGTATCAGAATTTATTATATCAATTACTATTAATTCCTATTTTAGAAATATTTAACTATTTTTGAAATACACTTATGCTTTCAATAATATTTTGATAAATAATTAATTAATAAGAAAACTAAAGCATTATTATTAATAGATGAATCATAAATTAAAACTAAGACCTTTTGACTTTTAACTTGCTACTCATGACTCTTAGAAATCATCTAAACTACCAGCGACACTTAAAAGCGTTTAATATAAATGCTAAATTATCAATAACATTATGAAAACAGCTTTAACTTAAACATTTGTTAGCGGTTCAGACAATGAATACTCTGAAACCATTTATTATTTTCCAATTTAAGAAGGCATTTGTTTAGAATCATTTGAAGCTAAATTTAACGAAAAAACCATAAAAGGAATCATCAAGGAAAAATCTTAGGCTAAAAGCGAATATCAAGAAAATAAATAACAAGGTAACTTTGTTTCATATGCTGAGACTTCTACTGAGAAAGATCAAGACTATTGCAAAATACTTTTAGGAAACTTGCCTCCTAGCCAAAAATTAGAAATTAATCTTGTTTTTTCTTAATAAATTTCTAGTTTACTGAATAAGTATTTTATCGCTTAAATACCACTTCAATACTGTGAGGATGAAGTCTCTGCTAAACTTGGAATAAATGTTCTAACTTTAGATTTATTCTGCACTGGAAAAATTACTTACGCTGAATCAAGAGGTTATCCAGCTTAAAAAAAGGTGATTGATGATAACACAGTCAAATTTAATTTGAGTCAAGCTCTTTTATAAAAAGATTTAGGTTTCTAGCTTGTATTTGCTTTCGAAGGCATGTTTGAACCTCAAGTTATTTTTGGATCAAGCATGATTTACAACGAAGACTCAGTAAAAAGAGCTGTTCTTCCTGTGAGCAACTCTGTGATGGTTTCTTTTATTCCTAATTTTAATGAAGAAGTAACTAAGGAGTTAAATGACGCAATTAGAGCAGCTATACATAAAGGAGATGATGTCTTTAGTGACGAATTCTAGTAAAAAATGAACTCAGAGGTAATTGATCACCTGAATTCTTCAAGAAGTGAGTTTATTTTCTTATTAGATAGGAGTGGATCTATGATTGGATAGCCTATACAAAAGGCTTGTGAGGCTCTTATTTTATTCTTAAAGAGTCTTCCTATAGATAGTTACTTCAATGTAGTCAGCTTTGGCTCTTCTTATGAAAAGTTATTTTAATCTTCAATCAAATATGATACCAATAGCCTAGAAAAAGCAATCAAAATAATAAAAGAGTATACTGCTGATTTAGGAGGAACCGAAATATATAAACCTCTATAAAGTGTTTTTAAGGAAACTAAGATTGATGGATACAATAAATAAATATTTTTGTTGACAGATGGTGAAGTCGAATCCCCCAAAAAAGTTGTATAGTTGATCAGAAAAAATAATAAATTTAACAGAATCAACTCTATTGGTTTTGGTTCAGGTGCAGATAAGTATTTAATTGAGGAGAGTGCAATAGCTGGCAAAGGCATTTCTAAGATAGTAGATCTTCAATGTGATTTGTCCAAAATAATCATTGAAATGCTCTCTGTTTGCATAACTCCTACCCTCGATTAGTTCCAAATAAATTATGATAAAAATATTTTTGAATCTACTTATCCTTCTATGACTAACTTTCCTTGTGTCTTTAAAGATGAAGTACTAAATATTCATTTCTTTTTCAAGCCTACTTTAGACTGTTCGAGCTTGACTGAAGCACAAAAGTAAATTTCAATAGAATATTTCGACTCTCGTAAAAAATAAAAAATTTAGAAGTAAATAAAGTTAGAAATGTAAGATATCTTTACTTGCAACCCAGAGCTATAATAATCTGTATTTAAAATTGGAAAACAAATATTTTTAAATGAAAATATAATGTAAGAAGACTGGAACACATCATTAGTTTAGTAATCAATTGACAATTAGCTTCTCACAGAAAAAACAGCTTTGATTTGTGTAATTGAAACTTTGAATGATGAATAAAAGATTTAGTATGAAAATATATCCCATAGTAAATAGTATAAAAACTATTAATAAGATGGGGAATTGGAAAATATATCTAATTAGATTAATAGTTTGATAAAAACTAGTTTGATAATTAGTTAATAGTTAAATAATTAAAATGCGACATTATAAACAATTAAAAAGGGATCATCAAGTTCTTTAAAATCCAGAACATTATCATCAATATTTACTAAAATTAAGAATTTTTTCACATCTTCAAAAAAATCTAGTGAATGCCCTGCTTCTACTAATTAATTTTGTAATGATAAAAAGGATTTTATTGAAGATTAGCAACAATTTTTGAACCTAGAGAGTAATTTTTAATTTGAAGGTCTAAAAGAGAGTCTATAAAAAGACTATAATCATATTAATGAATATGAATTAGAGTAAGATAAATGCGATGAAAATGATTTTGATGAGGGTTTTAAAAATAAATTACCTCAAAGAGAAAATTAGTAAGAAGGTAGCCTTCCTTCTATTCCTAAGATAGAAAATTTGCTTAATTTGGTAAATTCTGAAGGTGTATGGAAGTTTGATGAAAGTTTAATTAAATAATATTGTCAAAAAAATATGGAAACAATAAAGAAATATTCCTCTAAATTTTAATCTCAAGATGCATTTATGACTTTGCTTATCGTAATTCTACTTGAAACCTATTATACTTAGCAAAAATCTAAGTGGATGCTCATATTTAAAAAATCAAATAACTTTTTAAAATCATAGATAAATTAATCTGAAGATTTAATTTAAATTAAAGAGAGTATCAGATAATTAATATCTAAATGATTTGAAATAATTTTTTTTGAAAAAGACAAATTATTTTTTCTTAATTCATTTTAACTAAAATATTTTTATTTACCTTGAAAAGAATTTATTTTCTTTCTTAATTAATTCATGTTTATGACCAATTTTTTGTTCAAACTTTAAAAAAAAAATATAATTTTTCTAATTTTTAATAAGCTTTTGCTGAAGAATTATGTTAAATCCTCAAAATAATATAAAGAAAATCGTTAGCAAAACTTAAAACAAAGTTTAAAAAAATATATTAAAAGGAAGGACTTCAAAAAATAAATACAAAAAAATGAAATCATAATGGAGTGAAAATATTTTTTAAATAGCATATCAATACTAGTTTTACTACTAATTTATTAATGATGATCTATTTATTTATCATAAGGTGGATGGAAATTTTAAATATGAACTAGTTAGATTTTATTTCAGATAAACGATAGAATTTAACAATTACGTGGATTTAAAATATACAATTTAACTATTATTTTGTTATAGATTCATTTTTCAAAATTGTTGGTGATGCAATTTGATCTACTATTATTTTTTTTATTATCATGTAGACACTGATATCAGATTTTATTATATTAATTTTTATTAATCCTTGCTTTAGAAGTTTACAATTATTTTTGTATGGTATTTATGTTTGCAGTAAAAAACCCATCAATAAATAATTAATTAATTAAAAAAATAGTAAAGCATAATTATTAATAGATGAATAATAAATTAAAGATAAGATCTTTTGACTTTTAACTTGCTACTGATGACTCTTAACAATCATCCAAAGTACCAGCGACACTTAAAAGTGTTTAATATAAATGCTAAATTATCAACAACATTATGAAAACAGCTTTAACTTAAACATTTATTAGCAATTCAGACAAGGAATACTCAGAAACAAATTATTACTTTCCAATTTAGGAAGGCATTTGTTTAGAATCATTTGAAGCTAAATTCAACGAAAAAACCATAAAAGGAATCATCAAGGAAAAATCTTAGGCAAAAAACGAATATCAAGAAAACAAATAACAAGGTAACTTTGTTTCATATGCTGAGACTTCTACAGAGAAAGATCAAGACTATTGCAAAATACTTTTAGGAAACTTGCCTCCTAATCAGAAAGTAGAAATTAATCTAGTTTTTTCCTAATAAATTTCTTGTATATTAAATAAGTATTTTATTGCTTAAATACCACTTCAATACTGTGAGGATGAAGTCTCTGCTAAACTTGGAATAAATGTTCTAACTTTAGATTTATTCTGCACTGGAAAAATTACTTACGCTGAATCAAGAGGTTATCCAGCTTAAAAAAAGGTGATTGATGATAACACAGTCAAATTTGATTTGAGTCAAGCTCTTTTATAAAAAGATTTAGGTTTCTAGCTTGTATTTGCTTTCGAAGGCATGTTTGAACCTCAAGTTATTTTTGGATCAAGCATGATTTACCATGAAGACTCAGTAAAAAGAGCTGTTCTTCCTGTGAGCAACTCTGTGATGGTTTCTTTTATTCCTAATTTTAATGAAGAAGTAACTAAGGAGTTAGATGACGCAATTAGAGCAGCTATACATAAAGGAGATGATGTCTTTAGTGACGAATTCTAGTAAAAAATGAACTCAGAGGTAATTGATCACCTGAATTCTTCAAGAAGTGAGTTTATTTTCTTATTAGATAGGAGTGGATCTATGAGTGGATAGCCTATACAAAAAGCTTGTGAGGCTCTTATCTTATTCTTAAAGAGTCTTCCTATAGATAGTTACTTCAATGTAGTCAGCTTTGGCTCTTCTCATGAAAAGTTATTTTAAACTTCAATCAAATATGATACCAATAGCCTAGAAAAAGCAATCAAAATAATAAAAAATTACACTGCTGATTTAGGAGGAACCGAAATATATAAACCTCTATAAAGCGTTTTTAAGGAAACTAAAATTGATGGGTACAACAAATAAATATTTTTGTTGACAGATGGTGAAGTGGAATCCCCCAAAGAAGTTGTAAAGTTGATAAAAAAAAATAATAAATATAACAGAATTAACTCTATTGGTTTTGGATCAGGTGCAGATAAGTATTTAATTGAGGAGAGTGCAATTGCTGGCAAAGGCATTTCTAAGATTGTAGATCTTCAATGTGATTTATCTGAAATTATCATCGAAATGCTCTCTCTTTGCATAACTCCTACCCTCGATTAGTTCCAAATAAATTATGATAACAATATTTTTGAATCTACTTATCCTTCTATGACTAACTTTCCTTGTGTCTTTAAAGATGAAGTACTAAATATTCATTTTTTTTTCAAACCTACATTAGACTGTTCAAGCTTGACTGAATCACAAAAGTAAATTTCAATAGAATATTTCGACTCTCGTAAAAAATAAAAAATTTAGAAGTAAATAAAGTTAGAAATGTAAGATAGCTTTACTTGCAACCCAGAGCTATAATAATCTGTATTTAAAATTGGAAAACAACTATTTTTAAATGAAAATATAATATAAGAAGATTGTAGCTCATCGTTAATTTAGTAATCAATTGACTATTAGCTTCTCACAGAAAAAACTGCTTTGATTTGTGTAATTGAAACTTTGAATGATGAGTAAAAAACTATGTATGAAAATATATCCCATAGTAAATAGTATACAAACTATTAATAAGATTCTGATTTGGAAAACATATCTAAATAGGTTCATTGTTTGAAAACCGCTAATTTGTCAATTACTTAACTTTTAATGGATTAATCTGCAACATTATAAACGATTAAAAAGGGATCATCAAATTCTTTAAAATCCAACACATCTTCATCAATATTTACTAAAATTAAGAATTTTTTCACATCTTCAAAAAAATCTAGTAAATGCCCTGCTTCTACTAATTAATTTTGTAATGATTAAATGGATTTTATTGAATATTAACAAAATTGTTTCAACCAAGAGAGTGATTGTTAATTTGAAGAGCTTAAGGAGAGTCCAAAAAAATAATTTTATAGATTTAGAGCACATTAATAATAGTTAGAAAAATAGGATGAAAATGATTATGATGAAGATTTTAAAAATAAAAAAAGTGAAAGAGAATACTAGCTAAAAGAAAAAGAAAGCTATCCTTCTATTCCTAAGATAGAAAATTTGCTTAATTTGGTAAATTCTGAAGGTGTATGGAAGTATGATGAAGGTTTAATTAAATAATATTGCAAAAAAAATATGGACACAATAAAGAAATATTCCTCTAAATTTAAATCTCAAGATGGATTTATGACTTTGCTTATTGTAATTCTACTTGAAACCTATTATGCTTAGCAAAAATCTAAGTGGATGCTCATTTCTAAAAAATCAATTAACTTCCTAAAATCTTAAATAAATTAATCTGAAGATTTAATTTAAATCAAAGAGAGTATCAGATAATTAATATCTTAGTGATTTGATTAATATCTTATGCTTTAAAAAGACAAATTATTATTTTTAATTATTAATTAATTTTAACTTAAATCTTTTTATTTATTTACTTACTTACTTAATTCATATTTTTATGGTCAATCATGATTATTTGTCTTAACTTTTAATTTATATATCCCGTAAAAGATCCGAAAGATATTTTTATTTAACGACTTGTTTGGTAATATAACCAATAAATATATATCTTTGAAAGAAAACACTTCAAAAATCAAAATTACTTTTTATAAAATGGTCTTTATGGTATATTTTTTTTAATAAATACTTAATTAATCAGAATATTCAGTTTTTCAATTCAGATACTTGTAAAGAATTTATCAGTTATATAAATTAGTAAAATAAATATACTAAAAATGTAAATATTACAAACAAGTAAAAAAAATTTTGAAAATAAATTCAACTATGAAGTTAAAAATAGAATAAAAATGATATTTTGAGATTATTAAGAAAAGTAAACTTTTTTTTTTAAGTAGTAGTTTCTATTCCTTCAGTAGTATACTATTCACTTTCTTACTTAGATGAATAGTTACTATGGATAAAGCTTTAGTATTTAATAGTTCAGAGTTACTATCCTGTTAATCAAAAATTTTCTTTTTTTTTAATAGGTTTGTTTGTTAGAAAATAAATTTTAATTTATCTTCTCTTTAATTAATCTGTGTTTCAATCTTTATTTAAAATAATTAGTAACTTAACTAAAACTAACTTGATGTACTCAAAATTATATTTAAAATTTATGATGTTTATTTAAGTGAGAGCAATAAATAGATTAATTTATATTTTAGCTTGCTTTTCATCTAACAATTTTTTTATATTAGATTTTACCAATTAATTTCCATTTTAAAAAAGTTTAAAATTATGTGCTTATTTTATTTTTTGTATTTTTAAGGAAATATTTTATATAAAAATGTCTTTATTACTAATAGTTATTGTTCAATTTAAAAATCAGAATAAGTGAGCTACAACAAAGGTAGAATAGATAGTTCAACAGAGCTGAAAGCAGTTAAGTATAATACTACTCACTATGATTATCATAAGATATGGATTTTAAATAAATTTTTAAAATTAAAAATACAAAAGAGATAACATATAAATTCTTACAAACACCAAATTGTAAAGCTTATTTTTAAATCTAAGTAATACTATCCGTATTTATATTTTACTTTACATTTAATTTATTTTTGATATTAATTATTTACTCTGTTCAAAAATTAAAAAGGTAAAACTCCCCAAAAAGTTAATATTGAAATTGAATAAGGGTATATAAATTTATTTGGATCAAAGTCACTAAATTTTACTGTAAGATCAACCTGTTTTAGTAATTAGAGTAACAAAAACTATTATTCATAAAATAACAGGAGCTAAAAATTATACTATTGAGTAAAAAGCTATTTATCCATTGATTAAGAATATTATCATCTATAATCATCTGTAGCGGAGTATTTTTAATAAAATTTCTAATCTCTGAAGTTTTTTCATATGGAATATCTGCCTAAACTAAGAGTTAAATAAATAAATATTTAAATATTGATTCTGTTCTAAATTACATAGGTAGAACTCCCCAAAAAGTTAGTATTGAAATTGAATAAGAGTATATAAATTTATTTGGATCAAAGTCACTGCATTTTACTGTAAGATCAACTGCATTATAAAATTAATTTCCCAGTTGCAAACAAGTAAATGTTTTGATGAAATATGATATTTATCCATCCTATTTAAAAAAATTAAAGAAATAATTCGAAAGTGTGTATTTAATTTGTTTTAGTAATAAAAGTAAAGCAAAAACTGTTATTAATAAAATAAATGGAACTAAAAATAACAATTGAGTAAAAAGCAGTATATCCATCCATTAGAAATATGATCATCTATAGTTCGTGGATTGTAAAACTAATATAATAAAAAGTCAAAATATTTCATAATCAAATAAATAAATACTACTTTTTACAATTAATTCATAGTTAAATTAAAAAAATCTTAAAATTTCCATTATATATTAGAAAATTTATAATCAGCGCAATTCTTATATAAGCAGATTTAAAAGCAAATTTATGTTGCCAATTTGTGATGTTTTTGTTTTAGTGAAGAGCCTTGAAAAAGGCAGTACACTAGGGTACTATACATGTATATATAAATTTCAAATTTACTTATTCTAACTTATATAAAACTCATTAAGCAATAAAATATAATTAATTTTATTTAATTTGATGGAACAAAAAAAATTATCTTATAAAATAAATTTTTAAAAACAAATGATATATGTAATAAATTGGTAATTCGATAATTAATAGCTAATCAAATCATAATTAAGATAGTTAATTCATATTACTTATAAAAGTATTCAACCTCTTTTTTTTATTATTTTGATTTATTTCTTCAAATTCATCATCTTAATTCTAACTCTCCTAAGTTTAATTGCTAAATTATTGATTTTAATAGTCTGGTTTTTTGGGTTGTTAATCTTTTATGTAATTGAATTATTATTATTCAAATTAATTAAGCTTAAATGTTGTTCGATTACTTTTAGATGATACTAAAGGGTTTAAAATGAGCCTAAAAGAATTTTTATCTTTTCCATGTTTACTTAAGTTATTATTGTAGTTTTAATTTGATAAGTTTATTGATTATTTCATTGAAGCAGTTAAATTTTAAAAAGATATTGTTTTACTTTCTTCATTTTATGATATTTAATTTTAGAATAATATTGGTTTTTCGTTTAGTTATTCGAACATTTTTTTAAGTGCAGGATCAAGTTAGTTGATTAATTTTTAATCCAAAGTGGATTAATCACTTTTATAAGCTATATTTTGGTAGGCTTTAAAACTTTCACAGGCCTTTTATAATTCTGATCTATTATCTTGATAAAGCAAGTCAATTTCTATATTTTGTTTTTTATCTTTTTATTTCATAGAAATATCAGTCTAGATGGTGGGTTTAGGCAAGTAGTCAAACAGTTTGAGCTGATCTTGATCAAAAATAAGTCTTTTTAACTTTTCTAACTCATTTAATTTATGGATAATGTTGAATATATCAATGTTATAATAAAGCTTTTCTCTGCTATAATTTATTATATATTTTTACTTCTTGTAAAATTTACTAAAATAACAAAAGATTTTAGATTTGAAATACTACCAAATGCTAAGCTACATAGAACTCATTTAATTATCAAAGTGTCTTTTGAACTTATCCTCAACTTATTTCTGGCTTTTCTCTTATTCTTTCTCAGAAAATCCCTTGCCTTATAAGTTATTAATTTGCTAATCTGCTACCCCAACTGATTTTTTTAATATTGTGCTCTAATCTTCAAAATAGCTCATCATCAGCTAAGAAATTTTTAATTAATTACTTTTTTTATTTTCCTTTTATTCCAAAACTGCATCTTATTCATTTAAATTGCAATAAACTTTATCAGATTTTTAATCCTCATAAATAAAGTTTTTTTTGGGGGGGCTTTCCAGGAGAACTTGTTTTTAAGCATTTTCGTTTATTTAACTTTTTAAACAAAAGTTTTATTAATGATTTTTTCTCAAATTCTCATTACTGCTGTTAAAGCTAACTTTCGAACTTTTGTCAAAGCTTTATTTTGACTTTTTAAGCTTTTTTTTATTTCCCTGTTTTTGTTATTCATGTTTTGTTTCATTTACTTCTTTTTCCTCATTTTATTATTTGCTTTTTAAATTCCCTTCAAATTTAAAAGCTTTGTTAATAAGGTCAATATCTAACTTTGTCTGTGATACTTTTTTGCAAAGCACATATCCAATTGCAAGAAAACTCTAAGTAAATCCTCCAATTTCAGAAAAAATAGAAATGAATTTTTTATATGATCTTTTATAGACACTCTCTTTTTGCTTTTCAAATCTGAAACGAATGGTAAGAAAATAATCCTAAAATGATGGAGGATATTCCTTTTATAAAAAAAAATATTTTAAAATTACTATATTACTTTTTAAACAAAACTTAAGTAAAAAATTGGATGTGCAATTTATTTACATAATTTTCAGAAAAACTATAAGCAGGAAATCTTTAAGTTTCCACATTAGGAAAAAACCATCCGAAATCACTGTAAACATAATTATTACGGATGTAAATGTACACATCTTTTGGGAGCTCAGTACTAGTAGACCAAAACATATCTCTGGAGTAAATTTTGAATGGATTGTCACTAATAGTTGGATCTACATAGGAATCAGATAGCTAAAGACCAAAATTAGACTTTTAAAGAAAACTGTCTAAAATTTCTTAAGATTAACAATTTTTAGTACACTTCTTAACTGTAATCTGAATTTCTGAATAAACTTTAGAAGGAAAGTCCCCTTAAATTGGCAATTCAAAATCGGGAGGAAGACAATACATATTAGTATAGTTAAGCTGAAGATAGTATTTTTAGTTTTCAAGATTTTAGAAATTTTCAATTGTGCAAGGCTAAACATTTATGCTATTTTGTTACCAAGTCGAGATATACTACTAGGTAGTCTCATCGAAAGTTAAAAGTTTTTAGTTCCAAAAAGCAGTGATTGTATAAATGCTTTCATCAATAAAGTGATTGAAATCTTTAGGATTTTCCATTCCAAATGCTAAAGGAAAATTTTTGCTTGACGCATTAAATATAGCCGGATCATCAACTTATCTTTCGTTGTAGATAACCTCAGGATTATTTCCTTAAACTAGATCTACAATTAATCCAAATAGCCTGTAAGAGATAAGTACATATATTATGAGGGTAAAGTATGAGCCTAATCTTGTGTTATATGTTTGTTATTTGTTAAATCTTAAGAAGATTTAACTACCAAAGATGTCTAATTTATCTATCATTTTTAAATTATTTGTTTTCCACTTTCTAACTTATCTTATGCGTTAATTTTACTAACTTTTTATTACAATTTAATTAAAGAATTTTTTGTATGGGCTTTTCAAAAAAGCTTAAAAAATAAAAATTAATAATCTGCTAAGTTAATAATAATATATGTGAATAATTAATTAAACCTATTTTTTTATTTTATAAAATTTTCAAAAGGAATGACTTTTTTAGCAATCTCTTTATTTCATAGTAGATTTATCTTAAAATAATTTTTAGTTTTATTTATTTGAAAAGAAATCCATACAATTTATTCTTTAGTTAATATTTAATCCATGATGTTTGATCAAATAAGTCAATAAAAAATAATTTTATTTATTTATTTATAAACTATTGTACTTTTCTTTATGTTGGAAACCAATGAGGCTGTGAAAATTTCTTTAGTATATTCGAATTTTTGAATTTTTATCACTAATGAAACTTTTTAATAAAATGTAAAAGAAAGTTTAAAAAAATACATTAAAACTAAGTATTTCAAAAAATAAATATTAAAAAAATGTAATGATAATTCAGTGAACAAATTTTAAACATATGAAAACTAATTTTACTAATAATTAATTGATTAATAATTATCTATTTATTGATGAAAAAATGGATAGAATTTTTAAATATGAACTAATTAGATTTCATTGCAGATAAAAGATAGAAAAAATGTAACAATTACGTGGATTTAAAAGACTCAATTTAAAACACATTTATGAATAAAGACAACCAAGAGGTATTGTATTAAGTTTAATCCGTAGAATTAAAATACAAATAATTATTATTTTCATATAAATTCTTACAAAGTCCCAATTGTTAGTAAAACTTATTTTTTAAATCTATGTAATACTATCCTTATTTTTTTTACTTAACTTTGATTTAATTTATTTTATCTTTGCAATTAATTATTGATTCTGATCAAAAATTACAAAGGTAAAACTCCCCAAAAAGTTAATATTAAAATTGAATAATGTTATATAAATTTATTTGGATCAAAGTCACTGCATTTTACTGTAAGATCAACTGTATTATAAATTAATTACCCACTCCACTTGCAAAAAAGAATTATTTTGATGAAATATGATATTTATCTATTTTATTTAAAAAAAACTTTAGAGCAATTGAAATGTGTGTAAAAATAATAATATTAAATTCTAATTTTTTTTATCTGTTTTAGTAATAAGAGTAACAAGCACTATAATTAATAAAATAAATGGAACTAAAAATTATACTATTGAGTAAAAAGCAGTGTATCCATTCATTAAGAATAAGGTCATCTAGAGTCACTTATAGTGGAGTATTTTTAATAAAATTTCTAATCTTTGAAGTTTTTTCAAATGGAATATTTGCCTAAACTAAGAGTTAAATAAATAAATAAATATTTAAATATTGACTCTGTTCATAGATTACATAGGTAGAACTCCCCAAAAAGTTAGTAATGAAATTGAATAAGGGTATGTTAATTTATTTGGATCAAAGCCACTGAATTTTACTGTAAGATCAACTGCATTATAAAATTAATTTCCCACTTGCAAACAAGTAAATGTTTTGATGAAATATGATATTTATCAATCATATTAAAAATAAATCAAAGAAACGGAATATGTGTAATTAATCTGTTTTAGTAATAATAGTAAAGGAAACACTATTATTAATAAATTAACTGTAACTAAAGAGTATACTATTTAGTAAAAAGCAGTGTATCTATTCAATTAGGAATATGATGATCATCTATCTATAGTTTGCGGATTAGGGAAGTTCACAATAATATAAAATTGATATAATAAAAAGACAAATATTTTATAATCAAACAAATAAATACTAATTCTAATTGTAGATTTTTTTTATGTAATAGAAAGATTAATATAATATTAAACAAATTTATATAATAGTATTTCATATATATTTATTTATGTAGTTTGTATTAAGTTTATAATCATTTATATCAATATTTGAGAAGTTTTTCCTCTCATCCTTATTACTAACATGAATTAATTAGTAGATGATCTATATTATATATTTTTATTACTTCAATTTTTATATAAAAATTTTTTTTACAACTTACTCAAGAATCAAATAAAAATTAATTAATAAATGATTGATTGATTGACTGCTTTTATGGTTACTTCGTTAAAATAAACAAAATTTATTGTTTACCTTAATTAAGAAATAACCTTTTATTATAAAATGTTTCATCAAAATTATATTTAAAAAAGAGAAAAAAATAAATTTACAATAATATTGATAAGTTTTTAGAGTTAATGTTTATATATATTTCAAATTTACTTGTTCTAAATCATATAAAACTCTATAAGCACTAAAATATAATTAATTTTATTTAATTTGATGGGACAAAAAAAAATTATCTAATCAAATAAATTTTTAAAAATATATGATGTATGTAATAAATTAGTAACTCGATAATTAATAGTCAATCAAATCATAATTAAGATAGTTAATTCATTTTACTTACAAAAGTATTCAACCTCTTTTTTTTATTATTTTGATATATTTCTTCAAATTCATCTTCTTAAATTTAACTCTCCTAAGTTTAATTGCTAAATTATTGATTTTGATTGTCTCGTTTTTTGGGTTGTTAATCTTTTATGCGATTGAATTATTATTATTATTCAAATTAATTACACTTGAATGTTGTTATATTACTTTTAGATGATGCTTAAGGGCTTAAAATGAGTCTAAAAGAATTTTTATCTCTTCCAAGCTTGCTTAAATTATTATTTTAGTTTTAATTTGATAAGTTTATTGATTATTTCATTGAAGCAGTTAAATTTTAAAAAGATGTTGTTTTACTTTCTTCATTTTATGATATTTAATTTTAGAATACTGTTGATTTTTCGTTTAGCTATTTGAACATTCTTTTAAGAGCAGGATCAAGTTAGTTGATTAGTTTTTGATCTAAAGTGGATTAATCACTTTTATAAGCTATATTTTGGTAGGCTTAAAAACTTTCACAGGCCTTTTATAATTCTGATCTATTATCTTGATAAAGCAAATCAATTTCTATATTTTGTTTTTTATCTTTTTATTTCATAAAAATATCAGTTTAGATGGTGGGCTTAGGCAAGTAGTCAAACAATTTGAGCTGGTCTTGATCAAAAATTAGTCTTTTTAACTTTTCTAATTCATTTAATTTATGGATAATGTTGAATATATCAATGTTATAATAAAGCTTTTCTCTGCTATAATTTATTATATATTTTTACTTCCTGTAAAAATTACTAAAATAACAAAAGATGCTTGATTTAAAATACTACCAAATGCTAAGCTACATAGAATTCATTTAATTATCAAATTGCTTTTTGAACTTATCCTCAACTTATTTTTTGCTTTTATCTTATTCTTTTTCAGAAAACCCTTTGTTTTATAAGTTATTAATTTACTAATCTGTTACCCCAACTGATTTTTTTAATATTGTGCTCTAATCTTGAAAATAGCTCATCATCAGCTAAGAAATTTTTAATTAATTGCTTTTTTTGTTTTCCTTTTATTCCAAAACTGCATCTTATTCATTTAAATTGCAATAAATTTTATCAGATTTTTACTCCTAATAAATAAGGTTTTTTTTTGGGGGTCTTTCCAGGAGAACTTGTTTTTAAGCATTTTCATTTATTTAACTTTTTAAACAAAAGTTTTATAAATTATTTTTTCTCAAATTATCATTACTAGTGTTAAAACTAACTTTTGAGCTGCTTTTATTTTCTAAATTTTATTTTGACTTTTTATGCTTTTTTTTATTTCCCTGTTTTTGTTATTCATGTTTTGTTTCATTTGCTTCTTTTTCCTCATTTTATTATTTACTTTTTAAATTCTCTTCAAATTTAAATGCTTTGTTAATAAGGTCAATATCTAACTTTGTCTGCGATACTTTTTTGCAAAGCACATATCCAATTGCAAGAAAACTCTAAGTAAATCCTCCAATTTCAGAAAAAATAGAAATGAATTTTCTATATGATCTTTTATAGACACTCTCTTTTTGCTTTTCAAATCTGAAACGAATGGTAAGAAAATAATCCTAAAATGATGGAGGATATTCCTTTTATAAAAAAAAATATTTTAAAATTACTATATTACTTTTTAAACAAAACTTAAGTAAAAAATTGGATGTTCAATTTATTTACATAGTTTTCAGAAAAACTATAAGCAGGAAATCTTTAAGTTTCCACATTAGGAAAAAACCATCCGAAATCGCTGTAAACATAATTATTACGGATGTAAATATACACATCTTTTGGGAGCTCAGTACTAGTAGACCAAAACATATCTCTGGAGTAAATTTTGAATGGATTGTTACTAATAGTTGGATCTACATAGGAATCAGATAGCTAAAGACCAAAATTAGACTTTTAAAGAAAACTGTCTAAAATTTCTTAAGATTAACAATTTTTAGTACACTTCTTCACTGTAATCTGAATTTCTGAATAAACTTTAGAAGGAAAGTCCCCTTAAATTGGCAATTCAAAATCGGGAGGAAGACAATACATATTAGTATAGTTAAGCTGAAGATAGTATTTTTAGTTTTCAAGATTTTAGAAATTTTCAATTGTGCAAGGTTAAACATTTATGCTATTTTGTTACCAAGTCGAGATATACTACTAGGTAGTCTCATCGAAAGTTAAAAGTTTTTAGTTCCAAAAAGCAGTGATTGTATAAATGCTTTCATCAATAAAGTGATTGAAATCTTTAGGATTTTCAGTTCCAAATGCTAAAGGAAAATTTTTGCTTGACGCATTAAATATAGCCGGATCATCAACTTATCTTTCGTTGTAGATAACCTCAGGATTATTTCCTTAAACTAGATCTACAATTAATCCAAATAGCCTGTAAGAGATAAGTACATATATTATGAGGGTAAAGTATGAGCCTAATCTTGTGTTATATGTTTGTTATTTGTTAAATCTTAGAAAGATTTAACTACCAAAGATGTCTAATTTATCTATCATTTTTAAATTATTTGTTTTCCACTTTCTAACTTTCGTTATTTGTTAATTTTACTAACTTTTTATTACAATTTAATTAAAGAATTTTTTGTGTCTGAATTTTCAAAATAGCTTAAAAAATAAAAATTAATAATTTGCTAAGTTAACATCAAACAAATATGAATAATTAATTTAACTCATTTTTTTTTCAAAAAAGGTATATTAAAAAAATGAAATCATAATAGAGTGAAAATATTTTTAACTTATGAAAACTAATTTTACTACTAATTGATTAATCTATCTATTGATGACAAGATGGTTGAAATTTTTAAATATGAACTAATTAGATTTTATTACAGATAAAAGATAGAAAAAATGTAACAATTACTAGATATTTAAAAGACACAATTTAACTATTAATTTCTTAAAGATTCATTTTTGAAATTTTTTGATAATTTTTTGGGTATTATTCTGATTATTATTATTATCATGTAGACACTAATATCAGATTTTATTAGATGAATTATTTTTAATGTCTATTTTAGGAGTATTCAACTATTTTTGTATGATACTTAAGCTTTCAATCATATTCTGATAATTAATTAATTAAAAAAATAGTAAATCATTATTATTAATAGATGAATAATAAATTAAAACTAAGATCTTTTGACTTTTAACTTGCTACTGATGGATCTTAAAAATCATCTAAAGTACCAGCGACACTTAAAAGTGTTTAATATAAATGCTAAATTATCAACAACATTATGAAAACAGCTTTAACTTAAACATTTGTTAGCAATTCAGATAATGAATACTCAGAAACCAATTATTATTTTCCAATTTAGGAAGGCACATGCTTAGAATCATTTGAAGCTAAATTCAACGAAAAAACCATAAAAGGAATCATCAAGGAAAAATCTGAGGCAAAAATCGAATATCAAGAAAATAAATAACAAGGTAATTTTGTTTCATATGCTGAGACCTCTACAGAGAAAGATCAAGACTATTGCAAAATACTTTTAGGAAACTTGCCTCCTAATCAGAAAGTATAAATTAATCTAGTTTTTTCTTAATAAATTTCTTGTATATTAAATAAGTATTTTATTGCTTAAATACCACTTCAATACTGTGAGGATGAAGTTTCTGCTAAACTTGGAATAAATGTTCTAACTTTAGATTTATTCTGCACTGGAAAAATTACTTACGCTGAATCAAGAGGTTATCCAGCTTAAAAAAAGGTGATTGATGATAACACAGTCAAATTTGATTTGAGTCAAGCTCTTTTATAAAAAGATTTAGGTTTCTAGCTTGTATTTGCTTTCGAAGGCATGTTTGAACCTCAAGTTATTTTTGGATCAAGTAAGATTTATCATGAAGACTCAGTAAAAAGAGCTGTTCTTCCTGTAAGCAGCTCTGTGATGGTTTCTTTAATCCCTAATTTTAATGAAGAAGTAACTAAGGAATTAGATGACGTAATTAGAGCAGCTATACATAAAGGAGATGATGTCTTTAGTGACGAATTCTAGTAAAAAATGAACTCAGAGGTAATTGATCACTTGAATTCTTCAAGAAGTGAGTTTATTTTCCTATTAGATAGGAGTGGATCTATGATTGGATAACCTATACAAAAGGCTTGTGAGGCTCTTATTTTATTCTTAAAGAGCCTTCCTACAGATAGTTACTTCAATGTTGTTAGCTTTGGCTCTTCTTATGAAAAGTTATTTTAATCTTCAATCAAATATGATACAAGAAGCCTCGAAAAAGCAATCAATTAGATAAAAGAGTATACTGCTAATTTATTAGGAACCGAAATTTATAAACCTCTATAAAACATTTTTAAAGAAACTAAAATTGATGGGTACAACAAATAAATATTTTTGTTGACAGATGGTGAAGTGGAATCCCCCAAAAAAGTTGTATAGTTGATCAGAAAAAATAATAAATTTAACAGAATCAACTCTATTGGTTTTGGGTCAGGTGCAGATAAGTATTTAATTGAGGAGAGTGCAATTGCTGGCAAAGGCATTTCTAAGATTGTAGATCTTCAATGTGATTTATCTGAAATTATCATCGAAATGCTCTCTCTTTGCATAACTCCTACCCTCGATTAGTTCCAAATAAATTATGACAAAAATATTTTTGAATCTACTTATCCTTCTATGACTAACTTTCCTTGTGTCTTTAAAGATGAAGTACTAAATATTCATTTCTTTTTCAAACCTACTTTAGACCGTTCAAGCTTGACTGAATCACAAAAGTAAATATCTATAGAATATTTCGACTCTCGTAAAAAATAAAAAATTTAGAAGTAAATATAGTTAGAAATGTAAGATAGCTTTAATTGCAACCCAGAGCTATAACAATCTGTATTTAAAATTGGAAAACAACTATTTTTAAATGAAAATATAATATAAGAAGATTGTAGCTCATCGTTAATTTAGTAATCAATTGACTATTAGCTTCTCACAGAAAAAACAGCTTTAATCTGTGTAATCGAAACTTTGAATGATGAAAAAAAGATTATGTATGAAAATATATCCCATAGTAAATAGTATACAAACTAAAAAGATGTATTGGAAGAAATATTTACTTAGGTTAATTATTTGGCTTCAAATAGTTTGATTTGTGTTGAAGATTTAAATACTTAAATGGATACATTATAAAATTGTAAAAAGGGATCGTCAAGCTCTTTAAAATCAACAACTTCTTCAATATTTACTAAAATTAAGAATTTTTTCACATTTTCAAAAAAATCTAGTCAGTGCCCTACTTCTTCTAATTTATGTTTTGATGATAAAATGAATTATATTGAAAGTTAAAAATCATGTTTGAAATTATAGGGAAATTGTTAAATTAATGAGCTTAAGGAGAATCTATAAAAAGACTATAATCAAATTAATGCACATGAATTAGAGTAAGATAAATGCGATGAAAATGATTTTGATGAGGATTTTAAAAATAAATTACCTAAAAGAGAATACTAGCTACTAAAAGAAAAAGAAAGCTATCTTTCCATTCCTAAGATAGAAAATTTGCTTAATTTGGTAAATTCTGAAGGTGTATGGAAGTTCGATGAAGGTTTAATTAAATAATATTGTCAAAAAAATATGGAAACAATAAAGAAATATTCCTCTAAATTTAAATCTCAAGATGCATTTATGACTTTGCTTATCGTAATTCTACTTGAAACCTATTATGCTTAGCAAAAATCTAAGTGGATGCTCATTTCTAAAAAATCAAATAACTTCCTAAAATCTTAGATAAATTAATCTGAAGATTTAATTTAAATCAAAGAGAGTATCAGATAATTAATATCTAAATGAATTGATATTCTTTGTTTGAAAAAGCCAAATAATAATATTCTGAATTAGTTTTCACTAAAATATTTTTATTTACCTTGAAAATGATTTATTTATTTACTAAGTTATTTAATTAATTAATTGATGTTTATGATGAATTTTTTTTTTGTCCAAACTTTAATACTTTAATTTATATATACCATAAAAGATCTGAAAGATATTTTTATTTAGTGACTTGTTTGGTAATATAGCCAATAATAAGAAATTGAAATAAGGTAAAAAATTTCTATTTTTTTTTAATTTTGATATTAGCAAGGTATATATATATATAATATATACTTTTTGAGTATAGGGGATTGGGTTGAGTTACCTTAATTAATAAGAATTAATAGTATTTGGTATTATTTCTTTCTTTTGTTTTAAATAAATACATACATACATATACATTATAAAAAAAATTAAATTAATATTTTTAATGAAAATAGTTTTTTATATGAAAATTAACAAAATAATTTTATAATTTTTATCTAAAAGTGATTTTTTATTTAAAAATTTAATTTTTTTTAATAATTAAAAGAAAAAAAACAAAATAAATAAAAATAAGTAAAAAATTTAGCAAAAATAAAGAAAATATTTAGTTTATTTATTACTGAATCTTTCCTTTGTAATCGATTCATTTTAATAAAATCATTCTAAAATAAAAATACTCTTTTTTATTTGTTTAAAGAAACAATACTACACATTTCATTGTCTACTATATATTTTAATTAATTATTATACACACAACTAAACAACTAAAGGAACTTTTAATAAAAATTGATTATTAATTAATTAATTTATTTATTTATTTAATTAGTAGATATAAAATAGTAAGTAGAAGCAAATTTATATTGATTAACCTTACTAAATGGAAAAAGAAGATATAAACTAAATTAAACCTTTAGAATAAACTTAACTACTCATATGCGAGAATAATTAGATTAAGAATATAAGATATGAGAGTAATAAAGATTTATGGACTAAAACTTTTTCGTAAAATACTATACTAACTTAAAACTATATAAATTAGAAGAATCAACCAACAACAATCAAGAATAAACTTTATGAGATAATGTTTAAGATAAGATTCAAAAAATATGCTGATATTTTTTTATAATTTACAAGAAAAAGAATGTTTAGAATGCTGAGTGGAAAATAAATTGAAATGATTAATGACAAAACTTACTTTAAAGAAGAAAAACTTCAGTCTTTTAAAGCCAGTAAGATAATTGATAAAAGATCAAGAAGTTTGTCTGTAAAAAGTAAAGTTTATAGCATAATTTACCACAATTAAAGTCCTAAAAAAAGGGGTAAAGATAAAAGTAAACTCGAATGCTTATATAAATAAATACCAGTCTTTCTGCCTCAAACAAAGTTCATAGAATTTTGGCAAGCGATCAAAATATTTGCTACTTTAATATGCTTTTTTTGTTATTTTATTTGCTTTAGTTTTGAAGCATAGATTAATGAGTATTTCAGAATTGAATTTATAATTATTTGCTAACTGCTAACACTCTTTGATATATTTATTCATGCAAATACTGCTATATACGTGAAAGGTATCTTATGTACCAATAGATAAGCTATTTTTAAATATTACAAAGAATCACATGCTTTTTTCTATGATTTTATTTCACAGCTCTTTCCACTTTCTTACTTCTTAATTACTAACGATCGTTGGCATTCAAGGATTGCTTTAGTTCTACTTTTACCAATAGTTTTTAAATATAAGGATATAAATAATATCATAAACAACATGAAAGATAAATTTCTCTTTGACAAAAAAGCTTAAAATATTATTGAGTTAATCAATCTTTTTAAAAACGTAATTCTCATTTCTCATATTTTTGCATGTATATGGATATTGGCAGCTAAAATATCATACTTAACATATGACATTTCTTAACTTTAATAATAGCCAAATAGTATAAACAATAGTATTAATACTTAAACATGGATAGATCTTATGCAACTAACAGATTCTTCTTGGTTAGTGTAGTATATTTATTCATATTACTTTATTACAGTGACTATGTGCACTGTAGGTTATGGTGATATCAAGCCTACTAATGTGATAGAAATTATAGTTTGCACTGTTTTGATGATGATTTGTTGTGCAATTTTTGCATTTACAATTAATTCTATTGGGTAAATCTTTTAAGACTTTTATCAAAAAGAGAATATAATAAGAGAGAAAAGATTTATAATTGGAAACTACATGATAAAAAAAGGAATATCAAAATCAACTATGAAGGATGTTTATGAATATCTTGAGTAATAAATAAATAATTTTGCATTTAAAATAGTTTATTAAAATTGTTAAAAAAAAATTAAAACAAAAATTAAATCTAAAATTAAAAATAAATAATTAACAATTGATGAATAAAATTAAATTATTATTTTTTTCAATTAATTTTTTAATATTTAAATGATAGGTACTATTGGAAAGAAAAGAGTGATGAAAATCTTAAAGAGGAAAATCATATTATTTCTTAATTGTCGAATGGATTGAGGGAGGAGCTTTTAGCTGAATCAAATCGTATTATATTTAAAGAATGTTCTTTCTTTAAAGATAATTTTAGTTATGAAACTTTGCTCAGGTGTCTGCCAATAATTCAAGAGTAAAGATGCACTCCTGAAGAAGTTATTTATGACTCAGAAATCGGCGATTCTGATGTTTGGCTCTATTTTATCTAATAAGGAGAGCTTGAAATTTATATGCAATCTCCTGATTACTCAAATAAAAGAAAAATTTCATTTTAAAACTCAGCTATTACCATAATTAAATAGGTCTTTTTTTACTTCAAATATTTATTTTTATATAAAGAAAATATAAATAAATTATAAACCAAGTTTAAAAATTATCTTATTAATATTTCTGAGAAAAAAATAAATTAGATTTTAAATATCATACAAACATACATACATAAATATCCTTACAAAATTTATTATAAGATCATAACTAATAATTTGACTCTAGCTAGTCCTTTTCACATGTAAAATTTTTAGCTAAAGTGGTTTTGGTATCTATTGGAGGCGGTGCTATTTTTTATTTATTGTTTAAATTTTTATCTTTAAAATCTAATAAAGCGATGAATGAGATAATAAAAATTTAATTTGAAAGATTAAATCCCCTGCATTTATTTTTACACTAATATTTAATGAAAAATTTAAAACAAAATTAATTGAATTATATTTAACTAATATATCATTAATTTAATTTAAATAAAATATTTAGGGAGACTAATTTGGAGAAGTTTCTTTTTTTACTGGGGAGTAGCCTAAAATGAGTTTAAAGAGTTTAAATTTCTCGAAATTATTGAAGATAAAGAGATCAGATTTTATAAAAGTTATCATGGAAGATAAAGTGGAATATGAAACTTTTTGTATGATTAAAGATATGATAATATTCTCAAAAAATCCAACTATGCTAAAAAAGAAATGCCAATCATGCAATGATCAAACGCATGACATAGGATAGTGCCCTTATCTTCATTTATAGTTAAATAAAGGGAAGATTTATGGGTAATTGCTTAATAGTGTATCCCATTCAAAAAGAGAAAAGCTTAAAATAGAAAGGTCAATAAAATATAAATAGCCTACTTTAGAAAATTTGGAAAATTTTTATGAAAGGTATTTTTAATATTTGAATGATAAATATGAGGATTTGGTATAATATGAAGAGAAGTATATTAATGTCTATCCTTATTTAAGATAAAACTCTTGTTTTGCGTTTCCTCCAGAAGAAAAAATAGAATATTTAAATGGGAAGACAAATGATTATAATCCAAAAGAAAGCAATATCAATTTAAATATTTGTAATAACATTCCACCCAATATAAATGTTATCCAGAAATCTAACTCATTAAACTAAAGTAGTAGTAACGAAAGTAGCAGTACGAATCCTTAGGGTAGCTTAGTAAATTAACACAATCAACAACTTATTCAGTAACCTTCTGCTTACATGAAATAAACATCTAATGCAAAAAAGAATTTATAAGTTAAATAAGTCAGTTTCTAAAAATTAAGCCACTCCTCATGTGATGAAGAATCACAAGAATAAAGTGATGATTTTTAAGAAAATTTAAAACTGAAATAGATGATTTTGGTAGATAAAGATTCGAGCTTTAGTAATAATTAACAGTAGCCATAGATTACTTATACAAATAGCTCTAGTATTTAAAGTTAAAAGCTTTAGGATCCTTGCTCGTAAAATTAACTAAATAACAAATAAATTTCTTTAAAATAAATAACAAAAGATTTATCTGGATTTATGACATTGAAAAGTGATTTGTAACATTAATCTTCTTCTTAAACAATGAATTGTAGCAATAGTATCAACAATATCAATAATAATAATATAAATAACCAGCATGAAAATAAACTCTCTTAATCTTAAAAATATGTTTCATCCATATCTTAAATACCTCGTTAGTATAGTGAAATGTATGTTAAAAGATTAACTTTGCAAGAGATAAACAAATAAGAAACATCGAATGACTAATTTGATTGTTTTTTTGGACAATTTGAAAAGATGAGAAGGATGACCAATTATTTTCCTTATTTTAATTACAAATTCATTTTAGAAAAAATAAATAAATAAATTAATTATTTAAATAACACAAGAAAAGAATCAATAAAAGCTGAATATGCGCGAAGTATAATAAGCCATAGCTTAGTTAATAAAAATAGAAACAGAAATAGCTAAAAAAATATGCTTTTAAGTTAAAATTTTAAGAATTATCAATAGCAAAGAAAAGACTAAAGGATGAATTCCTCATTGTTTAGAGTTGAGAGTAAGAAAATAAGTTAGGATAATTTGAAAGCTAAGTCTCAGTTTGTCCTTAATAATAAAAATCTACACTAAGAAGAAAAATCTGAATTATGCTAAAACATAGAAGATTTCATAACATAAGAAGTAAATTGCTTTACAGCTAGTAAAATAGACCCAAATACGCCTTCTTAAAGTTTCACAAACGAAAAAAATTTCACAAATTATAAGGATGTTCAAATATTTAACAAGAAAGCATCGTATGATTTCTAATGATTATAATTTAATACAAAAACTTGCCTTTTAGATTTTATAAAAAGAAATGAAATTATTAACTTTTTATGTAAGTAAATTTAAATATTTTTTATTGGGTAAATTATTAATAAAATAATTGTGATAAAATTAACTTAAATTGATAAAAATATTTTTTATATTACGAATTTGAAGAAATATTTTGAAGGAATAAAATTATTCAATAATTTATCAGAATTTACAATAAAAATTTCGGCTTTAAAAAGTTAGGGTTTTTTTATGTTTTGAGGTTGAATTTCTGCCTAAGTATATTATAAACATTAATTATGTTTAAGTGATTATTTTTATTTATAGAAAAATTGGATAGTATTTATTTTTAATTACTTTAATATTAAATTGAAAAAAATAGAAATTCTAATTAATTAAACAAGAAACAACGTATTGAAGTTAATAAGTAAGTAAAAGAGATGATAGATGTTAAAGATATCAAACCAACTAAATCAATTCAAAATTTTCTTGAAAAATCTATGAATTAATTGCCAATTAAGTAGTCTGATCACTATTTTCATCAATAATGGGAAGGGATATCATCAGATTAATACAATAAAAACGTTTAGTAAAGAGACTTAGAAATTTAGCGTAGCAGTTTGAGCTAAAAGGAAAACTATATTTTGATTAATTAGTTTTAGAAAATATTTTATAAGATAAGATTCAAAAAGTATTTCACAGTGTTTTTAAATTTATCTAAAAGCAGGATGTTTAGATTGATATAACCATAATAAATGCATATGATAAATGACAATAGCTATTTCCCAGAAGAAAATAATAATTCCTTTATAAATAATTAATAAATAAAAACTAATGCAAATAATTTTAAAAATAAAATTTTTTCCTATTTTTGTTTCTTTGAAAATGCAATAAAAAATATTTTAGATTAGCTAGGTTAAAAAATACCTGTTTTTTTACCACATTCTAAATACATTGAGATTTGGTAGGCTTTCAAGATCTTCGCAACACTTATCTGCTTTTTTTTTTACTTAATTTGCTTTAGTTTTGAAGAATAAATGAGCAAAATTTTTTACATCTAAATCTTATTCGCATGCTAGTTTTTTCTATTTTTTGATATTTTCGTAGTGACGAATACTGGCATATATGTAAAAGGCGTTTTAAGTACAAGTAGAAAGGCTATTTATAAAAATTACAAAGAATCTTTTGCTTTATATTATGACTTTATTTCTTCGTTTTTTCCTTTTGTTTATTATTGCATAGTATAGGATCACTTTAAATCAAGAATGACTCTAGCATTACTCTTACCTATTGTTTTTAAATATAATGACATAAACACTATAATAAATTAAATGAAAGATAAGTTTCTGCTAGATAAAAAAGCTTAAAACATTATAGAATTAGTCAATTTATTTAAAAATATTTTGTTGATTTCCCACATTTTTGCTTGTTTATGGATATTAGCTGCTAAATATTCAGAATATATATATGATCATTAACAATAAGATTAAAGTAATACAACTAACAATCCTAATACATGGATAGAGTTAATGCAGCTGACGAAATCATCATGGGTAGTTTAATACATATATTCTTATTATTTCATAACTGTAACCATGATTACAGTTGGTTTTGGTGACGTTAGACCAACTAATGTGATTGAGGTATTAGTTTGCATATTCTTGATGATGACTTGTTGCGTTATATTTGGGTTCACAATTAATTCAATAGGCTAGATATTTTAAGACTTCTATCAAATAGAAAAGCTAATCAGACAAAAAAGAATTATCATAGGAAATTATATGATCAGAAAAGGTGTTTCTAAAACAACCATGAAAAAAATTTATGAATATCTAGAGTATACTATTATTTTTAATTACCAAATATTAGCCATGTGCACATTAGAAATTTTATTGAATTTCCTTTGTTATTATATTCATTAACCTATACTAAATTTATTATCATCATTATTTTAATTATTCCCTCTTACAATTACTCATTAAATATTTCTAATAATTATCTGATTAAAATTGAGCTATTTTTTGTTTACTTTTTCTTTTTGCTAGTATTCGTTTTAATGGAATATCAGCTAATTTTCATTTTATTTTATTTTTCATATTTTTATTGAGAAAGGTTAGTTAATTTTAAAATATATTTAAATTTATTTAAGCTACTATTGGAAAGAAAAAAATGATGAGAGTCAGTAAGAAGAATAAGAAATTATTTAGTAACTCTCTGTGGGGTTAAGAGAGGAGCTACTAGCTGAGTCATATAGAGTTATATTTAAGGAAAGTTCAATTTTTAAGGAAAATTTTAGTTACGATACACTACTGAAATGTCTTCCTTTCATTTAAGAGTAAAGATGTACTCCCGAAGAAGTTATATATGATGCAGAATTGGGCGATTAAGACATATGGTTATATTTTGTGCTATAAGGTGAGTTATAAGTATACATTTAATCGCCAAACAAATCAACTAAATAAAATGCATTTAGTAATTCTTCTATCATTTACACTCTCAGAAAAGTATTATTTTATAAATTTTAATTATTTTTTTCAATATTTTATAAAAACAATTTTCAAGGTTTTTATTGAATTTTTATTTGAGTTCATCATTTTTTACTATTTGATTTTATTTAATTTAATTCTTAAATAATATTTATTTAAACATTTTATATGAATAATTCATGCAAATACTACTTGGTTACCCTTTTAAATAAATAAATAAAAATAAAAAATAAATTTTCTTCATTCTGCTCTTACAAAATATGAATAACTCTTAGTTATTTCAAATTATAATTTTACCTAAAAATTTTTCACAATTGATAAAAAAAAATTATATTCTATCAATCCTCATTAATTAACAACAACCCCCCCAAATTTTTACCCTCTGAATGGGTCTATGTTATTCTATATCATTCTAAAAAAATATTTTTCTTGGGTGTTAATTAATGAGGATTGATAGTATTTATTTATTAACTTATTATTTTATTTAGGGAGATTAATTTGGTGACTTCTCTTTTTTCAGTGGAGAACAGACAAAAATGAGTTTGAAAAGCTAAAATTTCTCTAAATTGATGAAAATTAAGAGATCAGATTTTTTAAGAGTTGTCGAAGAAGATTAGACAGAATATGAAAATTTTTGCATGATTAAAGATTAGATAATACTTTCTAAAGATAGAGCTAAATTAAAAAGCAAATGTATTTCTTGTAGTGATACAAATCACGATGTTGGTGAATGTCCTTATTTACACAACTATCCTAATAAAGGCAGAATTATTAGCTCAACATTTTACAGCTTACCTCATTTGAAGAGAGAGAAACCAAAGTATGAAAGAAATTTAAAACTAAAAAAGAAATCCTTAAATTTGATTGGGAGCTGTTGCAGCTGTCTGTTAGAATATTTCAATATTAGATCAGATGATCTATTATAATATGAAGAAAAATATCTATATTTAAATTCTTTCTAAAAATATGGCTCATAGCAATAAAATGAAACTATTTAAAGTTAGTAATACATCGATTCTAATATAAAAGAAAATATAAACAATTTAAATGCTGCTTGCCATCCTAATATTAATTTAAATTCTAGTTCAAATATTTTATCTTCTAATACCTAAAGTGTTTAAAATATTCCTCAATTGAATTATCAGTTGTCCTCTTTCTTAAAGCAGAAATCTAACTTAAATAAATAGAAATCATTCAAGCAATCTCTCAGCTATAAAAAATCAAATTCATCAATTGATGAAAGTGAGGAATAAAAAGATAATATCAATGAAAATAATTTGGAATCTCCTAAGTTAAAGTAAAATTCAGTATAAAATGATAGGAGAGCTAGTTGTATATCGCTTTAATTACCATAAACAAGCTATTTTAGAACATCTAGCATTCAAAGTTAGTTTTACTAAGAAAGCAATTAACAAATTTAACAAAACAACAAATAAATGTAAACATATTTCATTAATAATTCATCAAAATTAAATACATTAAATCAAAAAAATGACTCTTTGCTATCTTAGAAATATCCAAGTTATAACAGCAACAACAACTATTAACCATAATAGAGATTAATAAAATTATTTAGTATAGTTCCAAGTTCAAGCTTTAATGAATTATTAACAAAATAAACATAATTTGACATTAGTAAAACAGAGTTTTTTTAAGAGTAATTTGATTTATTCTAAGGAGGCTTTGACAAAATGAAAAATATGATAAAATATTTTCCAGCTTTTAATTTTAAGAATATTTTATTTAAAATGAAGAAAAAATAAAAAAAATAAAATAAATTCATACTTAAATCATAGAATATTGTTAACTCTAAATATTTAATAAGTAAAGGCTAGTAGAAGAAGTAAGGCTTTAATTATTCTTAGAGGTTATTTGATTGTAAGTAATAAAAGATTTCTTATGATAATTTATCATAGACAGCTAGTTCTAATACTAGAACAACAATCATAAATAGCAATAAATTCAAAACTTAATCAATTTTCAACAATCATTCTCACGTAGAAAAGAAATTATTTTAGCATCACCACTCTTTAATGGAAACTAAGCATTTAGATTTATCATAAAACTTAGACGACTTCTTTACCCAAGAAAATAATAACTACTCTTTTAGCAAAATGAATCCCAACACTCCATCATATAGTGATTAAATTATTAGAAATATCTAAACGATTCAATCAACTTAACATAGGAAATCCTACAATTTTTAATGAAAATTCAAGTTAAAATAATTATCCACTTTTTAATGATACTTTTAGTTATTTTTAGTCTTTGGTCGTAACCATAGAATTTCACAAACTAAAATCTCAAAAATCATATTTATTAGTCATGATCTATGATATTTATTTTTTTTTTGTGCTAAAAACCAAATATTGCCAGTAAAAAAATAAAATCAAATCAAAATCAAACAATTTTTAAATTTATCAAATTTTTTTATTTGTAAAGTTTTTCATTTGATTTAGATTATTTATTTTAAACAATTTTTAGAATATATTTTAGAATTAAAAATAGTTTATCGCAGTAATATATTTACTTAGGTATTATACTTGAATATATACATGAAAAGTTATCTATGATACTCATATCTAAAAATATACAAGTCAAAAATTTCAATCCATTTTTTAAAAAGTAAAATTCAGTTTTAATTGAACAAAGTTTTAATTTTTTATATTAAGAATATAAATAAATAAATTATTTCATTACTTATTGTCAAGATGTCCAATAAGAAAAATTAAATAAAGATCAATCATTTAAAAATAATGATTTTATGATAAATAGTGAGTGATTTCTTAAAAGATTTCAATAGCTTTAATGACAATCTAATAGTAAAATTTGTAATTAATATTATTACTTTGAGTAGAATGTTTATCATCTATTATTTATTTATTTATTTATTTATCCTTCTATAATAAAAAATAATTAAAAAATCAACACAGAAAACTGGTTTGTTTTCTTAGATTTACATTATTTTATTGTTTTTACAACATTAAGTAAGCTAACAACAATATGGATAGATAGTATGTATATATCAAAAAATAATAATTTGTTTTATTATATTTTATTAATGTATTTTATTCAAACTGATGTTGCAGAAAGAATTAAATTTTTCATATTCCAAGGATAGGAATTGCAGGCCTAGGACTCTAGTTGGAAGCTTGCTGTTTCACTAGTTACGTCTACAAAAGATCTAATTATGTGAGGTTAGTAATTGCTGCTGTTGGCAACGGTAAAATAATAGCCTCCTTCTGGCAATTTCAAACAATCAGTACCAGTTTAGGAATTAGTTAATTTAAGATAAATCCAATTTTAAGAGCTTTGAGTGTAGAATTGCAAATTGATTTCATATTTTCCTTTTGGTAATTCTAATTTAGTGATTACATGGTTTGTTCCATTAAAAGTTCCAGAGCTGCTTGTGGCCACAAATTTATTACAAGATTGCAAATTATGTCCTTCTATTGATTTCTACAAGTAAGCAATTTCTGAATTGATAAGCTTTAATTGAGTCTAAATCATTTCCTTTTCGCTGACTCCTTTCTTTAAAGGGATAATTAGTGTTTCACTGAAATCAGGGATGAAATCATAAGTCACATTTAAAACTATCTTCAAGAAATGCTCTTTTTCGCTTGTAAGTCCAACTGAAATAGAAAGTTTGAGGTGATTCTCCTCTTTTCTATTTAATGCAGCAATGAGAGTTGAAGAATTAATTTGAGTGACAAACTAATGAGATTCTAAAGAGTATGTCTAGAAGGTTTTAATATCAATAACTTCTAAGCCTACTTCGTTTTAGCTAATGACACGAATTTAAAAGAGATATTAACCGAATTTAATGTCTAACAAGCCTTGATCTGTTGATTATGCTCCCATTTCCCAATAAGGTAAATCTTAATCTGTATTAATTGTTTTTTTTTAACTTTATTTCCTCTTAGAAGATGTACAACCGCCTATTTTTAATTAGCTTTTGATAAAGCTGCTTTATTATTTTTTGTATTTATTGTTGAACTTTATAGTCTTATTAAAATATTATAACTAAATATGCTTAGCTATTTTTATTAATTTTTTGTTTTGATTTCAATTATAATAAATCATCACTCTTTAGGATCAAAATTTAATGTGCTTCTGATATAGTTAATTCATTAAAGTAATAGAATCCTCTTTAATACGAGTCTGTTTAAATCTGAAAAAATCTAAAAATCGTCTTCTCCATTAATTTTTGTATGTTTTATCCAAGCCTCTCTTAAATGATTAAAGAGACGCTATAATTTTACTGTCTTCTTCAAAGGTAAAATTTTTATCTATTCTAGAGAAAAAAAGCCATTTAAGTCATAATACTTAATAATAATTTTAATATTTTATTTTTTTGCGATAATAAGTTAGATTTAAAATGATTTATTACAATAAATTATATGATCTAATATTTGAAAAATATTATTTAGTTTATTATGCTTCAAAAACTTTCTATAACTTAAAATTACAGAAACAGATTGATTCTTGATATTTATCAATTTTAAATAAAATAGAATGAATTATTAATCAATCATTATTTTTCTAGATAGACGACACTTTAAATTTATTTATGATTAAATAATTGAATTTCAGAAACTATTTATCATAATTTTTATAATTTAATTTTTTAAAATAAATTAATTTAATATCCAAATATCTATCTTTATTCATTTTGATCAATTTAAAATACAGTTAAATTTTAATTATCATTATCATTCATTATTCAAATATTTTAATTATTTTAATAAATTTATTCATTCTAATTTAATAAATTGTAATTATTTAAAATAAACTAACCTGCATCTTAAATATTATTACGAATATATTAAATATTATAATATAAGGATTCCTATATCCTCAACATCTGTAAAAAAAAACCAATTAAATATTTAAAATGCAAAATTATTTTCAGACTATCCGAAAATTCAATAGAATTTTTGTAAAAAGAAAAAATAGAAGATTAAGTATTTAAAAAAAATAACAAATACTCAAACAATAATTTGAAATAAATTTACATTTAGAAAAAAATTTAAAAAAGTTAAATATAAATAATTTTTTTTAATTTAAAATTAAAGAATACAAAATGAATATTTATAAACAAAAAATACAAATGACATCTTCTAACTTCTAATTCTATTTTAATAGGATTAGAGATTTAATACAGAAGAGCGAAAACGATTTATTAGTATCTTTATATATGATACAAAAAAATTTTTTTATATCAAGACAATTTTCTATGAATTGTATTTATTTTATTTTATATAATTTATAATATTTTATGTTTTTTTTAATAAATTTAAACAAATTGTTTTAAGTTAGAGGATATTCTTATCTATTAATATCTCTTTAGATTTATTAAATTAATCATGCATGCATACATAAGCTCAATCAACCCCACCAAACAGGTCTGCTTACTGGTGCTTATCTATTCACAGGTTGAATGTTATTAACAGGCTAAATTGGCATTTAATAGGCTTATTAGTTTCCATAGACTTAATTTCTTGCTTAAGCAATTATATTAGCACTTTACTGTCTTCTTCCATACATATAATTAGATGGGTCATAAGCTTTACTGTTATTAACAATGTTGTTGTTATTATTGCTTGCTACATTATAATTATTATTATTATTATTGTTGTTGTACTATCCATATTATGGCGATTTATATTGCTATTGAATATTGCTTTCTTTTTAGTAAATGTCATAATTGTAATTGTTGTTGTTATTTACATAAGGCTTTGATGACTAAATTCTTTAGGGTTTTGCATAATTCATGACATTTTATTCTGAATATATTCTTTGAATATTGTATTAGTTATTGTTATTACTATATTTATCTGCAATCGCATTCACATTATGACTTTAACTCACTCCTCCTCCTCCACCTAAGAGGGCTTTCTCCTTCATAGCTAATTTTGTATTCAAATCTTCATACTTTGCGTTTGCTGATGAGGGTGTGTTTTAGTATTTGCTATATAGTTCATTGTAGTTATTTTGTTATTTCATCAAATACTGCTGAGGAGTTAAATTTTTAGAATAAGCGCCATTGTTATTTAAAGCAGAATATCTATTATTATTTATATTGTTGTAGTTATTATTGCTTGAGGGTATTTCGTATCTATCAGCAACATTCCTGTATGGGTTGTTGTTGGTTATCACAGGTTCATTATTGATTTAATTCCTATTTACGATTTATTAAGGTTAATTAGAATAATACTGATTAGTGGGTTTTATTGGCTCATTAACAGCATTAACTTTGTTGCTATTATAGTCTTTATTGTAATTTACTCCATTGATTTAATTTATACTAGCCCCAGATGTTGGTCTACTGAGTGTAGGCTTTACTTTAGCAAGACCTTGGATAGGACTCAATGGAGGAATATTATTTTTCGTTTATACAACACCACTAATAGGTCTACCTAAAACTCTAGGCTTTATTCCAGTGGGTTACCCATTTTAATTAACATTAGAAGCATTATTTGAAAGGTTTGAGGGGTTGTAGTTGCTGGGTACTTCATATTATTGTTATTATTTCTATTACAATGGCGTGATATCTTTTGCTAAAAGAGGATGCTTTACTTCGTTACTAGATGGCTATTTAACTAGAGGAGCAGGTAAATTATTTCTATTTCCTAAATTATTGACATAATTTTCTGTACGGCGAACACCTGCACTTACTATTCTATTTGTCTTTTTTAACTATTGTTGCAGCTATTCTTTTTCTTCATTCTCATAATCAAGCTCTATATCATCTATTGACTCAGCTTTTTTATAATTGGCTTTTGGCAATTTTCCCTTAAGTAATCCTAAATTCTTTGGAAGTTAAATTGTTTACAAAAGTTCAGCTTTTGAAGACTTTTTCACTAATTTTTTATTTGATGGTGGTCTTTACTATGCATCTTCACCTCCATTTCTTTAAACAATAGGATTTGATAGAATTTGTTCACAGCTTGGTCTGTCTTTTGGATTCACTTTCAAAAGCATAGTTAACATTCTCTATAAATCTTCAGAATACCTGCATTCAATTTAAATTTTTAAAATTATTTTAATGTCAAAGTTTTCATTTTTTTTTTAATAATTTATTCAAAACTTTAACTTTTTATTCATTCTAAATTAAAAAAAATTTTTTTCATTCAATTCAATTTAATTTATTATTTATTTTTTATTTAAGGATTTTTAAAAATCTCAATATTTAATAATTTTTGCTTTTGTTAACGATAAAATTTAGCTAAATATCGTTTAAGTATTTAAATTATGAATAAATAAATATCTAAAATAAACCATTCTGAAATAGAGAATTATGAATTTTATAACTTGAACTCATTCAATTATTAATTAAAAATGATAAATGATTGTCTATTACTTTTTGGGTATACGTTCGAAGTCTCCTTTTTATACTTTTTTATATAGTCCTTCCATATCATTAGCCCTAAAAGGTGGTTTTAGAGCACACATTTCGTAAAGTACACAACCTAAGGACCAGATATCGCTTTTGACATCGTAAGGTTCGTCTCTCCAAACTTCAGGAGATGCATAATATGGTGTTCCTGTTTATGTATAAACTAATCCTTTTTTGGCTACTTTTGATACGTTTAAATCACCTATTTATTTGTTATGTTAATAAAATGATTAAATTCTATTTAAAATTGTATCAAATTTTTAAATTTCTTAAGTCTATTATTTATTATTAAACAAACAAGCAAGTCTTTTATAAACAAAAATGAGTATTTTTTAAAGTTAAGCAAAAATATATTTGCAGAAAATGTTTGTAATGGATCTTTTATTTGATAAATTTTAAGCATTATTTATTGTTTTACCTAACTTGTAGACTCCTTCTAAAGAAAGAAAAACATTTGCACACTTAAGATCTCTATGAAGAATCTGCATTTAGTGAAGAATTTGCAATCCTTTTGACATATGAATTAAAGCTTTCCAAACTTCGCTTTCTGGGAACATTGTCTTGCTTTTGATGTTTGCAGTGATTTTACCTTGTAAATCTCCTCCTGCTGCATATTCCATAACAACACAAAGAATTTAGGACTATTCATCTATGAATGCTTCTTTATACCCGACTATAAATTCGTCGTTCAATGAAGCTAATATACGAACTTCATTGAGAGCATTTTCTTTTTCCTTTTCTTTCAATAAACCCATTTTTACTTTCTTCATGGCATAAATCATGCCATCAGACTTTCTCTTCACTTAAAAAACCTATGAAAAAGAACCTTCTCCTAACTTAGATATGACCTCAAAGTCTTTAAGAGTCGTTTGACTCATTGTGGTGTTAAAATTGTTATTCTAGTGACCATACTTGTAGTAGTTGTTATTTTAATAGTAGTCTTTATTCATTCTCAATTAATTCCTCTAAAATGTCTCAAAACTTGTAAAATGTCAGTAAACCTATCAATCTATCTATGTAACTATCTTTATCTTTTTAATATATATTATGAGCTCTATTTAGAATTGCTTTAATTATAAATATCCTTAAGCTATTTTGCTCTAAAAACTAAACTCTTGTTTCTTTATAAAATTTTTTAGGATATATTTGATAATCTGCCAATCTTCTATGAAAAAATTATTTATTGATTTTGTGAATGTGTTACGCATAGCTCTTCTAATATAATCTTTTTGATTTTGCTATTCTAATTATTATGAGTTAGATAGAGTTAATTAATTAATTCTTACTACTAATTAATTAATTATCATTCAATCATCATATGCAAGATTTAAAAATTTCTATTTATAAATTATTGCATATCAAATTTATAAAAATTTGAAAGAACAATATTAAATTATTCATTATTTCATTAATTTACATTAATTTAATAATCCTTCCTTGTAACTCCTCTTTTTTTTGTATTAGTCTCTTAAGCATTTTGATAAGAAGAGATAGATAGATAAATAGCTAGCATATTTAGAAACAAAACAAAAAAACAAATAATTTCAATTAATAATTGTTTATGCTCAAATTTAATTTCAAATGATAGCTCTAACTTATTAGATGATCATTAGAATAGATAAAACTAAATTGAATATTTTTTTAGTTTATATGTTATATTACTCAATTAAATTTACTAACTTATTTCACATTTTGTGAGTTTCAAAATACTTTATAAATATTCCTAAATTTTTTATAATTAATTTTATGCTATGTTTAAAAAATTATTTTAATATATGAACAGAATAATTCAAATTAATCCTGATAGCCTAAATTATTTAGAAATTTAAAAATTATTTTAATAAGAAAATCATCAAAATTCATCTGAATAGCTACTTTAAATATTTTAAAGATGATTAACATAGTTTATAAATTTATTTATTTGATGTTGATTTGATTAAGATGGAAGTATAAGTAAGAAACGTTGAAGAAATTTCTATTCATTTGATAATGCGAATAAAGGAATTTATATCTTTTATGTATGATATTTAATTAAAATCTTGATCAGAAAGCAAATCAAACTTATTTTTTTTATTTATATGTGATGATAAGTCATTCATTTATAAATAAATTAATATCATTCATACAACTTAAAAGATTGAAAAAATAGAATAGTGGAGATAACATTAATTTTAATTAAACTAAAATGATAATTGACTCTTAATTAGTTGGCAATGTGATAGATGAGATTGCATTTAACGAGAACTTGAATGATGACGAATAAAATGATTCTTTGTCTAAAATGTTTAGCGAAAATAACCATTTGAGGAATCATCATGATTTGCTAAAACCTTGGGAAAGTAGAGATTTCAAGATGCTACTGTAATCTTACATAAATATTAAATACAAAAAAGAAAAAGTACAAATTCCAAATGACTTTGCTGAAAAAGTCTATGTGAAAACTTACAATTAAAATATTAAACCAAATAACAGATTCAAGTTACCTTTGAAAGTTTTGTATCATCCTTATGTAACAAATGATGATTATAATTATGTTAATGATAAACTAGGCAGAGGATAGAGACTAGAACTCTACGGGTCTCTTGGCTCTATTTTTATAACTTCTACAATTCTTTTCACAACCAAGTGGGGAAAATCAATTAAAAACTAGCCAATTCAGTTTTATAGTTTTATGGGCATTCCTCCTATTTTCATGATTTTTTTTGCATAGGTCTACAGTAACTACTACATTAACTATAAGTTGCAAAAAATAGGAATATATAGTAAATATGGATTGAGTTCCGGTAATGCTAATGCCTATTGAATTTTCAAGATATTTTCCTTATCAAAGCAATTTCTTTAGTTTAATTCCTAATAATTTTATTTAAAGTGAAACAATCTAAGATAACTTTTAATATTTTAAGTATTTATTTTCTTCATTTATTTTATTCAATAGATAGATTGATGGATGTAGTAAATTTTAATAAACTATAATTTTTATAAATTAGTTTTATTAATTTAATATCATATTATCATAGTTAAATATATATATATATTATCTCATAATTATTTTATTTTAATTTTGTTAAAAAATGAAAAAATTTTTATATAAAAAATATAACACATTTTCTCAACTATTAATACTTTTAATAAGATAAATTTCTTGTAATTTATATTTCAGTGTGCTATATTAACATTTTAGAGATAATTTTTGGAGGAGGTTTATGTTTTAAGTATTATTTATATTATTTGTTTATTTAAAAATTTTTTAATTATAAAAAAAAATAATTATATTGAATAATATTTAATTGATATTTATTTTTAAAAATATATAAGACAGATTATTTAAATCAATTTATTATTTTTCATTTATGTTCTTCAACCCAGACAGTCTTAATGTTAGCGAATTCGTGGCATCCCCATTCTCCACATTCTCTTCCATAACCACTTCTTTTAACTCCACCAGAGCTGCATCTTGTATCTGATAAAGAAACTTAGTTGATCATAGCCATACCACATTCAATTTCTCTTGCAATTTTTTCAGCTCCATAAGTATCTTTTGCAATGATAACTGATCCCAAGCCATATTCAGAGCTATTAGCAATTTCAAGAGCTTCTTCTGCATCTTTAATTTTGTAAAGAGCGAAGAGAGGACCGAATGTTTCTTCTTTCATAAGTATACTATTTAAGCTTTTAACTTCCATAACAACTGGTTCAAGGAAAAAGCCAGATTTATATTTTTCTTATAAGTGTTATGGAAATTTATTACCATAGAGTAAAGTAGCACTATCTTCATCAATAGCTTACTTAATCTGCTTCTATAAATTATCTACCAAATCTTTTCTAGCTAAAGGTCCTAGCTCAGTATCTTCATGAATAGGATCACCTATTTTAACATTTTGTAAATACTCAATCAGCTTCTTCTTGAAAGACTCATATAAATTTTGGTGAATCAAAAATCTTTTTGAGCTATTACAAACTTAGCCTCCATTTTTAAGTCTACTTTTAATGGCTATCTATTTATAATAAAATTTAATAATTTCAATATATTTATTTAAATTACACTTTCATTTTTTGATCATTTGCTTTAATTAAAATAAAAATCCTATTAAAATAAATACCTCAACAGCAAAATCCACGTTTGCATCTTCAAGTAAAATGAATGGATCACTTCCACCCAATTCCATTACACATTTTTTTAGATACTTTCCACTAGTACTTGCAATAATTGATCCAGCTGCTGAGCTACCAGTGAACGAAACACCTCTAATTTTTGGATTTGATACTATATACTCTAGGTCTTCTTATTTGCTATAAACAATCTAAAACTCATCACCAAAACCTAATATATGATAAGAAATGATTTATTTATTTTTTAATACTCATATTTAAGAAATATTGCTTAAACTAAATTAAATGATATTCTAAAATCCTTAAAATTTAGTTAAAATAAATTATCTATTCATAAATTTGTAAATTTGCTCATTTTTTACAATAGAAAATATTTTAAATCCAATTTAAAAAAAAGTTTACCTGCAAGTTCCATAAATTATTTCATAAGTTTGGTTGTACGAGGAGTAGAATCTGAGCCTCTGACTAACACGGCATTTCCTATGGTCATGTAAGAAGCAGCTGCTTTAAATGCCAACCAGAAGGGGAAGTTGAAGGGTATAATAATGTGGATTAATCCAAGAGGTTCTAAAACTATATAAGAATGGTCAGCTTCTGTTTTAACAGGTTTCAATTTGTTCAAGTTTTCTGCATTTTGAGAATAAAATTTATAATGATAAGCAACTCTAGAAACTTCACCTCTTGCTAGGACAATTGGCTTTCCCATTTCTTCTGTTATAGTTCTTGCAATTGTATCGACATGACTTTCTAAAAGGTCTGCGAATTTCAAATATCTTGAGGCTCTTTCGCTAATAGGAACCTTTTTGTAAGCTTTGAAGGCCTCGAAACCTTTATTAATTTTAGATTAAATCTCTTCTCTACTGTCAAACTCAAAACTTTCTATTAATTCGTTAGTTGAGGGATTAACACTTTAGAATTTTCTTTAAGCACTTGCTACAGTTTATGCCATTGTTTAATATTTAAGATATAAAACTTGATTAAAACTTTTGATTATTAATTATTTAATTGCCTTTTTTATGACAGATATCTATCTATCTATTTAAAGAAAACTTTTTATTAAAAATAAGATATGTTTCTTTTCAACTTACTTCTATTAATTTACAACATATTTTCTGGTGTTACTAAAAATACTAAATTATCCCAAAAATCAATTTAAATTGTGAAAATAAACATTTTATATTTTTTTTTGTGAACACAAAATTATTTCTGAATTTTATTTATTTAAAATATTTGTTTTACAATTTTTTTATTTGATAAAATGAAATTATAAATTTATATATAAAAAAAAATAAATTAAAAAAAAAAGGTAATGGCGATGGGAATCGAACCCACATGCTTTTGAGCAACAAGCCCTTCGCTTATCCCTTTGACCACTCAGGCACGCCATCTTTATTATAAATTGAATCCCAGATTGTTTACGGGTTGTATAAAAAAGAATTAATTAATATAAAAGGAATATAGCTTGATTGACTTTCATTAAATTCATCAAAAATAAGTAAATAACTATCTAATTACAAGTTTGATTGGAAATTTCAAAAAATATCTTTGTTTCTAAAATTTAAATTGCGCAACTTTTAAAGATAAAAAATAAATAGGAGATTGATTATTTTGAATTGATGGACGGTTTTTTATAGGATGATTTTGTAGGTACAATTAGAAAAGGAATGACTATGGAATAAATTGTAATTTTATCAAAAAATATAGCTTTAAAACCACAATTTTTGTATTTTTATTAGGACAACATGGTTTCGAGATAGTTAAGAATGATGCAAGAAGATTATGAATAATGTTAAAAATATGAAGATCCAAATTATCAAGGTGTAGAACTGAAACTACAAGGAAAATTTGAAAAGAACGAACTGGAAGATGGAACTCAATTTAAAGACGATAAGGAAACAATAAATTAAAGCAAATAAAATGAGAACCTAAAAGAAAATATTGAAGATAATAAAAATGAAGAAAATATAAAAAAGGAAGAAAATGCTAAATAAGGTAAAGAAATATTCATATTATAGCAATGTCATATTTTTTTAAATTGCAACAGTCAAAAACGAGGATAATTAAAATGAAGATGAAGAAGAAGAGGATGATGATAATAGATGTGTAGAAGATTATTACTAACCTCTTGATAATGATGCAGATTAAAATGAAGAAGATGAAGAAGAAGAAGACGTAAAATTATAAATTGAGGAATATTAAAAAATTTATTTGTTTTATTTTTAGTGGTCTGAATTCTAAAAGGAAGAAGATTTCAAAGATTTACCTCCTGAAAGAGATCCGAGAAAAAAGGAAATTGATGTTGAAAAAATAAAATAAATTATGAATAGTTTTACACTAAAGCCTCCTTCTTGGGCATAAGAGTAAATATAATTAATCAGCTTTGTAGACTCTATTAATTCTGATAACGATTTTTTTTAATTTTAAAAATTAGTAAAAATATATGGGAACAAAAGGTCAAATGTTTAATAAACGACATTTCATAATGAAAGTTAATTATTAATTAATTAATTGTTATAAAAATATATTACTTGTTACATGCATAATGTTCTTTATTACTTAGCACTAATTTTGAACATTGCTATTAATAAATTTAATTTGCTTAAATCAATCAAAGATACTATTTATTTGGTTCTATTTATTTATATTTATATATAGTATTTTGTAATAAACTCTTGCTTGAAAGAATTTTTAGGCTGGAGGGGTATTATATTGGATCTCATTTATTTTGAATGAATTAAAAATTTTAACTAGCAAAAAAGATTGAATAAAATAGGCTAAAAATCGTGGAGCAACCTACCTTAAGATGCAATAGGCAAAATGTAAAAAATATCAAAAATTAAGTATCGCTCATATCTAATTATGAACTACTTATTTACTGGCTTTTAGGGAAATAAAAAAAGATGAAATTCCTATATTTTTTAATATATTGATGTAGTTCACCATTTATTAATTTATATATGAGACCATTTTATAGATAAATATATAAATATCAAATAAAATGTTCAATAGATTAAAGTAATTACTGAACAGACAATTAAATTAATGAAACTGATTTTGTGATGACGAATTATTATAAAAATTAATAAACAACTAACTAATTAAGCGTTACAATATTTTGGTGATATATGTTTATTTATATTTTTTTCTATTTAAATTAATTTCGATGAGTTTGTTATAGATAAAAAATAAATTGCACTATTCATAACCAAAAGCTAATTTAATAGAACTAGCATTTATAAAGCTGACTCTTCTTTCTAATATTTTAATTTATCTTCCATCTAACATTAATAATTAATTAATTTATAATAAATTTATTAAAATACAAAAATCTCTTTAAACAAGTCAAATAACATGTCGGTTCTATCACCTCTCTAAAAGAAGAACTTGTAAGTTATGAAAAGTTCAAAACCTCCTCTCAGTAAAAAAGTTGACTAATCTGTTAAATCACACAGCGAAAATGGATACTTTTACAACAATAAATAAAAAAACTTAAGAAATACATGCAGTACTCAATCATCATCAAACTCTTCTATTTCTCAGTCTTTATCCTCTTTTGCTCTTTCCTAAAAAAGCTTTAGTAGCTAGAATTCAGCTAATGACTTCTCTATAAATTCTTAAATTAATTGCAATGATTTATTTTAGGAAAATATTTTCCTAAACTATTATTAGCAGCAAAAATAAAACTAAAATGTTTTTAACTCTAAAAGAATATCAGTCTTTTCTTCTGTTAAATCGTTATCAGAATTGGAAAATATCAGCCAGACAAATGCTGAATTTGTTAGCTAAAATAAATACTGTTTAGATGATTAAATGTCTAACATTAAGTTAAGTGTTTTAAAGAGTAAAAATAACAATTTTGAAGATAAATTTTAGTTGAAATAATTTTAAGAAGAATACAATTAAAATATACAAAATTATTAAAAAAACGAAAAATAGACCATAAAGAACTAAAAGAGTTGCTATTTATCCTCTAACTAAGAATTAATTAATAATTATTCAATTTCAGATAGAAATACCTAAAATAAAAGATCAATAATTAAAATTCAAAGAAGCAAATTAAATTTGGTTCTACCTTAATAGTAAAAAGTTAATTAGCTTAACTGCAAAATTAATAATAAAGACCACAAAAACTAAAATAACTTAGTTTTGCTTGAATAATTAAAAGAAGGACAAGAAGTAGACACATACAAAGCATTTGATAGTACCTCAAAACAACTCTGCATAATTAAAAGAATAAAGTCTAACAAGTACGAAATATAAGCCATACAAAGAGACTTAAAAAACCAATCTTATCCTTTTAATTAACAAAACTGTTTTGATAATTTACTAAAATTAGAAGAAATTTAATCAGTAGAATAGATAAATAATACAATAGCTGAAAAAAATCAAGGCTAAGATTAGTTAGTGTACGTTAAATGCTAATATTTAGAAAATTAGTCTCTTTCTGATTTACTTTAATACTCTAAAATTTTAAATGAAAAATGCATTCACTAAATTTTTAAACAAGTTTATTCAAAAATTTTAAGTCTTTCTAACTCTCAAATATAGCTAAGAAACGGAATATCATTTTAAAATATACTTTTTGATAAAGATTTTTAAGTTGTTTTAGGTCACAGATTTTCATCTGAATCAATTGATGATGATTTTAAAAGAATTAAATAATTATCACTCTATTATTCAATCAATGAGAAAACAGAGTAAATCTAAGATCATATCTCTAAATAATCGTAAATCATTCTTAATTTAGGATACTTAATTCTAAAGTCAATAATATCTCCACACTTTTCTATTTTTTCATAGTCTTCTTCGTAAAAATTCAGTATTAAAAATTTCAAATAAAACTACAAATCTAAGAATTGCTGTATTTACCATGACATTTGTGAAGTAGCTGAAAATTAAATCAAAGGCTCATTCATAGATCTCAGCAAAGCACTAGAAATATAAAAATTCATTAAAAATAATTACTCATAGAGTATGATTGACTTACTTTGTGGTACACTTAAATATAATATGAAATAAAGATATTCTCTAACTTAATTAAATCAATATTTTAGCAATGATTAGTCCTTCTAAAACTCTTAAGAAAAAATTTAAAAGTTATTCTAAGCTGTAAAAATTAAAAGAATTTAATAATAAAAGTAAGTACTGATTGAACAAGCCCAAAAAGAAATTAAATAAATTAAGGAATTAATATCTAATTTGAAAGATAATAAAGAAGAAACTGCCTTAGAAATCTCAAAATAGATACTTTATGAAGGAATTTTCACACCAAATTAAGTTTACTAGTAATTTTTATCATGAATGAATTAGTTAATAAAATCTTAGTAATTTAATCAATAATAAATCAATTATTTCAATAACACATTTATAATATCAACATAGTCAAATTTTCAATAACCAACAAACAAAATTTTGTTATATTGTACATTTAAATTATTTATTCATATCATTAATGTAAATAAATACCTTCATAATTAAAATTGGATTTAAAAAATTATTTTTTTTTTAATGAAATTATTAATTTTATATTTGAGCAAAATATCAAATTTTTCAATTAATTTTTAAAATGAAATAAGTATTCGATTGTAATAAATAATTTACTAAAAATATTAAACACCATAAATTTATTTTTTTAGATAAATATTAATTATTTTAGTTAATCATTTTTAATTCCAAATTATTTAAATTTTTTTTACATTGTTGTTTTAAAATTCTTGATAGAATGTATTAATTAATAACTACATTAGCGATATTAGATACATCATTTAGTTTTTTTAGTTTGTATGATATTACTTTAAAATAAGAAATGAGCACTCATTTTGTAATTTTATTAAGGCCAATTGTATATTAAAGTAAATAATAATTAATAGAGAAAAATAAGAATTCAATGTTGATTAATTAATTTGAAAAGATTTCTATTTGGCTTGGTTTTTCGTTAATTTAAAAAAAAAGTATTGAGGTTAAGATTTTTTTTTTACTGAAGCATTAAATGAAAAACTTAAAAATTATGGATGAACCTTAAAGGAAAGCCTTCTGGAAGATTACGTTGCTTGGTAATATTGTAACAATTTACTCTTATACTCTATTAATTATTATGATTATAGAGAATAATTTTAAATTTAACGAATGCGCTACATACTTATTTTACTAATTCGCGATTATAATCTTAAGTATAATTGTCACTTTACTTTTTGAAATATGTGTAGCAGGACCTAATGATGAAAGTAGAAAAATGAATATTGACAATAAATTTGCGTTGTTAGATTTTTTTAATGTTTCCTTCATTCTACCTTATAAAAGTAATAAATATGATTAATTTAGCTAGAAGTATTTGAATAAATTCTAAAAATATAAGATGTTTATTAATTTATTAACAATCTATTTTTAATACTTTTGTTTATTCTTCACAAATGATCTAAGGAACACACAAAAAAGTATAATTTACATAGCTTTTTTGATCAATTTTATACTATGTGCTACTCTCTTATGTTTTTAGTGGTGCTATAGGTATAATTTTATATAAAGTCTAGATTCAATAAAATTTAAAAGTAGATTATTTGGATAGCTTTTAGTTTAATTACCTTATTATCTTAGCCTGATTCTTTATACTTAAAGTAAATAAGACAAAGTATTCAATATTTAATATTATAACTTAATAATTCCAGCTGTTATCATTATTTTTCAGACTGTTATTTGTAAAAATTCAATATTGCTTACTATTAATTACTTACTTAACTCTGCTGGGTTTTTTTTAATTCCTAAATTAGATCGTAATATTTAGTAAGTTTAATACTTTAGCTCATTTCTTAGATTAGTAGTAGGGTTTGTTTATTTTAGTGAAGATATATTTAGCTATTCTGAAAATTATGATCTGATTATGGCATTTACATTCATTTTTTTGCTAATTATTAGTTTTTTATAATTCATATACTTCTATGAAAAAGGCATTGGTTACAAATCATTTTAAATTAACTCGTTTCAAGATCTTTTTAAGGTAAACTGTTTTCTTTCAAAGAGTCATTTTTGGTTGAAAAGAATATAAATCAGTATTTTTTCTTTAAAAAAATAAGAATTAGAGTAAAGATTATTGAATGATTAAGAAAGAAATCAAAATGAATTAATCAAATTTGTAGAATTAATATCTAATTTAGAAAGATCTAAAAAGCTAAAGTTTAAATTTTTACATTTGGAAATCAATAATTTTATTAATGTAATAGATGGATTGCTAAAAAATAGCGAGTATATCTTTAGTTTATTTGTTGATAAAATTAAAATAGATTAGCTTTCTTAAATTTTGAATGATAGATTAAATAATTAATTATTTTTAGTGTAAAATCAGGTTACTTAATAAATATTTAAAAAGATAAAGAAGTAATATTTCACTTCTGATATTGAAAACTATAATAAATTCTGTTTAATTCAATCTCAAGAACTCTCAGTAATTCTATTCAATAAGCAAATTAAATAATTTATGCAATTTTAGCCTGTATTAATTCTCTATGATTTATACTCATGAAGAAGACAAAATAAATATAGATTATTGCTATTTACTGATTTTTTTTTTATGTAGCTAAGAAGCTACTATTAAATATTAAATAAAATATCAATAAATTAATTAACATTTTAGTTTTATGTTATTTTATTTTAAAATGTTTATTTGTTTAATTTTTTAATTTTAAATAACAAGTTTAAAAATAATTTCTTTTTTATAAATTAAAAAATAATTTATAAATTTTGTGAAAATTAATTTTATTTTCTTTTTCCTTTTCTTTTCTTATTTTATTTTATTAAAAATTAATTAATTTATATTTTAATAAATCATGAAAATATATCATTTATTTCATTAATAATTTATTTTTTAATACATTTTTTTCTTTTTTAATTTAAAATAAAATTTTTATTTTTGTTTTTTTATGTTAAAGTCATTTAAATTTTTTACAATTTATTGTTTTATAAATTCTTGATAGAATATATTAATAACTACATTAGGGATATTAGATACATCATTTAGTTATTTTTTAGTTTATGATATTACTTTAAAATAAGAAATGAGCACTCATTTTGCAATTTTTATAAGGCTAGTTGCGTATTAAAACAAATAAAAGCTAATAAGAGAAAATAAGAATTTGATGTTGATTAATTAATTTGAAAAGATTTCTATTTAGCTTTGTATTTAATTAATTAAAAAAATAGTATTTAGGTTAAGATTTTTTTTCTGAAGTATTAAATGGAATACTTATAAATTATGGATGAACCTTAAAGGTAAGCCTTCTGGAAGATTACCTTGCTTAGTAATATTGTTACAATCTACTCTTAAACTCTATTAATTATTATGATTATAGAGAATCATTTTAAATTTAATGAATGCGCTACATACTTATTTTACTAATTGGCAATTATAATCTTAAGTATAATTGTCACTTTACTTTTTGAAATATGCGGAAGAGGACCTAATGCTGAAAGTAGAAAAATGAATATTGACAATAAATTTGCTTTATTAGATTTATTTAATGTTTCCTTTATTCTACCTTATAAAAGTAATAAATATGATTATTTTAGCTAAGATTATTTGAATAAATTCTTAAAATATAAGGTATTTATTAATTTATTAACAATCTATTTTTAATACTTTTGTTTATTCTTCACAAATGATCTAAGAAACACACAACATAGTATAATTTACATAGCTTTTTTGATCAATTTTATACTAAGTGCTACTCTCTTATGTTGCTAGTGGTGTTATAGGTATAGTTTTATATAAAGACTAAATTCAATAAAATTTAATAATAGATTATTTGGATAGCTTTTAGTTTAATTATCTTACTTTCTTAGCCTAATTCTTTATACTTAATGTAAACAAGATAAAGTATTCAATATTTAATATTATAACTTAATAATTCCAGCTGTTGTCATTATTTTTCAGACTATTACTTGCAGAAACTCAATATGGCTTACTATTAATTACTTACTTAACTCTGCTGGGTATTTTTTAATTCCTTAATTAGCTCGTAATATTTAATAAGCTTAATACTTTAGCTCATTTCTTAGATTAGTAGTAGGGTTTGTTTATTTTAGTTAAGATATTGTTAGCTATTCTGGAAATTATGATCTGATTATGACATTTACATTCATTTTTTTCCTAATTATTAGTTTTTTATAATTCATTTACTTCTATGAATAAATTCTTGGTACCAAATAATTTTCAATTCACTCATTTGAAGATCTTTTTAAGGTAAACTGTTTTCTTTCAAAGAGTCATTTTTGGTTGAAAAAAATATAAATCAGTTTTTTTTCCTTAAAAAAATAAGAATTAGAGTAAAGGTTATTGAATAATTAAGAAATAAATCAAAATCAATTAATCAAATTTGTAGAATTAATATCTAATTTAGAAAGATCTAAAAAGCTAAAATTTAAATTTTTTCATTTAGAAATCAATAATTTTTTTGATGTAATAAATGAATTGCTAAAAAATAGTGAGTACATCTTTAGTGTATTACTTAAAATGCTAGTTGATTAAGTAGAAACAGATCATCTTTCTTAAATTTTGAATGAAAGATTAAATAATTAATTATTTTTAGTGTAAAATCAGGTTACTTAATAAATATTTCAAAAGATAAAGAAGAATTATTTCGCTTCTGATATTGAAAACTATAATAAATTCTGTTTAATTCAAACTCAAGAACTCTCAGTGATTCTATTCAACAAGCAAATTAAATAAATCATGCAATTTTAGCCAGTATTAATTCTTTATGATTTATACTCTTGAAGAAGATAAAATATTGATTATATAAAATAATATATATTTCTACATATATATAATGAGTAAAATACCATTTCGATTTACAATAAACGAAATTTTATGTTTTGATGGTTCAAATTATTTGATCGTTTTTGGAGAAACCATAGGGTTACTTAAGAGGAATTAATTTATTTAAATAAATTTAATTTTTTTATTTTTTAGAAATAATTTATTTACTTACAAAAATAAATATGAATCATATTTATAAATATAAAATCAATAATAAAATCTATCTATCTATCAGTTTATATTTTAGATTTAAAAAAACTTTTCAAAATATTATATAATATTATTCAAACATTTAATATTTATTCATCCTTTTTTCGTGACTTCTTTATAATCAGAATCAATTTTTAAAGACAACTAATCTTTTTGATTTAAGACACTTGCTTATTACTTTGAAGTTTTATGATTTATTCATTAGGCTAATATTTTATAATAAATTTGTGTAAATTTTAAATAAATTTCAAAATAGAATAAACTTTTAAATAAAAGGAAAAAATATGAAATAATAAGATTAATTAATTAATAATAAAAGTAAAAATTTGAAAATCAAAGGATGAGCTAAATAAATTAACAAAGAAAGAACTATAAAAAGCAAGCACAATAAAAACAAAAAGAAAAAAGAGCTTTGTTGTTTTTAATTAGTTTTTATAATTCAAAATATCACAATCCAAAACAAATAAACTGTTTTTACTAAAGGTTAAGTGTCAAATTTGAGAGATTAATGCAATTTGCTAAAGCAGAACCTAAGCCTGATTCACCTTCGTCACCAATTTAATTACCACTTTTTAAATATTGAAGAAAAAATATATCATAAAATAGTTAATTAGAAGGAAAAAATGAAGAAAAAATATGAAATAATAAGATTAATTAATTAATAATAAAAGTAAAAAATTTGAAAATCAAAGGATGAGCTAAATAAATTAACAAAGAAAGAACAAAAAAAAGCAAGCACAATAAAAACAAAAAGTAAAAAGAGCTTTATTGTTTTTAATTAGTTTTTATCATTCAAAATATCACAATCCAAAACAAATAAACTGTTTTTACAAAAGGTCAAGTGTCAAATTTGAGAGATTAATGCAATTTCCTAAACCAGAACCTAAGCATGATGCACCTTCGTCACCAATTTAATTGTAACTTTTTAAATATTGAAGAAAAAATATGAAATAGTAAGATTAATTAATTAATAATAAAGTAAAAATTTGAAAATCAAAGGATGAGCTAAATAAATTAACAAAGAAAGAACAAAAAAAAGCAAGCATAATAAAAACAAAAAGTAAAAAGAGCTTTATTGTTTTTAATTAGTTTTTATTATTAAAAATATCACAATCTAATAAAATAAACTGTTTTTACGAAAGGTCAAGTGTCAAATTTGAGAGATTAATGCAATTTGCTAAACCAGAACCTAAGACTGATACACCCATTGCACCAATTTAATTGTAACTTTTTAAATATTGAAGAAAAAATATTCATAAAATAGTTAATTAGAAGGAAAAAATGAAGAAAAAATATGAAATAATAAGATTAATTAATTTATATTAAAAGTAAAAATTTGAAAATAAAAGGATGAGCTAAATAAATTAACAAAGAAAGAACTATAAAAAGCAAGCACAATAAATAGAAAAAGAAAGAAGAACTTTATTGTTTTTAATTAGTTTTTATAATTCAAAATATCACAATCCAAAACAAATAAACTGTTTTTACTTAAGGTTAAGTGTCAAATTTGAGAGATTAATGCAATTTGCTAAACCAGAACCTAAGCCTGATGCACCTTCGTCACCAATTTAATTGTAACTTTTTAAATATTGAAGAAAAAATATATCATAAAATAGTTAATTACAAGGAAAAAATGAAGAAAAAATATGAAATAATAAGATAAATTAATTAATAATAAAAGTAAAAATTTGAAAATAAAAGGATGAGCTAAATAAATTAACAAAGAAAGAACAAAAAAAAGCAAGCACAATAAAAACAAAAAGAAAAATGAGCTTTCTTGTTTTTAATTAGTTTTTATAATTCAAAATATCACAATCCAAAACAAAGAAACTGTTTTTACCTAAGTTCAAGTGTCAAATTTGAGAGATTAATGCAATTTGCTAAACCAGAACCTAAGCCTGATGCACCTTCGTCACCAATTTAATTGTAACTTTTTAAATATTGAAGAAAAAATATATTATAAAATAGTTAATTACAAGGAAAAAATGAAGAAAAAATATGAAATGATAAGATTAATTAATTAATAATAAAAGTAAAAAATTTGAAAATCAAAGGATGTGCTAAATAAATTAACAAAGAAAGAACTTAAAAATGCAAGCACAATAAATAGAAAAAGAAAAAAGAACTTTATTGTTTTTAATTAGTTTTTATAATTAAAAATATCACAATCCAAAACAAATAAACTTTTTTTATAGAAGTTAAGTAAATTTTATTTTTTATTTTTTATAAATAATTTATTTACTTACAAAAATAGAAATGAATGATATTTAAAAATATAAATCAATAAAAAAATCTATATATATGTTTATATTTTAGATTTAAAAAATTTTTTCAAAATATTATATAATATTAATCAAACATTTAATATTTATTCATCGTTTTTTTCGTGATTTCTTTATAATCAGAATAATTTTTTAAAGACAACTAATCTTTTTGATTTAAGACACTTGCTTATAACTTTCAATTTTTATGATTCATTGATTTGGCTAATATTTTATAATAAATTTGTGTAAATTTTAAATAAATATCAAAATAGAATAAACTTTTAAATTAAAAAATATTTCTTAAATTAATAAATAAAATAGCATTAGTTGTATAATAAAGATAAAAAAATAAATCAAATAAAAACTATAAAATAAATTCAAAGAGTTTTATTGTTTTTAAATAGTTTTTATAATTCAAAATATCACAATCCAAAACAAAGAAACTTTTTTACCAAAGGTCAAGTGTCAAATTTGAGAGATTAATGCAATTTGCTAAACCAGAACCTAAGCCTGATGCACCTTCGTCACCAATTTAATTATCACTTTTTAAATATTGAAGAAAAAATATATCATAAAATAGTTAATTAGAAGGAAAAAATGAAGAAAAAATATGAAATAATAAGATTAATTAATTAATAATAAAAGTAAAAAATTTGAAAATCAAAGGATGTGCTAAATAAATTAACAAAGAAAGAACTTAAAAATGCAAGCACAATAAATAGAAAAAGAAAAAAGAACTTTATTGTTTTTAATTAGTTTTTATAATTAAAAATATCACAATCCAAAACAAATAAACTTTTTTTATAGAAGTTAAGTAAATTTTATTTTTTATTTTTTATAAATAATTTATTTACTTACAAAAATAGAAATGAATGATATTTAAAAATATAAATCAATAAAAAAATCTATATATATGTTTATATTTTAGATTTAAAAAATTTTTTCAAAATATTATATAATATTAATCAAACATTTAATATTTATTCATCGTTTTTTTCGTGATTTCTTTATAATCAGAATAATTTTTTAAAGACAACTAATCTTTTTGATTTAAGACACTTGCTTATAACTTTCAATTTTTATGATTCATTGATTTGGCTAATATTAGTTATTTAAAATGATGCTTACTTAACCTTTATTTCTTTCCTTAAGAGAATCTTTTGAGAATATTTAAGATTGGTTGTCGTCTTTTTATTTTAATTAATTATGATAGCTTAATTTAGGTCCTACACTTTCAATTTTCAATTTTGTATTTTCCTTACTACTTTTCATTTCAGATTCACTTTTTTAAACAATATTATTTATTGATATTTATAAATCTTATTATATTAAAGGCGTAAAGTTTTCTTTGTGAATAATGCTA